ATCATTTATATATTATATTTCTTACAGGAAACCGGAAAAATTTAACATTAATATAGTCAAAATTATTGACAACAGGAGCCAACCATAATATGATGCATCAAATATTTACAGTAAAACCTCATTAATCTGGACCCCAATAATCCGGACTTCGCTTAATCCGGACAGTAAACGCATAGTTTGAGCCGCAGACTAAAATAAACATGAAAAGGAATTCAACGAATTTCCCATATATATGCATATGATCACGATTATTTCTACAAAATACCAAAAACAAATTGTCAATCACGTCATCCAATTGTTAATTACATAATACATGTTCTTAATTCTATCATACATTGAAACATTCACGTATTTTGGTTATTTTGTTTAATCCAGGCTTTCATTAATTTGGACAACCTAGAGCCCCAATCAGTCCGGATTATTGAGGTTCTACTGTAATTACATCCAGTCACACAAGTTGGATATTATGCGTGAACACAAAGTATTAAAAATTTAAATAAATAACAAAAATATATTTATTAATTAATTGTATAATTATAAATTTGTTGTTGTGTTCATAATTCATAATATATACATAGCACACTAACATAATTTAATTTCCAGGGGCTTTGGAATGCATATCATTTATTCTTTGAATATAATTTCATACATTTTATTATTTTTTGAACTACAAATTATTTTATAGTTAGCATATCTTATTTTAAATTATAAACATGCAAATTGTAAAATGTTTCTACTCAATAAGTGTCAAGTCCCATTTACCTAACTAATAATAAATTATGGTTTAAAATGAATATAATATCGTGCAAGATTTGTTAATTATTAAATACATCCACCATATTATTTTCAATTGTAATATTACTTTGAACAAGCTAAACGATCCCCACGAGCTTCTGGACCATGGTCACCATAAATCACCAGTGATTTACCAATAATTGAATTTATTCCAAATAATGACATATATTCATCCACAAACATATGTCTACTCACACCTATTGCGTTTAATTTATTACCGGCTATCGACAAACTATTCAAACGAGAAGATAAATCACCTACACTGCAGTATTTAAGGGACTTACTGCATGAAAATGTCATATTATTTTTCACAACCTATTTTTGAAGATAGTTAATAATAACACAGAAAAAAAAATAGAATTTTATAGTCATATAAATTAATAATACCTTGTGAGGATCATATATAGGACCTGCACTTTTACATCGATCCATCCAATTATAAAAGTCTTTTCCAGGTGGTTGTATATTTATAGACCACCTATGATCGTCTGAATCTTTAAGTGTTGTACCATCAGCATGAACTAAACTTTCAACTATTATTACAGTTTCAGTTGCTCCAATATCAATAGGTTGTCGAAATACAATTCTACCAACTAGAGGATAGCGAAAAATTGCTTCTGATGTTAAGTAAGCTACTTTAGTTTGAGAATTTGGACCAGTAAATGGTATCAATGTAGTGCAAGTCAATATTTCGTTATTTCTAAAATAAAAATATAACATTAATTTCTATATAAAACATAATTTTTTGTATTATTTACATGTTTATAACTAATGATCTGTGAATAACACTATAGCTTCCAAATAGAGGTAAATATGTATCCCAACTAGAACTATCATAATTATATTTTCCACTTAAGTCACCAATAGCATATTTATCATGAGTTAGTCTCCCAGCTTCAGCGGGAAATAATTTACCAGTTGGATTAAAAATTTTACCAATACCCAAACAACTATTATTTATATTTGATGACGTCTTATATGTTTTTGGAATTGACGGCATTTCATGTAATCTTAAAGTTATATCATTTTGGATTGAATCAGCTTTGGTATAAACATTAGTAACTTCAAATTTAGATTTTTGCCATAATGTCAACTCAAGTTTTATTTTTGTTTCATTAACAAATCCTCTGTAAAAAAATAAAACATAGTAATGCATTTAAATGTATAATATGCTAATTTAATTATTTGAAATACAAATAAATACTTGAGAGTAATGCTTTTTTTTAGATTTATTTGTGCACAATCTAAAATATTATCAGCACGTTCACTATCAAACAGAACCATGTATAACGCTCTACTATCATATTCAATATCAAATGTTGCTAGATTAGTATCTCGTATTAATGATTTTTTACCAATTTGAACTGGCCCAAGTCTACCACCTAAATCACCTAAGCCATTAGATTCAGGATCATATAAAATCTGAAGAGCATCACAATTCAGTTTTGACTTATCTGAAAAATTTATAAAATTCCTTATTATTTTAATATAAATAACATCATATTAAAATTATACATAATATAATACAATCATATAACATACCTAAAATAGATTCAAGAACATCAGTTGAAAATATTTTCCAATTATTAGTAGTGAGCTCAGTTTTTAAGCTTTTTCTATCTTCAAGATTAGTAAATATAACAGCATCCATTAAACTTCTTGATATACCAACCCAAACTATATAAATACTGCCAAAAAACCGAGTTTGAAACTTAGCTTCAGCGACTCTCAATTCTGAATCATCTTTTGCCTGTAAAATAATTTTTTTATTTTATTTAAAAATATGGTATTGGTTTAGTTGACACCCATCCAGGAAGTATTCTCCAGCCACTCAAATTAGTTATATCTCTTGTACTTTTTATGTTCTAATTTTCATACTGTATTTATAGTTTATACATTTAGAAAACAATTATAATTATAATAACAAAATAATTTTTTTTATGTATTTGTTAGTCTAATGATCTAAGACTAAATTATAATAATAAAATACATTTTTAGAATTTAGAATACAACTATGTTTAATTTTAGGAAATAATTTAACTTAACCTTTAAGTTTTAACTAAAACTAATTATAAATTGAATAATAAACAATTAGAACATGAAAATACGTGAGATACAAGTGACAGGCATCAACTTTAAACCTGAGTTGAGGGAGAATACTTTCTTGGCTGGCGTCAACTAAATCAGAACCAACATTTTAATTTTGAAGTTCATTAGAAGTTAAAAATAGCTTTCAGCTTATAGAAAAATTGTTAATAAATATACATTGTATACATTTTTTACATCCATACAATGTTAATTTACCTGCTATAAAAAAAACAGACTAGTAAACTAAAATAAATAAATATAAACATATTTTAATCCCTGTATAGATTCTGTATAATTAAATCTAATATATAATATTAAGATTTAAATTAGTATCTAATACTAATCATATATTAAATAAATAAAGCAATTTATTTAATGACGCACATTTCTTATTAGAATAATAATAAATATACATACCATAATTGTGGAGCAAATAGTATTACCAGCATTATCTTTAAGCAACAAAGATCTATACCAAATTCCCAAAGGACCAGTAAGTTCTAATATAGATTTTGAAATTGAAAACTGAAGTCTTGTATGATTTTCTAATGTTAATTCTCCAAATGTATCATCAAAGTTTAATAATCTATAAATACATTTATATAGTTTATTGTTCAATGTACATAATATTACAACAATTATTCAAAGTAGATATATTACTTATTTCCAAGGTTTTTGTCACTACATCGATCAGCTAAAATAGTATAATCAACAGGAAATTCTTTTATTTGCCAAGACCATTGTAATGAGTCTCCAAAATTGTTTAATGAAACAGAAATTAGAATAATATCATCAATCAAAGAATGTTGAGAAAACAATATTGAACCATGGATTTGGTTTTGGGAAAACCTTGAAATCAACTGTATACTGGTATTTATATTGTGAAATCCATCTAAAACAACAAATTATAGATATAATAAAAAAAATTTTAATTTTAAAAAGACAACAAATTAATTTTGACATATGGGATACATCATATAGCCATATAGGATAGATTGGTGCTTATGCATTGATTGTATGTATTTTTTAGTTAATACTATACAGTATTCACTAATAAAGCTAAATATCAAAATTAATTTGAAACACTTACCATCATCCAGACTTTCACAGTACAAGTAGGGGAGGATGACTAACACCAACAAAATCTTTGGAAAAACCATTCCAAAGGTTGAAAAAAAATATAAATTTAACTCATTGAACCAGCATAAACTAGGAATAAATGTTTTAATTACTAAGTTCACATTCCTGTGCTTACAGTAGTAAGCATTAAAAATAAAATGGTAAAATTGTTCAACTTCATATATTCTTATAAATTCAATGTTCGTCAATATTACAGCTACTGACTTACCGACTATTACCTATAGTATTAGGTATAGTGACTACTGACTACTGATACAACAGAAGTCGCGTATATAATATAATACTGGAGTTGTAGTGTACTGCCTACAACTTATTATAGTCTGTAACAAATACTTGTCGGCTGACAATTTCACTTTCTTACTTCCTACATGACACATGTACCATGTACGTGAAGATAATACTTATCAAATGATCGCACTAAATTGAATATTATACACTTTATCCATAGACCCGAGACCGTCAGTCTAGTTAGTATCCCTACTAGTATACTACGAATTACGATACTACTATATTATCACTTGTTGCGTGTCAATACAGCCACAACCACGCGATGAATAATATAGTTATTCGATTCAAAACAACGCCAACCTAAGCAATTTTGATACATATATTATATATAAGATATATTATAATAATTCTCACGTCAACAGATGGCGCTACTGTTGAATACATAAACTCTTGACCCGTGCTTAGTTTTCGTAGAAGTGTAGAACCGTGGAAAATATCCGAAAGGCGAAATTCAGAACTCAGAAGTAAGTGAAGGAGGAAGCTTGTTCGTTGTTGAACATCGATCTTTACTACAAAATACAAAAAGAATATCGTACATTTGAAAATTGAAAAATTATAATAAACTCTCCTTTTCCACTGTTATATAGAATTTAATTTTGGTAATTTTTTTAATAAGAATTAATTATTATTTAATTTTCCTGTAGCTAGTTAAAAACATACATTTTTTTTTAGCTAAAACCGAATTTGAAATGGTAATAGAATGTAATAAAAAAGAACGAGAAAAACTCTTCAGTCAGTCTAATGGTGCACTATTACCGGGGTAAGTTTTTTTTTTAGTTATTACTTACGGGTATAAAAGGTGCCTATCGCTGTATATTATGGAAAGGCCTTTATGTTTATGACGTGAAAAAATCAATAAAAATGTCTGTTCCCCGTGTACCAAGTTATATGCAACGTTTGTTGACATTAATTATTATTTATTTATGTGTTTAATTGGAGTTTTCTAAATTATAATTAATGTTATATATTTAAAAAAAATTATTTTTCACTCTAATTAGTTAATACTAAGGTATTTTAATATGATATAGGCATTATTTTTAAAGACAATTATCAATTATTAATTCGAATTTATCCATACTGAAACTAACTTTTTAACGATTTCAAAATTGTATACAAATTGCAACGTTGAAACATAAAAATATAAACATTTTTGTAGCTAATTTTTATTTTACTGCTAGGTATAATCTATAAGCCCATTTACCTATTTAAATAATAGGTAGGTAGGTAATAAAACACACGACGACTTTTTAAAATTATTTAATTATGGATTTAATTTAGTAGTTATATTGCATAATTATTTTGAACCTACTGTATGATTTGAATAAATTATTATTTATATAATACATTTTCTAACTTTTATAATTTTCAACTTAGGTATATTTACTTACCAAACAATAATTTATTTTTAAATAAGTGATTATGAATTATGATATTTTTATAATAGGAATTATACACAAATTCTATTTAAACTATACAAATAATATTAAATTTACGACATAGGTACCTATAAGAGGAAAATATTTTTCATAGTAGTTTTTAGTGGACATTTTTACGTAAAATCTCCGATAATTATTAATATCAGACGTATTCTAGTCTTCAATATTCTGTTAATAAACTATCTACCTACCTTAGATCACCAGCAACAAGGTGAACAAAACAGTTACCAATAGGTAGGTATATTTTTATCAGATGACTCTGAGTTGGTTCCCAATTATCGAATGGTTTCCCGGGTTGTCTACAGGTAACATTCGAATTGGTTCTGATAAGCTTTCATAATTATAGTAAAACTATGCTAAATTAACTTTTCAAATTACAATGAATAATGATAATATATTCTACCAACAATTTCCTTCCCATTTTACATAGACTATAATACTATATTATACTATATAGAATACCTGGGGTATGGTTAATTAATGTGTTGCCATAGCCCATAATGCCATGTAATGATGTAAGTTTATATGCATTATAATTATATACGTTATATGCCTACGTAATTCAGTATCCTATTATGAAACTTAATGGTAAGAACAGTTCAATTCTTTAGCAAGTTATACGTATATAATGTAGCGTAAATTAAAAATGCTCATAACTCACTTAAAAACTGAATAATGATACCTAATTTATAATTATTATCATGAAAAAAAAAAACACAGATAACTTCAAGTTACATAAAAAGTCGATTCATTTTAATTTTTAAACCAACGGAGTTAAACTTTATCTGCTGAGCGTATATTTGCCATGTTACGCACTTGTATAACGGAGACAACAAAGTATAGCGTTCTCTTAAGTAATTGTATACTGTAATATCGTTAAACTTTTGAAAAATATATGAAATAGAAACAAAAATATACAACACCTACCTAAGTTAAAAATCAAAATATCACGAAGAAAAATTACATCTAGTATAATATTATGACATTAAAAAATAACTAGTTATAGGTATCACAGTTAAAGAATATACAAATCATAAAACAAAATATTTTATGAATATATTATAAAGTCTCACTATGAAATAAATAAGTATTAATTCTTATAAAATAATATTTTATTTAAATAAAATGTATATAATTAAAGATAATATTTTCCTATGACAGTGCTTTTTTCCGGGGTTTTAATTTCATGGATTTTTACCAGGGATTTTTTTCCGGACTTTTTTCCGAATATCCTTGTGGGTACTGGCAGCTTGAGACGAGTTTCGGCCAACACTTAAACATAATGCCTCGATAAAAAGTAAATAATATTTCTGGGTTCTAAAAAATTAAAATATTTCAATATAATAATTTGTTCATAGTTTAATTGTTAAACTTATATTGTTATATAAACCTTAATAATATAACTTATAAAAATCAATAATAAACGATTATATTATACATTAACGTGGTTTGTGTGCGTGTACGGCGTGCTCTGGAATAGCAGAGGTACTTATAAGTTTATACAGTTGTATAAGTTGTATACAAACCTAATATTTTTTTTTGTAGGTAATTGATAAATGCTTTGCAGTTTAATGTTTTATGTACGCAAATTCATGTTTATTATACCTATAATATATCTTTATTTAACGATATTTAGTTATCAAATTAATATAATTCATAGAGATAAAATACAACAAAAAAATTACGACTGTCTAATAATACGATTATCATTTGTATTTTACTAAGTTCTTTTTCTTTTTTTTTATTGAACAAAATTTTATATATAATCTGTAATTACAATATACTATATGACAATGAGTAAATTTGATGAGGATGATTTACGGGAGGGGGAAGTCATTGGTGACACCCCATGGAAATCGATTTAAGGAGAGAGTAGGTCCTACACTCGTTCCATTTCAGGCGCCTGGGTGGATTACCTGGGATTTGTTTGGATGATAGTTGAGTGATTATATGATTTGAGTAATTAAGTGAGTGCTGAATGTTTTGTGAGTTTTTTTGTAGCTGATCATAGCAAGATTATTTAAGGTTGGAATGCAGATGTCTTTATGAAGTGATTCATTAGTTAATAGTTATATACCAGGGGGCACCTGATATTAATCGAAGACAAATATACTAGAATGCCTGAATTGTTCTGGTGTTTGACGGTTAGGCAAAACCCCAAAGTCGAATGCCATAGTACCACATGGGTCTTAAAAGAGCCATATAGATTGTTCTTTTGGTTTTTAATGAGAGCTTTGAGCGGAGTAATGGTCTAAGAAGGTGAAGTCTCGAATTGAGAGCTTTACGCTTGTTTTTTAAGTGGGGACCTCATGTAAGACGTTTGTCCTGAATTAAACCCATATATTTTGTTTGTGTGGAAGATGGGATTTGTACATCATCGATAAAGGTTGCAGGGCTTTCCAAGGATCGAAGCGTGAAAGTAATTTGAGAGGATTTTGATGGATTGACTTCAATTTTCCAGTCGTGGAACCAGGTGTTAAGCACAGTTAGGTGATTTTGGATTTTTTGGGCAGCTTGTATGGGATCTTTGTCGATAGAAAGAATAGCAGTGTCATCTGCAAATGTACCAAGTAGAGTGTTTTCGTTTAAAGGTAGGTCGTGGGTAAAGACATTGAATAGGAAGGGGGCTAAGTCGCTGCCTTGGGGGACACCATCAGTAGCTATTTGAGTGTTTGAAAGGGTGCTGTTAATTTTTGTGACAAATGTTCTTTGGTTTATATAAGATTATATTAGTAGGTAATACTTAGCGGGCAAGAAGGATTTTAATATATTTGTACTAAGTTAGGTAGTTAATTTTTTTTTTAATCCCATAAATATGTATAACATCGTAGACCTACATTTTAATTTCATGTTTTTTAGTACTTAATGCTTATATGCATTATATAATATACGGCTATACGAGTATAATATGAACATTGCCTACTCTATATTACATTATTACATTTTACATTTTAATCCGTTAAAATATACGTAGATACTATTATTATACTAACGTACCTATAATATAATACATTAATAGCCACATACCGTATGCTTACTTGTATGTAAATATGTTTTAATTATTCGTAATTTACGCATAATATATTTTCAAAATATGTTCAAAACAGTTATATAATGTAAAAATTAAAAATATGAAGTAAATACCAATTAAATAATTGTATAATAATTGGTTTTACCGAATAGAAAATTAATTATAAATCGTATTTAAACAGTAAACTCGGATTTCATGTAGTTTCTAACTAATACATATTATACTCTATAGGTAAGTATATTCAATTTTTGTATACAACAATGATGAAAAATTTTGAAATGAACAAAACAGTGTACTTATACTAATATAATATGACCCTGGCCTTGACAATCATAATACCATATCCTATACTTATTAGGAGTTATAACTACATATTCAATACTTCCATATATATACGAAGTCGTTATTCACTCCAAGGTGCATGACCACGGATATATTATTTTCATACTAATATTAATAATAATATATTGGTTAAATACTATATATAGTAGATACTAGATAGTATATACGGCCACACATACACTATGATTCACGAAACATACTCCTTATATCATTTAACAATGCAATTATTAAATTCTTATTTTTAGAATTTTTAAGCATATTAAAGATCATATTTTCAAATAAGTACTTAATTTTCTTTTTTCATTTATATATTTTTTTTTATACTGTTTGCTATACAAATTACAAAGCCCATTGCAGCTAAAGACAATTGTATATAAATTGATAATAATTGTTTTTAGTTTTTATACACAATTTCAAATAGTATATAAAAATATATAGTTTCTATTAATTTATAATTATTACTTACATTTTCATATATCTGATTAAGTGATGAATCTTTTATCGTTCACGATGGACCATTATCATTATAGTCTAGGGGTTGCCAGATTTTGAAATTACCTAACCGGGACATCAAATTGAATAATCTTTTTTTATATTAACTTACTACTATTGTTATTATTTACTACTCCGTATTACTACTATTGATACTTTTCGTTTAAACGGATTTTTTTCAATAGTTAGGTATATATTATTCTAATTTTTTTTATAAAATTCGTTACAAGTTATCAAAATTAATTTTACACACCATTAGACCTCGTTTAGTATGTTCATTCATCTTTCCCGTAACATAATAAGATAATCATATAGGTAATGATACAGCGTACAATATTACTCTATGTTTTATTATTAAATAATACAAGTTATTTTCTCTCAGCTTCTAATTACCGGGACAAACTTAATGACACCTGAGGACACCTGGGCGGCTGGGCATGCTGTTAAAACCATCCCGGACGACAACCCTAATTATAGAACCTACTATAGTTTAACGACTCTTAAACTACTTGTTAAAATTTCGATGTAGGTGCATACAATTTTCAAAAAAGTCATCTAATTAAAAAATTTACAATATAAGAAGTTTCATTTAAAAAAAAATTGTCTCCACAAAATACTACTTTATAAAAAAAATGTATACATTTAAAAAATATTAATTCTCGATCGCCGATCGCCGATCATGCTTGGAAAATCACTATGTATATAATATAGGTAAATAATAATATTAAAATGGTTGAATTAATGTGATTTGATTGTGCATTTTTGGAAAATCCATGTAAAAACTTAATGTAACAGTAATACATGCAATATGCTTATGAGTTATGATTATTCATGGTTGTGGCTAGCACAATATTATATGACTTAAATTTAATAGCAATTAAAACAGTGCATAATATTTAGTAGGTATAAAGTAAAGCCATATAATCTAAAATTAATCTTATTATATAACAATAAAGGTAGATACTAAATATTTTGTATTGCACAGTCCAGTTATTATAATTACTTATTTCCTCGTTTTAATGTTTTATGCATGAGATTTAACGAATAAGATATTATAAGTACCTGCAGGCTGCAAGTAAATTAAAAGAACATTTTTCTCTTTATACTTTATAGCAAATGGTTTTCTCAGATCTCACTTTCCTAATTATGTCAGCAACCATAGCGAATGTAATTAGTAATGGTTCATAGAAGTTTTCTCACAAATCATATTTATTCGCTACGCGTGTTGCCGTGTTATTGATTTATATTTAAAAAATGTGAAAATTTCTATAAAAACAATTTAATAGGTAGTGTTCTTACTTATTTTCATTTATGCATTTCAATTTGTACTATAAAATGTATAAAATGTGGGTTTAAAGATAATAAAATCGTTTTATGTCTTCGCTAAACGAATTCCGAACTATTTATTATTTAACAAAAAAATGTGACAATTCTATTTGGCCTTGATGGAAATCTCAGTCAAAAGTAAACCTTTCTATATACCATTCCGTGTCAACTGCTTGTTATTGTTGTTTGGCCCTGGTACTGGTACTACCAGCTACTCTTACTTTCCGCCATTACCCTATAATACATAATATTTGTATACCTACCTATAGCTATAAAGATAGTAGTTTATGTAAAAGTATGCATTTCCTGTCTATTAGATGCTTATAAAAAAATATTTCATAAACGTAAAGGTAACTTGTCGTTAATATAAATATATATTTTTGTCTTACATTTTTGTAAGCATATTTCTGTTATTGTTTACGGGCTCGTAAATAATTTGTAAAATAGTAATGGCATATCATAAAATATTGAATTATTGAAATAAAACTATACCTACCTAATTATTTATGTTTTAACTAGCGGATTAGGTATATTCTTTTAAATTTAACAGTTAAGCAAAAAAATAAATAAGTTAGTATTTAATACAGGTACAGAACTATAGTCTATACTCTATATTAATAGTATATAATTAACTAGGCACTTTTCATCGTTGTTCAATAATTATTAATTATAAATCTGTATATTAAAATGTGAAATTTATATTGGGTATTTATATAGGTATAGCCAATTAAATTTCGATAATAGAGATATTAGGTATACCAGCTATTACCTATATCGGCCATACAGGCCATATCCGATTGTATAATATATTAGTATATCGCATATAATTATTCGCAAAATAAGTATATTATATGTGTGCTATTAATAATTTTTATACATCAAAAATACGTATAGAGGAGCTCGTTAAATATATATACTTTAAATATTTTAGTTGAATATTTTGAGTTTGAAATTCATAAAGAATTTTCTTTTTAAATCTAAGATTTGAAAATATAATACAAGATTCCTCATAAGTTTGTCTACCTTTATCTAAAAAAAATGTCTAGAAGAAAGTCAAATTACATTTTTATGAGTGTTTGAAGTTCATAATTTACAACATTGGATATCACTCGATTTCTCGTGTAGCGATTTTCCTATTTTGTTGTAATTCAAAAATGTAGATACATGAAAATTTGATTGACTGTTATATTTTCATTTTCTATACAGCATACAATTTTGAAAATATTTTGACTAGTTTTGAGCTGTTTGCGAACATTTTCAATTTTCAATTTGTTTTCTCTAATTGTCCGTAAACATTTAAATCAAATATCAAATTTAAAATTTAAAATTTAATAATTATTTTGTAGTTAAAAATGTATAAATTGATCAAATTGTATAGCTAAGGATTGAAAATTAAAATAAGGTTCCACTTAAATAGGTTATATAATTTATAAATTACTTTATTCATAATAAATCATCAAATATAGGTACTTAGTAATAGCATAGGCTGACTGATCCTCTTTGCTCAGAATTGTTTTTCTTCTACAATGATATTAATATATCATTAATAATTTATAATTCAAATTTAACACCTTCCGTTAAAGTGACCCACTTGTAAGTTGTAACCTACTGTACAGCAGAGTGACACCCACTTGCCTACCTTTTTTTTTTAAACTTGAACTTTCTGAATCAATAAGAATTATTTCCCTTTTTATTCATTTAAACATAAGTATAATAGTCCTATTATAATTATAGCAGGTAAAAATTTAAATTATTTCATATCAAATATAGGCAACACAGTGGATCAGTAAATCGATAAGCTTAGCAAAGTTTTGTTATATCATATTATTAAATATAGTTCCCTACCTATCTTGCATACCTATTGGCTATTTATTAAGTTTATAACGTCTCACCTAATTTTAAGTATTAAATATAGATATAGATACAGGTACGTGGCATATATTGTATATATACCCAAACCTCACCACAATAATTATAGATAAATGTAAGAATATTCATATAAAATAATATAAAATAAAATATAAATAATTTTGTATTTTGTAGGTACACTGGTCATTGTCCAACATTGAAATTCCGGTTTGGGAAACGATATGGAGCTAATACTTTAGAAATTATTCAGGTTTGAATATATTGACACTATCACCTATATGATATAACATAATTTATCAAAATTTGATTTTTAACTAAAATTGTATTGGTACATAATTTCCATTGGTTTTTTAAATTTAAGGAACTTCGTGAGAAAGGAGTGTTAAAACAATGTGATTTAAAAAATGTGTACCTGAGAGATAGCCCATTAGATGAACTACCTCCAAAACCAAGTACAAACGATTTAAAAATTAATGTTGACAAAGAACAAGAAACGGTCAATAATTATCAAAGATATATTTTAGGCTATACCGGTATTTTTTTTACTTTTTATTCCCTGTAAAAAGTATAACGTCACTAAGTTTAATTTATTATTTATATATTATGTTAATTATAGGATATATACCAGGGATGCATTTTCGGTATGGTAAAACTTTTTGTAGACTTGCTCAAGAATGTGAAGACAATATGCTTGTCAAGTTATCGTCAGAACAAAGTCGAAAAGCTATTGATAGACCTGTTCGTTTTTTGCCTCCAAAAATGGTTCCAGATAAAGCCAACATGCGTCTACAACATACTTTAAATAAATATAAAAGAAGCAAAGATTTTAAAGGTAAAAATTATGATATAAATGTATTATAATTAGTGTCAGAAAATGAAATGGCCTATGTTTTTACTCGTAAATTTGTATTTTTTGTTAGGTATAATTTTAAAATTGAAAATCTTACGATTTGAGTATATTTGACCTTTTAACCATATATTAATGAGTTCGTATAGGTTTAGTGTTATTTATTTATATATTTAGTAAAGCAACATACACTAGAATATAGGACAATAGGGCACGGGCACAACACTCAATTTCCTAAATTATATACTAAATGATAACATATATTTTATTTTTTATACTAATATCTAATATTTACATTAGTGTCATGGGGGGAGTTATTATCATCGCTCAAAAATTGTTAACATTCATATTTACTCTCTCCATGTGTGATGACTGATGAAAGACTAAATGATTAAACGACAACATGGTCCATGGTACTTAATGTTGTAAAAGAAGAAGATACTATTTATCAAGTACCTATTTAAACTTAAAAATAGCCAGTGTCCGCTTTTTTAAAATATAATACTTTAAAGAACAAAAGTAATAAATATAAAATATAAATGACAATTAATTAAAGTAAATAGGTACCTATTAAGTATGTTAATTAATTTTTTTTTTAATTTGAAATCGTCTTCAAGATTTTAATGCTTTAGGAAGTTATCTATTGGTTTTCACGGGTTAAGTAATCAATTATTTGTTATCTTTCAGTAAATTACTTTTTACTATTTATGTTGATGTTATCCATGATCTAGGGAAAAAATTAAAAGCAGGATAATGTATATCATATATATATTTGTATAATATGGCCTGGTGAAATTTCAAAATTATCTGCTTGAAACCCTTGCACAGTTGCACACTAGAAAAAAAATTAAAATTACGCCTCTGATATGAATAAGTATTTTTATACATAATTGAGAATAATATAATTATAGATGGGTACATCATATTATATTATATACTGTTTTATTTTACTTATAAGTAGGTATAGTATTTAGTTCCACTATATTAAATGATAGGTATAATCAATAGTATAATGTAAATCGATTTAAAATTAATAAAATATGCATACATATTATTATTTAGTTGATAAAAAAAAAGAGTCCAAACGAATAAACGATACCAACATACCATATTATATCTGCTAAGTTAACATACTTTCCAATCTTGTTAGAAATATATTAATTTACTTCGTACATTTTTTTTTTTTTTTTTTTTTTTTAATTTGATGTAACTTATATTGTATGTTAAAAATTATGATTAAGTAAATAATTATTATGAATTTTTTTATTAGATCACAAAGTGTCTTCTGAATTACCACCTATATCGGGTTATACAGGTCATATTCCAAGACTCAAAGTATCTAATATTTCAGTGAGTCTACCTTTTCATCACTCAGCCAAACTTGGATTGTCGGTCTTAAAACAAGTGAGATTATACTTAATAATAATTATCCGCTAACAATATTATGTTTCAATAATAAAGTGAAATCGATATTTTTATTATAAGTCGTTAGTTTGATAAAACAATATAATGGGAACAAATAAAATACCTATTATACAATAAACTACTTAATAATTAATACGTAGGAACTTTCCATGTATTAAACTATACAAATCAAATTATATTAAATACATGGACATATTTCCATTGTATTATTTTTCCACTGTATGAATATTTACTTGTAACACTAGAATTTAATTACAAAAATAGTTTTAAAAATGTGATAATAGTACATTGTCCAAAATCTAAAGAGATAATCGCCATAAAATTTTTTTTCATTTTATCAAGTTAGAAATAAACAAAGGTTCTCATTATCGTAAAACCTCAATCAGTTAGGTTATCGAAAAATACAATTTAAATTTCAGTTCGTCGATCAATATAATTTATATAGACAAATGTATGTATTATGGTTTCGAATGTTTCAACTAAATTTTATTTTTTTAATTTGAAAATTATTTTGATGTCAAAAATATATAATTTTCAATTTTTATAGCTAAGTAACTATTGCAGAAACCTAAATAAAATGTATAGACAATATAATTTCTTAAAAATTGAGTTAATCGAATGTTATTTTGTTATGATTCAAAAAATATTATTCGTATTGACTTGAAACTTTTTTCCACAGCTTATATTCACAGCAAATAAAAAAACAAAAATGTGAGAAAGTCGATTTCAAGTAGATTTGACTGCAAATTCAAATCTGAATATTCTTATCGCTTCATTAGATCAATTGGTACCTATGTTTGGCAAAGAACCAGTCTAAAATCCAATATCGCGTGTGTTAGACAAAAACAAAAAATCACGGTATCGAATCCCCTTAAGTATTAGTTAATTTTCTACTGTTACCCCCCCTTCCCTCCCAATGTACACACTACCTCTAATTTTCTATACCAGAAACTTTCGACAAGTTGAATTCTTTATTTTTTTCTATTATAAAAACTAAAAAGTTTCGTCAGACACAAACAAATCATTGTAAAACCAATACAATCATTGCTCCGTCCAGAATTTATTACAATTTTAAAGAGGCTTTCCCCCGTAACTTTCTCTCTATCTTTACCATTGAGATTGAATAACTCACACAGTTACCCATACTAAAGAATGGTATAAAACTATTGAAAATAATTGTGTATGATATACTAACCACATTAATACATTATTATTCACATATTAATAGGTATAATATTATACTTACTAATGTGGATTGGAGCTAAATTCTATCACGCGGCATGATTAAGAGTAAGCAACGGCCGCTACTACTAGTACTCAGATGGGTGACCACCCGGGTTCGTAGTGCGTAAAAACCCTGTCACACATACACGTGTTCCTAACCGACCGTACCAACCGTCCCAACCTTACTGTACCAATCTACAGGCTAATGGCCTAAGTCGTCGAAGCCTTAAACCTAATAATAAAAAAAGAACTAAATATATAGGTAGTTCGTAGTTACTAATTTAATTGAACTAATTAATTTAAACATATCGTTTAGGTATTATAAAGTCTGTTCAACTCGGTGTCCGGAATGTACTATATTATTATGTCAATAAAACCTTATAAATGTTTTTATATGTACAAATTTTATCTTTTTATTTAAGTGTAAACTATTTTAAATGAGAAATAAATGAAAATTATTTTTTAAATATTTTTCAGGAGAACGGAGATACTGTCGAACAACACACTAGATAATTTGTAAAGACATTTTTTTGTTATTATTATATATCTACTAAGTAGATATTATATTAAAAATAGTTTTTCTTAAATTATATTTAGTTATAATATGTAAAATGTTTACACATTTGTTTTTGTTTATATTTATTTATGCAACTAGTTACCTAAATAATTGATTTTTCAATGTTAATATCAATTCAGACAAATTGTTGTAAATGTTTAACTCAAACATTAATGGTGTCAATTTATTTATTATGAATAAAATCTATTTAATTATTTGATGTTTCTTTTAAATATTTTTGTGAAGAGTAAAGACATTTTATTTTAGCTTAGCTTATTGTATAGCTTAGCGAATTGTATAGGTGGTGAATGTACCTACACCTGTATTACGATTTTCAATCAACAAGTCATAATTTTTTTTAATTACCTATATTTTCATATTTTGTATAATTGTTTCTTGCAATAACACTAGGAGAAGATCTGCTCGCTTCGCATGCCCACTCTTTTTTTTCGCATGCTGGGGGATTGGTTTTCTTTAATATAGAAAATTGTAATGAAAAATAGTACAAACATTATAAATTATTAACATTTATCTTATATCGTACTATTATTAGCAGCATCTCGATTTAATAAAACAGAATTTACCACTTACCGGCCACTTTGTCATCGGCTCCAACTGACAAGTATAGCAGTTATTACTTATTGGTATAATAATATTATTTTATTAAATTAAAATATATTCGTATGTTATCAAAACTATTATAGATATAGGCATGTAACACTGGTGAGGCAGAGCAACAATATAACAGAGTGATGTGTATCGTCGCCTTCTCGTATTATTCGTAGTACACTATGGAGTATGAACTCCGACGTGGTTAATATAACATCACTTTTGTACAAGCAGTTGGACCGCGTCCAGAACAGATGGTACTTGCGGTTACATCCAACTATACTTTGGGACGTCAGGTATCACTGGGCCATGAAGTCCAATATCGGACGGGTAGACAGGATCAGTTTTCGAACGCCAACAGGCAACAGTTGATGCCAGCACACTATTCAATTTATTGCGTAGTGTACCACTTACGTAACGAACGTTAGCGATAACCAACCGGATGTCACGGGGGCGTATTGACGAGTAAGAATAATATAAGAGTGACAGTTCATTCTGGTCGCCATCAAAAATCGCACACCAAAAGCTCCCCCGAAAACAGTATGGTTCTGAGACGTCAGGGCAATGTTATGCAAAAAAATAAAAACAATTTTTTTTTTTTAAATTGTAGAAAACCCTAACGGCCTAAATACAAAAATTGTTTGTCCATGGTTTTATTATAATACTGTACCTAATGTATTAATATATTATAAATACATACCTTCTGGCATGTAGACAACGAGTCTAGAAAACCAATGGCGATGACAGACTTCATCGCACTTCAGCAGATTATTTAAAGGCATAATATAGGTTATAAGTATAGGTATGATTACATTGAGCTTTTACTTTTTAGACACTATGCTATCATTCTATTATATCATTCTCCAAGTTTAATATTTTTTAACAATTATAACATTAATCGTTACACAATAATTAGGTAATCCATTCATACTATACTATAAATTATATTATTATAATACAGATACCTATTATATATTATACATAACACATAAGTAGGTAGTAAAGATACGAAAAAAATTAAATGTCATAAAGTTTCTATTAAACAATACACACCACACACGTACATATTTCCATAAATATTAATGTTGATATTTCATATTCGGTATTTTAATATACCTTTATGCACTTGCAGACGACGAATGTCGATGAAATAATAATACTTGGATGTTTTATCTTCTTTTACGCTGCAACTGTATATAGAATAAAGATGATAATACCTTTATATTTATGTAAATATGTTAATGATATTTTCTGCATCGCCGTTTACACGCAGTATAGGTAGGTAAGAACAATAACAAATAAAGTACAAAGTTAAGTATAGAGAGGATTTCCTTTTTATTTCGATATTAACTTTCATCAAATTTTTCATTTGTGACCTACCATTTGATACACAAGTTGGGCAAATCAGGGATATTAAATAAATTAAAAACTGGTTATTGATTTATAATAAATACAAATTATTCATCGTCACCAGATCCCAAAACCATGGAGATGAGGTCTTCGGTGTCGATCAATCCTTTTTTGTCAATTTCCATGTTGTCAAAAGCATCTTTGACTTCTTGGTTGGAGAATTTGTCACCCCAGTTCAATAGACCGTACCTCAGCCTAAAAATACAATTACCAGTCAAAAATCTTGTATTTGAAAAATTTAAAATGTGTTTGAATACTTACTTTTCGCTGTCGATTTTACCGTTGTCATCGAACGACTTGATGGCAGCAATAACAGTCTCGTCATCGTCGGTTTGACCTAATAAATACATCAAATTACGATATTAGTTTATGTTATAATAATATAATAGCACATCTTATTGAGAGCATTAACAGTTTACTGACCTCCATCAGACATCCTAGCTGCAAACAAGGTCAACAATTGGGTGAAGTTAACTGGGCCAGAAGCTTCGCCCAACATAGCTTCGAGTTCAGGATCTGTGACAAGCTTGCCCACTTTGTCCCAAGTGGCTCTCAAGTCCTCTTTGCCCAAAATGCCATCTTTATCCCAGTCCATCATCGAGAAACCCTGTTAAATGAATTATATAAATTATAAAATAATAATTTATAAATCACAGATACTCTATAGGTAGGTACCTAGTCTACAATATGATTATAAGTTAACAGATTAGGCTATATTACCTCTTTGAATTCGGCCACTTGTTGGGTTGTGAACATAGAGAACACATTACTGCCAGACCTGCGGACTTTCTTGGATGAACTTTTACGGCTGCTGTGTTTTGTGCTGGAATGAGAAGGAGGTGCTTCGGGTTCAGCGACTGGTGCTGGTGCTGGTGCTTCTTCCACTGGTGCGGCTTCTTTTGGTTCTTCCTTCTTTACCTTCTTCTTCTTTACCTTCTCTTTGTCAGCCTTAATAAATAATGTAAGTTTATAATATTTATATATTACTTATGTCTATATCAAAAAAAATAATAATAAATATGATTTAAATTATTACATATTGTATATATATTATATAATGTCCACCTGGAATTCATATGTAAGATTTGTGGTGTAATATATTTTAAAGCTTAATAATATTCCGAAAAATTCAATAATGTACACAAAAATTGTTCACTATTATTTGAACAAGGTATATTTAGATATCCACATAATTTATAAAATTTTCCGAATATTTATGAAAAGATTGGAATATCAAAAATGATTACTTAAAATCGTTCGAAAATTACTTAATATAATTTATAACTATGTAGGTACAGGTACTTGACAAAATAAATGAGAGGTACTATACCTGAATTTGAATAAGTTAAATATGATTACACGAATGCATTAATATTGCATATCTTATGTGCCGGCAATAAATTATTAAATAGGGTCTTTTATATTTTCTAATTTTTGTTTTTACAGTCTCCTCTATTATTATTTCAGCCTACATGCAGATGAGTTCAATGAAATTCCTAACTTTAGAAATACCTACAACGTAATTTGGGAACTTGCCAATATGATGTCATGTACGTGCCATATTCTAAATATAAATCTAGCCAAGTCCAGATAATAAATAAGACTTATTGCCAACTTTATACTTGATCTAAGTATCTAATATGTTCAAAAATTCCAATTTTAAGATAAATTTAATATGCCTGAATTAATTATAGAATAAAACAAATTATTGTATTAGTACAAAATGTACTATACGAGAGTAAAAAAAATGTTTCATAGTATTTATAGTAATTATTATCATAAATATTCTAGTTAAAATAAAATAAAATTAGGATAGACAGATGTAATAACTTATTGATGGACAAAAATTTTCAAATATATTTTCTTTTATAATTATTTCTTATGACAGTGCATCGTATAATTTACTAATGTTTAACATTCAATTAATAAATATAGTACCTAAAGCGTTTTTAAAAGCCATAAATATTGTGGTTTTAGACTATTTACGAAAAAAAAGTTAACTTATATAAATGAATATAACATGGCCAAGTTGTTGGATCGAAATAAATATCGATCAAAAAAGTAAATAGGTATATACTTAAAATTAGGTTTAAGTGTTTCATCAATAACCAAATTTCAATTCATTTTTAAAACAATTTTTCTGTTTGTACATTCTTAGTTATATGCTATTTAATGTATTTAATTTATATGGTATATTTAATATTTTTATAAATATTATAAGTAATTTATAATGTATAAATATAAATACATAGATAGTTTAATAGAATTTCATAGTTCTTAATTTCTTGTTATTATTTTTCACAATCGAATCGACCAAACGTAATTTTTTTAAAACTTTTTAAAATACCTAATGAAATTTAAAATATACTTTTTAATTATTTTTAATATCATCGTATAGTTGTACCTCATCTTACGACTTTCAAGATATAATTTAACTATAATAATAATTAGTTACCTATTATTAATTACATAAAAATAAATAGGTACTTGATATAATATTATTTAATATATTATTTATTATAATACAGTATGTATACATAATAATATATGAAGATTATTTGAGTAAGTTAAGTCTAGGCATCATATCTAGTTTATTGTTTTAATTATTAAAACTTAAAAGTTATTTTAACCAATTGAGTTTAATTTATTTTAGAACAAGTTTAAAATATTAGGTGATATAGAGACGTGTACTAACCATTTTGTATGTTTTCTGTAGTCGTTATTAATGCCAAGAGAAGGTGAACACTACTGAGCTACTGGGCCCAAGCTGATTGTGGTTCTCGGATCTTGGAGGTTTAAAAATACAATATGTATCGGCTAGCGAAACACTAAACTTAGCCATACTCAGTCATATGGTGTTCGTGTTTTATTTAAACTCACATTCGCTCCCCACTCCTTCATTTATATTAATTACGCATATTGCCCTATAACAATTTTTTTGGCATCTCTATCACAATATACTCATAATATATACCTTTAGAAAACGAATAACTTTCTCTAATACCCTTAACTTATAGGTTAATGTTTTCATTTGACCTATTACTCGAATTCACTATCAATATATTTACGTTATATTAAAAATAGCTAATAAAGTTATATTTTAGTAATATTTTGTTAATATAAAATATTGTTTTGTTTATATTGGGTACGTTATTTTATACAGTTATTTTTAATAATACTAGTTTTATAAATAATAAATTGAATACATGTTTTCATCTGATAAGCAAATAATTTCAATATTGTGTAGCTACAGGCCCGGATCGGGCCGGCGAATTGTTGCAAGATTATTATGATACATGGGCTGCTTGCTAAAATAGTAAAATATTTAGCTAATATTAAGACTTTTCTTTAAACTTAAATAATAATACAACATGGAAAGCTGTTCAAATCGCTGTCGATTTTAGAACCTTCAGGGTTTTAAAATATTAAAATTATAATCATCTTCAAATTTCCAAACATTTAATATACCCGAGGGTAGATATTTTTAATAAAATTGACGAAAACATCACAGTTGGAACTTTGGCTGATGAAGAAATTGATTTTATTGGAAAATAGTCAAGGATCAAGCATGTCAATAACACTGATCACCAGGAGGCTTACCGCTTACGAAAGAGAAGTTAATATAAATATGAAACATGATTCCGAGGAAAACAGATATTTAATAAAACAAATTTAAATAAAAAAACTTGTCAATTACTGGAAATAGTGTTTAATAGTACCTATATTGTTATATCGCTATAAAATTATTAATATTTAATAATTGCATTCTACTAAAAATACAATATTATTTCGATGAACTCTATCGATAAGAATCACTAGGACGTATTTGTTTTTTGATATCTATAGATAGTTAACTACATTTTAACTCTAACTTCTAAGTTAAGAGTTATAACTTATAACATATAAACACAAACTGTTAGTTTAATTGAGTTTTCAACGATTGTTCACTGACAATTTTGATGTTATTACTTGAAGAAGAGTAAGTATAAATAAACATAAATTAAATAGTATAAATAATAAATTATAGTAAAAAAATTTCAGAAAACATTGATTGCACCGCCGTTTTTTCCGAAGTTGTCATCTTACATCACGTTGGGAATATAAGTAGGGGCACCGCCACATAGGTATAACCATTGATTATACATTGTATATTAATAGTCAATGGTATAACTACTAATAGTAGGTACCAAACGTTGACTTGGTAAAATTCAAAAACAGATTTTGTTCTTGCATGCTCGAATTTTCCCGATTAAAAAATAACGGTGTAGTAGCTGATAAATCAGCTACCTATTTTAATTAATTTTTATCAACCAGTTGAACAGACTTAATTCGTCTCCGCAAAATATAGGTATGCATGGATATCGTTCGTCGTTTTTTGTGAATCTATCAAAATAATTTATAGTTATTAGTATGCATGTAAAAATACAAAAAAATGCGAGCTCATGCGAATGGGAATGCATCATACATTCAAACCCCCGCACCCCCTGCACCTATAACGTTTATATTTCGTTTTAGTCTTTTCATTTTAGATTCTGAGTGAAACGATGATTTTTACATCATGATTATTGACTTAACAATGGTGTGTTTTTTTTTTTAATTTTTTTTTTTTTTTTGTGTCTGTCATCACCTTTTTGGACAGTAAAAGTGCTTGGATTTTCTTCAACAGTATCCTTTCTGATAGGAAAGTGAATCTAGTTGGTACTTGGGGGGGGGAGTCAAAAGTAAAATTTTTTAAGTAGTTTTCAAACCCACATATTTTCTATACACCATGCCTTTTTTAAAATATTTTGACTTATTTTGAGCTGTTTAGGAACATTTTCAGTTTCCAATTTTTTTAGTTTTTTATTCAATAAATATCAATACAATTTTATTTGTTGGTTAAAAAGCTTGAAAATTTAATAGAGGGTTCCTAGTATATTGATTCAAAGGCAGATAAAAAATATTAAAAATCCTTAGTCACAGTTTTTTTTTTTATAAGCATTAAAGGTCAAAAATTGACAAAATATGGAAAAATCACGAAAATTAGCAAATTATTTTGAGTTAAGAATTCGTAAAAATTTTTCTTTTAAATCTAAGATTTTAAAATGTAATACAAGATTCCTTATAAGATTACCTACCTTTATCAAAAAAAAAATGTCTATAAGAAAGTCAAATTAAATTTTTATTAGCGTTTGAAATTCAAATTTGTACAACATTGGATATTCACTCGATTTCTCGTGTAGCGATTTCCTTATTTTGTTGTAATTTTAAAACGAATAACTGTAGATACATGAAAATTTCACTGAATGTTTAAATTGGCATTTCCTATACACCATACAATTTTGAAAATATTTTGACTCTTTTTGAGCTGTTTATGGACATTTACAGCTTTCAATTTTTTTTAGTTTCTTTTTCTATAAATATCAATTAAGTTTTTTCTGTTGGGCTAAAAAGTGTAAAAATTTAATACAAGGCTCCTGATATATTGTTACAATATCAGTTGAAAAATATTAAAATACATAGGCACAGTTTTTTTTTATAAGCATTTAAAGATCAAATTTTGACAAAATTTATCAAAATTAATCGTAAATTATCAATCATTGTAATTAATAAATTATAAAATGTTCAGTTTTTATAGCTAAGGATTGCAAATTTAAAACAAAGGTTCTCATAAATAGTTCATACTGTAACCAAAAAATCTGAAAAATATATGAACACAGTTATTTTTACAGACATTTTAAATTCAAATTTGGACGAAATTACATAAAAAAAACCTAAAATAACTATTTTAGTTATTTTGTTGTGATTGAATAATATTATTCGTGGGTACTTGAAACTTCTAAAGTGTACTATTATATATCTATGATAGTATCACGGTGTTTGTTGATGTATAACGCGTTATAAGTACCTAATGGATATTGTGATATGATTAATTTGGAATTTATTATAGGTACCTATTATAGGTCAAATTTTGGTTTAGTACCATAGATATGTATATAATATGTCGTATACCTAGACTGACATACCGTCTCCGCTCAGAATCGTTTTTCTTATACAATGATATTATTTCGTTGAATTCAAATTTAATAGCATCCATTATACAGTGACCCATTTGTAACCTACTGTACAGCAGAGCGACACCCACTTGCCCACCTTGTTTAAATTCAGTATCGATGTCTAACTCGATTTTTGAATTTTTGCAATACCACCTTTCAATTTAAAGTTGTGCAGTGTACACCTTAAAGGCTTAAAATACTTATAACTCGATTTAAAATTAAAAAATAACAAAAAGTCTATGAGATGCCCTAGCCCCTAGATAATAATCATACCTTTAAATTTTATAAGAGGACAATTCACTCTAATTGTTTAACTAACGGAGCTAAACGTGATTTGCTGAGAGTAAAATTTGCCATGTTAAGCACTTAAACAGGGGAGAGGGGTTTAACTGAAAATTAATGGTTGTGTAATTTTTTTTATATTTATAGATTATGAACCCCCTCTTAATTATTGATATGTATTGATGTTACCTTCTCGGCTTTCAAAGTTAAATTTGTAAATATTTATTGTTTCTACGATTAGTAGTTACTAGTTAGTACAAAGGTAATAATCTACAGACTACAAGTATCTAGCAGTACCTATCTAGCACAAAACCATTTAAAATTTTCAAAAATCGATTGAGAACAACAGTTTCTCATGAAAATTTAAAACAATTGATGATTATTTCCTATGAGTCTGATATTGATGCAAACCAGGTCATAAATGGGTTTGCGAATACTACCTACATATTATTATCATATAGGTATCTAATATTCATATAAGTATCTTTATACCTTTATATAGCTGTTCATATTTGAGACTATTTTGAAATTTTTTTTTAGTAGGAGACTGAAATATCATATTTTTTTTTCTTAAGTATTCATCTTAGTAATTACTAATTACTTACTATACATTATATATATACAATATACCTATTGGGTATTAACCAAAAAATTACTCTCGTCCTCGTGTACGGTGTACTACACATGACACATTAATTCATGTAATATGTCAGCACACTAATAGTTTACATAGGTACCTATGTTGCAACATAGGTAACAAATTTGGGTTCAGCAGAGCAAACTTTGTGTTATTAGCTTTATTAATAGATATTAAGATATCGCAGATTATATAAAACTGTGGTAGGTAGTAGAGTGAATTAACCTATTGTCAAACTTAAAGTTAAAACGATTATTTGTGTATGTATGTTGACTTTTTTATGATATTTAAATTTTAAGGCGAGATTAGAGCATTTTCACCATAGCTATACGTATTCAACTATTCACTTCTATCAGAAAAGATACTGTTGAAGAAAATCTAAGCATTTTTACTATCATAAAAGGTGATGACTGATGACTGACACAAAAAAAAAAAAAAAACGTTAAGTCAATACATTCATCGTTTCACTCAGAATCTAAAATGGAAACTGAAAATGTCCGTAAACAGCTCAAATATTTGGAAAATGTTGTGGTGTATAGAAAATGCTAATATAAACATTCAGTCAAAATTTCATGTACTTACTGTCATTTGTTTTAGAGTTGCACCCAAAACCAAAATCGATTTTCTCAAAAACAGATTTTGCATAAAAATTCCCGTTTTTCCTTAATTTTTCTTTTGTTTTTCACGTCGCTTTTGAAAACTACTGGGAAATTTTTACTTTTGACCCCCCAAAACACTGACTAGATTCACTTTCCTTCCCAAACTTGCTATGTTGCGTATGGTTGAATGGTTCAGAGAAAGAAAACAAATAACCCTCTGAGATAGGTAGGTACAATAATCTTACACATTTTTATTGAAAATAGTGCTCTGACTCTTGACATAAAATTCTACAGGCTACAGCAGTACCTACAGCCTACAGGTCTCTAAATGTATGATTGATACTGCGTATTGGCATTGATTATAAATTTATAAATATGATTTATTTATATTTATTTGTATTTATAATCAATGGTATTAGCAATTAGCATAGAACAATAGTATTATAGGTAGGTATATAAAATAGAATATTTCTATATTTCTACCTAAAGAATTAGATTGTAGACGGTATGATAATCGTTAGCCTCATTATTTTTGTTTTATATTATAGACGTTTGTGTAATGAAGTGGTATGAGACATTTCAAGTTTTTTCTGCCAAAAAGTGTAACTATTCGACTATTTGAGTGTAAAATATTATAAAAATAGATAGGTCATAAACGCAAAGATTCAATTTTTTTCATAATATCATCCACGCTATCTATCCACTATCAAGTAGGTATCAAGTCTCTCATGAGTCATGACCATGATGTTGATTATGTGGAGTTACACAAAGAAAAGCGAGGGAAAACTTTAAATTGATAGCATTCATTTCATAGAATTCTGTGTTCATTTTGTCATTTTGATTGAGAGATATTGACAATAGAGAATAGGATTCAACCTAAAATAGAAAGCAAATACATAAAAATTAAAAACCATAATTACTCACGGTTCGGCTAGGCTGCCATATAACAGTCTTTATAGCTCTTTTTCATCGTTTGTAGTGTTGTGTATCGTTTTTTCCTTGTTACAATCTTCACACTGCACAGTTGTCTACAACTTGATCGATAACTCTCACTATTATGGATACGTGGACTGCTGATATTTGGAACGGTAATGAAGAGGAATGTAAGAGAATTCTGAATGAACCAGGAAATTGGGAGAAGGTAAATAATTGAAATTGATTGTTTGTCAATTTGTAAAATATGTGCATTTATTAATGAAAACGAAATACATGCTTATTTTTTATATCCATTTGTAAAAGTTTCCATCAACAATAAACCTAGCGGTTGGACTCTGGCCACCTATTCCAGTTCTACTAACTTTTTTCTCCTTTCACAAGTCACTACCTATACCGTTATGTGGGAGATGTGTACCTGCTGAATGGAAACTGGTGCCGGCCTGGTGTATTATCTTTTGGAACTGAGTATAGGAGCAGTTGATGATATATAAATATATAACTATGCCTGTGTCTAGTGACATGAGTTTATGATTGACCCGAACAGAAACATGAATAATCTTTAGCAAATATATTATTTTATTTCAATTTTAATGTTAGGTATCTACACTTGTTGGGGAAAATAAAAAATAATTGGAAAAATGACAGAGCAGTTACCTACCTAGTTAATTATCACTTATTATTTAGTGCCAAAAATCAATAAACAACTTAAATGAATATGCAAAAGTCTTGAACATCAAGAATGGTTTTGTAAGAATACCTAGTGAGAATACTGTTTTAATAATTCTATGATAATACCTAGGTATTGACTTTTAATTTAAACTATAATTTTACAAACATGACTAGATGAAAAATGTTTTTGGGTATCTTTTCTTAATAATATTTAGATATTTACTAGAGTCTAGTAGTCTTTACTTTGTACCTTATATTTCTTAATCTAAGGTAATTTCAAATTTGAATGTTTCTTGAGGTCCGTTTATAATAATTATGCTACTTTTACTGTACATATGTTTAACACATATTTATTTTATTGCAAAAATCTTATGAAAATAATTTTAATTCATAGGTACCTTTATTATTTGATGATAAAATAGCTCTTGGAACCTTTGTACGATTTAAAGGAATGATACAAGATATGTTAAATCCAGAATATTATAGTAGCAATTATAAAATTATCAATTCTGAGAATGATGAATTTACTTTGTGTCAAGCAAAATATCATAGCAGTACTAAAAATCTAAAAGTAAGAATAATGATTTTAAAAAAAAAATTGAGTTATATTTATTTATACAATTTATTCATTTTGTAGCCTGGAGAAGAAGTTGTATTTGGTGATACATTGATGGAACGACAAATTCTTGCCTGTATTCCAATTCCAGGATTGAATGAATGGGCCAAAGATGTAACTAATACAAACCAGAATGCTGAATCTCAACTGTATGTTAATTATTAAATACTAGGTATAATCTGTTTTATGAAAGAAAGGTACTGCATCATTTGTGCAGACGACAAAGGGGGCCACAAACCGCCTGCCAGGCTGACGAAGTATTGCATGCACTCTATTATTACTGACGTATCACAATTGGTTCACATTGATGCAGTCATCGTGTTTACTCAGTTCCATGACCATTGTAGACAACAGGCATTATTACAGGTGGTCTTGGGTAACTCGTAGGAATTGACCTGTTTTCGTCAAGACACGTTACCTTTCTTTTGTGAGACAGAGTATACTTACAAAATTATTTATATTAAATTATTATTAAAATATCACATATTGATTTAGAGAAGAAAATATAAGTAAACGTATTCGTCTTGATCCAGCATGTCAAAAATACCCTAAGGAAATATTTATTTTTGTAAGTATTAATTTTATTGTTTTGTCAAACATTTTATCATTATAATATTATTATTATTGTAAACATTTAAATATCTAGGTATATCCTGAAGATATCAATAGCAATGAATTAAAGCTTAACCAAATTGTAGAAGTTGTAGGATTTCTTGACCGACGTACGATTCAAGATGACAACGGAGATTTAGAAGGACAATCTTCAATAGCTAAAGAAACACATTGTATTCATGCTGTTCAATTGAAACTGCTAAAAACCTTAATTCCAGATAATGAAGAAATGTGTAAGTTAAATGTTTTGTTTCATATTTAATTATGAAATTTATATGTGTTATTAATAATATTATTATAATGTTAATACATTTATACAACAGATAAATCCATCTGGAATGATGCACCAAACATTTATGCAGAGCTAAAATTTGTATTAACTCAAGCATTATTAGGAGACTCTTTAGCTGCTGACTATTTACTATTTTATCTTGTATCTACCATGTATGTATAATATTAATGTTAAATACTACAACATCTCTCCATTTGATTTTCACCTGAGCACTGTTATTATATAATATATATGTATAATAATTCAATATTTTTATAGTTATAATAGACAAACCGTTTTGGTTCCTGGAAAATTCTCATTAAATATTCGTGGTATTCCTCATGATATTGGACAAAGCTACACAAAACATTTGTACTCACTGATATCTTATTTGGTAGTAAAAAGTGAGTATTTACCAATCCAAATACACACTATGAACAACAGGATATGATCCAAGGTATATATATTTTATTACCCACCTATACAAAATATTAAGAAAATTTTAAAATATATTAATGCATATAATGTGCTTCCAAACTTACTAGACACTATATTATTGATACTTACTATGACAATAATAAATAATATAATTATATTAAGTATTTTTTATCAGTCAGCTTCTATTAGTTACTTCAGAGTTAGCATGCATTTTGTATTTCAGTAGTTCTCAGTATACCAATGTTCACTGAATATACTATTTAAACGTATGATGAATAAGTTATTAAATGCTAAAGATAAGAAAAATTTTATTTTGTTACAGAAAATGCTATACGTCCAATAGACTGCTGAATGGATTTTTACAGTTGTCAGATAGGACACATTTGGTCTTAGATGAAACAGATTTACAGCCGGGAAATTTGGATAATAAAGGTAATTCAATATGTTTATATATATATTTTTTTTTATTTTTTTAGGGAGGGAATGGTTGGAACGGTTGGTTGATACACATTTTTAGGTTCGGCAGAATTTCAAGTTGGGCACCCATAGGTTTCTGTCATGCCCGGTCGGGGGATGGCGGCCTCACTCTCTAGACAGTTGCCTGCCCAGAGAGAGGAGCCGCCCGTAGTCGAGGTTCAAACCGGCGACGTTCGTATCGGAACAGATGCCGTAGTCCACTCGGTCACTCCGTCCCCCTATATATATATTATTTTATCAAAATTACAGAATATTTTTTTTGGCGGTTACAATATTTCAGGTCTTTAACTGATCTAATTTTATTTCCATGACAAATTTGTCTACTGTAGTTTAGTTGGTATTTTTTGAGTTACAAATTATTTTTAAAATCCAAAAATTCTTTTCTTGGTCATTAGAAGACAAACATATTTGAACAGAAACAAATTCGGAAAATCTTAAGTCCCAAGATTTGTCACATATTTAGTTTAATAAATTGGTCAGGAAATTAGCCTGGTCACGAATTCGTAATTTGTACTTTTGAATGATTTATTTTTGATTTCAACGTCGTTATCTTAATTTTTAGGGCATTATTGAAGTTTTAAAGTCCAAAATTCAAAACTAACTCGAGTCATATATAACAGTAAATGATTTGGCGTTCTTAAAATATTACCTATCACTTTGGTAGACGTTAAAAGGAGCTTCTCTATCTACAAAAATTTACTGGGGAAAACAGAAGATCGTTTTTATTTGAAAATCTTAATCAATCTCTGTTGATTCAGAGTGTACAGTTAAGGGGATTAGAAGCAGCGTAATTATTTCACGTTTTAGACCTAAAAGCTGACAAGATATGCATACTTATAATCATTTTTCAGTTCTGTTATAAGATTTGAGTATATCGACCATTTTTCTAGGTTTTTGTGGAATTCAATTTTTTATATTTCTTTAAAAATTGTTCTTAAATCTTAGTTTAGTTTTTAAATTTTTAGATTTACTTTAGTGTCTTTTTTAAGAAAGTTAAACAGTTATTCTAAAATTGACTTCCACAATAACCTAGAAAAATGGTCGATCAACTCAAATGTTTTTACAAAATTGAAATCCGATAATTTTGAGTTGACGTATTTTTGTCAAACTTTTAGGTCTAGATTGAAAAAAAAAGTAGTTCGTTGGAACAAAATATATTATTTCATCAAATGCTTTGATTTGTATATGCGCGTGCAAACCGCTAGTTGTTTCCCGGAAATTATAATGAATACTCATCGTTGTTAAATATGCAGGTAGTAGTGGTGGCGCGCTGGACACTCACACAAATGTTTATTTACCACTCACACAACAGCACTACGCGACTTCAACTGATAAACTAATTGCCTATCGTTTACTCCTTAGAAACAAAGCGCCTTCAGCCCCCTTAAATGAATATATAATCCAATTCTATCAAAATAGTTAGAATAACATAAGGAAATAATTGTTTTTTTAGATTAAAAGAAATCTAAGTTGAAAGTTTAGCCTACATAAAAATTATTTTAATCACTTTTTATCACTCATATTTTACAATTTATTAAAAATCATAACAATTTACCTGCATTTTTTATTGAACAAAATTTTATTTACTATCTGTATTTACATGTAGTACAATAAGTGAATGGGATGTGGGTTGATTAGCGGGAGGGGAAGTCCCCAATGGTGGCACCCCGTGATTTAGAACTTTTAGAGCTTTAAATCATTTTTTTTAAAGCACTTTTTAGGGTTTTATAGGGCTTGTAGGGAATGTTCCCAGCCTCTCTAATAAACTATTAGTATAAAATAAATAATATTACTGTTTGTATGTTTTCACATTTTATAAATTATTTATTATTTTTCTCAGGAATGCTAAATCTTGAAGCTCTGAAAATATAATTTCTACCCAACAATGAAGTATGATTTCACTTACTATGGGATGGACTATGATACCCAAATACCAACACTGACATTATCAATTGGAAAATCTCTTCTACCTGTAACTTAATTAGTTAGTAATAGTTTTAAAATGTATAATTCATAACTATATGTATAATTTCAGTGTGATATTGATATTGTACTGAAACCAGACCCATCTTGTTCTGATGTCGAAGAGACAATGAAGTCAGTTCACGACTACCTAAAAAGTCAGTTACCTCTTTTGGATAAATTGAGAAAATATATTGCAATAATTTCAACATTTCCTTTTAAATATGAACAGGATATTTTACAAGTAGGTCAAAATATATTAAGTTATTGTGAAATAATATAATTCATCAATCCCCTTTTTATTTTTATTAGGTGATTGAAAATGATTTTGTAAAATGCGAACGGCTGATCCTAAATGTGTGTTCTGATGACTTGCATATTTTATTGATGATTTCAAAGTAAGTTTTGAAACTTCTAACTTATATTTAGATGGTTGATGTTTGCTTACTTTCAGTTTCATTATTTTATAGATTAATTGCCTTATGTTCTGGAAAGAATGAATTTGATAATGCAATTTGGGAAAGCGGAAAATCATTTGAAAATCAACGTAAATTAAGAAATAAATAAATTATACATTGAATGTATAAATTAGTATTGAAAATACTTAAATGTTTAATATATTAAGATCTAAAAACACAACTGATTAACATTTTTAAATATTCAATCTAATAAATTGTATTATATAAACAGCTGCACATCATAAATAATGTTCTGAATTATTTATAATTAATAAGATAAAAAATAAATCATAAAAATATGTGGATTGAATGATTGTATTTTCATTACTTCAAGTTTTTGGAACGGATATTCTCTGGTAAATTTATTTCCAGAAAACATTTTAATTCTCTATAAGTCTTATTATGTTGATACTAGCATATTTCTATTTCTTATGTTAGAACAATAGGGTAGAGTGGGAGAAATACCGTGGAGCTCAATCAGTTGGATGCTCGAAAAGGAGTAGCGCTCTTAGAGTGGCCCGACTATAGTAAATTAATCTGATTTGATATAATATTATTATAAATATAACAGTTTTGTTTAGAACTAATTTAAAATTCACAGCAAAATATAATGCTAAGGAGTGTCTTCTTTAGGAGGCATATGTCCATATTTGAATGTCAGTCTTATTCACCATCTCAGTTATAGGAAGAAACATCGGGAATCCATTCGATAATAAATGGTATTGGTTCTTTTTGATGTTCATTGACAATACCTTCAAAACAAAAGGCTCTTTAAAATGTTTTTCTAAAAATAGGTACCTAATAATCGTCATGCATTTAAAAAAATTCATATAATTGGAATTACTAATTTGAATGTACTAACCAACTTTTAGAAATGTCTTCAAATCATTTGGTTGTATTAGTTGATGAAATTTATCGGTTGGTATAATATAGTCATTCTTTTCACGCTCAAAAGTATCGTATGTTCCATCTATGTTTCTGATGAAACTGCGACTAATATTAAGAGGTACTAAAGGTGTTTCAAAAATTTTCTTCACTATCAGTATATTAGTAATATGCCAAGTATGCTTTGTGAATGTTCCTAAAGGTAATGAGTCACGCTTCACAAACACCGAAGTATAATTGGGTAAACGTTTTTTTTGAGAAGCCACACACATACGTTCTCGCAAACAATCAAAAAACGTCTGTAAAACAAAACTTCTATTTATATTTTTTGTGCAAAAAAAAAGAAAGCTTTTGTTATTTATTTTATCATTCAGCTTTGTAAGGCAATTATGTCCTCAATTCCTTCTTCAATATCAGTCATATCAAAAAATGTATTACTCACCTTATGAATATGAAACACCATGGTCGGAGGATTACCATCAAATTGATAATGCATTTCTTGGTTGATGCGTTCTGTAACCGAAGACATCCATTTTTCGAAATTTAACACCGGATTAGGGTTTATGAATTGTGGTTCTTCGTGACCTAAGCATAAAAACTATTTGTAAATTCAAATATAAATTTTAATACACTAAAATAAAATAATATTAATATCATACAGCTTTTCTTCTTTAATCTCGAGTTGTTTTGAGGTCTTTTAGATCGTTTCTAAAAAATAAGTTATATTTTTATGTTAGTTAAATGTAGAACATTATAACAAAATCAGAACAAACAATTAATAAGAACTAACATAACATGCCATTTTTTTTACTAATATGAACTAGTATTCTATATGATATACGTCTAATTGTTTAAATTGAGGCTTTTGAAAAAATAATAAGTATACAATAATAATATGTAAATCAATTGGTGGAATTGAAATCAGTACTTTCGATAGTATGTTTGGAACTGTTCTTTGATATTTAGGAGCAATGCTTTCTAAGACGCACGTTTCATTAGAGATAATCATCTGATCATCAAAAAATGTGACTGGTCCATTACTTTCTTCTGCCAATGCAACTGGGACATCTAAAACAAACATTAAATTATTTTTTTATATTTGATACTTCCAACTAAACTTTATTCCCCGTAAGTTTACCCACTTTTAGTTTCTTGCACTCACAAAATATGGTGAAAATATTTTGACAATACAGTTCACTGCAATTCTACAGTTTCACGTAGCGAAACACCACGGTGTATACGTAGTGAACTGAATTGTCAGAACATTTTCACCAAACACTGCGTGCGCAAAAGGCAAAAAGGGGATAAGGCTTACGGGGAATAGTGTATAAGTTTTGATAATAACATTAATAAGTAGTGACTATAATTAGAACTATGCACATGATCAACAGTTATCATTGGTATAGACTATAAATAATATAATAATTATTCATTTTTAATACAATCTCCCATATTCCTCTAAATATCAACTAATATTCTTCTAAAAATCAACTAATAGTTCGAGACCCCTGAATTATAGTGACCCTACTGTATAGCAGACCGGTACTCACACTTTGTCCCCTTTTTTTTTATACCTAATGAGTATTTTTTCTTAATTAGTATAACATCTTGAATTGGTTATTTACTTATAGGTATAATAAAAACATTTTAATAGCCTAATGATGACATAGCTCAAACATCTCAATAATACTAAATACAATTGTTCACTGTAAATCTAGGTACTTATTATCTTTAAGATGATAGACTTACTTGGCAAATTGTCAAGTTGAACAATAGTTGCGAAAACGTAGAAATAGATACAAAAGGATTAAGATTTTTTTCAAACTCCTGACCATATCGAGAAGTTGCTATAGCACTTAGACATGCAATGTAATGACAACAAAGTATGTATTTAAATCTGGTATTTGATCCAAACAAAAATATGTTCGGTGTAAATAGTAGAATAAAATAATAATAATAATTTATCAGATATATTACCATTTGATCAACTGTAACCAATGTAGTAGTACAACAAAAGCATCTATTGTATTTTCCGATGATACAATGCAAATAGCCCAAAGGGTTTTGAGTAGTAATTGTGCATCGGACAACAAATATATTTTCTGATACACGTTGTAAGTATGGTTTTTTTTTATCAACAAAATTTGTCCATACTTCCTGAATTATACAATAAAAATACAAAAAAAACACTTAATAGTAGAATAGTCTTAATTTATACAAAAAAAATTCAGTTATACAAAATTATAAGAGTCGGTAGTTTATTATAAACTGTATATTATTAACTATGGTAGTTAAAAGGAATTTTTTCTTAAAGACATTTAAATTATCAAGGTATCAGTGGCAGATCTAGGATTTTCTCATTAGGGGAAAGAGGGGATGCACAATTTTTTTATGCATATACCTACTAAATGTGTTAACATTATATTATTAAACCTCTCTTAACGGACACCTCTAATTAGCGGACACCTCTCAATAACGGACAAAATTTCCGGTCCCGGCAAAGTCCCGTTAAAAATAATAGATAATGCTCCTCTAAATAGCGGACACCTCTGAATAACGGACGCGGACAGGTTAGGTAGTCCGAAGTGTTTAAATATATCTAAATAACGGACAGCTGTCCAAGAAATACAAACTTATTGTGTAGGTATACAATACAATATGTACCGATATTTTACCGATAAAGACATTTATCTAAATCGTAATTTAATGAATACGATAAGGTATGAAAAATTACAAAATTAAATAAGAACCTATACGAACGATAGTGATGTTATGACTTAGGTACTGATATCAATAGCATTGCCCGTTAGTATCGTAAAGGTGAGAACTGCAGTGGTGGAAAAATAAGTAAAGAACGAATTACAGTTATGTTGTGTGTTAATATGGAAGGCGATTTTGAAACACTTTTTCTGATTGGAAAGGCGTTAAAACCCCGGTGTTTTAAGAACATAATCGTCAACGATCTTGGAGTAACGTGGAAGGCTAATCGTAAAGCTTGGATGACACAAGAATTAATGAAAGAATGGTTATCGAATTTCGATAGAAAAATGCAAGGCAAATCAAAGAAGCATTACAGTTAGCGAATAAACTGAAGACGTTTTGTCTCAATAAGAGTGATGCAGTTTCATTGTCACTAGTTAATCAACTCCAGTCTAATTTTGAGGCAATTGCAATACAAGAAAAAAAACAAACTAAAATTTCGGATTTTTTTTTCAATAAGTAATTTTGTATAACATATTTTATTACGTCTAATTATAATAAATTATGTAATGATAAATAAATGTTTAAAAAGTCAATAAAATTTAAATTTTCAGACATTAATACATACATATTATTTTATCAATTTTTCCCAATAGCGGACACCTCTCAATAGCGGACAATTTGGTCGGTCCCGTGAGTGTCCGCTATTCAGAGGTTTTACTGTATTATTAAAGATTTAATTTATAAAACAGAGTTAAATGATGTCCTTAATGACCTTGTAACAATATTAACTACTCATCAGGAGATACAAGTATTATTGGATGAACAATCAATTTGACAAGCCATTCAGTAATTTCTACATAAAGAAAAAGCAAATACTCAAATATATTTTCATTACCATGCACCTGATTAATAGAATTTCTTAGTTACCTATAGGTTTAACATTTTTACTGTTGAATAAATCCTATCTGATATAGCTGTTTATACTACCGAGAATTTTTTAATTAAATATTTTCATCACATATATTGTGGTTTTGGGAACTGAATTAAGTTCTTATAAGTAGGGTTTCCTGGTCTCGTTCTCTAGTTTTTATTTTCATTCTGATAATTATATTCTGTAAAACTACTCCTCTGATATTAGGAAAATATTTCTGACTATCATTGCTTCCTCTCAGCATCAAGATCCAAGATCCGCCACTGCATAATATGGGTTCCAAGAGTTTACTGTATAAATAAAGCAACATACTTGTTTTACATTTTGAGGAACTCTAAAAGATTCTAAAACATGTTGGTCAATTTGCAATGATTCACCAATTGTATTACAATCAAAACAAGTATCTATATGTTTGCAAGGTTCACTTTGAATATTCGTGTTTAAGGCACTTTCCTATAACAGATAATATTTGTATATCAAATTATTTTATAAGTTATTAGTATAACTTATGACTTTTTGTTAGAAGTAATGCTAGTTTTTGTATTCATAATATATTTTAATAACTACTAAATAGTAAATATAGAGTATAAGCGACTAATAATTACAAAAATAGATATTTTTAATTAACTATTAAATATAATTAGTCATCAGTGTTGAAAAACATAACGAAGATCTAATACAGTTCTTTTAAAGTATAATTTATTAATTAATAATACGTCATGAGGAATTATTTTTTATACTTAAGTATATAGACCTAAGCAACAAACACCATAAGCAAAGTTATATTTCATTATATTATTATATAAGTAAGGTCAGGATGTTTGTGATTTTTACAAATTTTTCTTTTAGTTTTGCACGTTGCAAACCAAATTATAAATTTGTTATAGTGGTATGACATAGCAGTTATATTCAATTTTATATAGCATGTATTCACATATTTTATTTGTTTTTAACAACATATTTTTATAAATATTGTAGATAATCTTTCATTTTTTTTTTTTTGTACGATCATATATGCTTTTATAGACATACTAGTACAACCCATTGGAAGGCATTATTGTTATTTGTTGGTATCACAGCTTACACTAATATGAAATATGTTCTATTAAGAGAACGCCACACAGGCATTTGCTCATTGTTGTCTCCGTCTTACAAACGTACATGGCAAATTTTACGTTCACAATAATACATTTACTCTGCAATTTCTAAAATTAAAGAAAATTTACCTCTAATGGAATTTTAAGATCATAACTTACATAAAATTAATTATATCAATAAAATCCTCCAAGATGCCCTACATAATATTCTTACCTTTGAGAGGTAAATTTACTCTAATTTTTGAAATTACAGAGTAAAATGTATTATTGTGAACATAAAATTTAACATGTAAACATGTTGTACATTTATAAGAGTAAGGCATTGAATGCCATTGTAGCGTCACCTTAATAATATTCTAAAAATATAAAGGGCATAATATTTTCCTCTGTTAATTTACCTAGTTTTAGTTTGTACTTTAATCTAAGCTGTTATCCATCTTATTTAAATATGTATATAGTATATAGTATATACTATATAACAATCTGTAAAAGCTGTTCGGTGTTAATTTTATAATAAATAAAAAAAAATAAATACTTATTATATTTTTTAGATATATGAACATGCATTTTTTAGTTTTAACTCATAAACATCCTAACCTTATATTATACATGAAATGCTAAAAAATTATTTAAACATAGTATGTAAATATTTTTTATAAATCTGTAGTTTGAATAATTTTTAGCAAATATTTATGTAAGTAGTTAAGGCGCGGATACAAGGGGGGGGGTGACTATGGGGGCTGAAGACCTCCCCTTAGACTAGGACTTCGGTACTTAAAATATTTCAAAACTTAAACTCAATGCCCATGATTTTATGTACTTTAAGTACATTTTTTTGTCTAGTTCCCCCCTTTTTTTCATTTCGAGATCCGCGCCTGAGTAGTTAATACTTAAAAATGTGTATGACTCAATATTAAAAATAACTAAAAAAGTTTCAAATTTAGATGTGTCAATAATTTGTCTAATTAATATCAATCAAAATATAAAATGATAGTTAACAACTATTATAATACAATAATTAAACTTGCATGACACTTCAGAATATTTATATTACTATCGAATAAACGACCACCACAAGAACGGACTAAACAAATTCCAGTATCCAGTTTGTTGATTTCTTTGTTCTTAGTATCTGGAAAGTGGATAAATCCTCTTTCTTCGAAATCAATATTTTCAGAAGATATGTAAGAAAAAATCTGAAACGTTTAAACACTATAATGTTGTTGATTCAACAGTTTAAGTGGTTAATATACCATTGACGAAGGTGTAAGTAGACGACACACTTCAGACGGTGAAACTCTTTTATTGTTTGGTTTTAACATCAGATCACACATCTTGCACGCCACAGTTCTTGTTCCATTGTATGTTCCACATGATGGACATTTTTTCACACCTCTTTTGGTTGATCTGCCCAAATCAGATAGTAGTGCTTTAATTTTATTTGAATGCGCCATCAAATACTATTGGTGTGAAAATAAAAAATGCCCAGCTCTCGCCATTCAGAGTACGATGATGTTTAATGTAAGCACAATATTAGAGCCACAAGTTAAATAATTTTCACGAGTGTTGAGTAATTAATTTTATTGTACCTAATATATAAATGTAATGAATAATAATAATAATGATGAATCATAAATCATAATTCATAGTACATAATAACAATACTATTATTTAATATTTATTACATTTTGAAAAACAATTTATTTTATCCAACTCATATTATCAGTTTATATCTTTATCACATAAAAACAAAAACACCTGACAGTAAGTTGCCGGGTTTTTTGACAACACTGATAAAATATTTTTGAAATTCGTAAGGAACTACAGGACACAGGTAGAAAATCAAAATGTTTTATTTCAATTTTAATCTTGTATTTCAACTCACTCCCGCCGAATACAATCTGTCGATTCATCATCATTCAGCATTTGATGACCATGCCGGTTACAACTCTCTACGAAAAACTAATGAAAAATGCACAGCCGTCACGGTGGCGAAAAATCGTCGCTGAAGACTTAGATTTGGATTATTGTGAGAGATTTCTGACAGCGGCCGAGAGCGCCACTCTTCTGGATTACATGGAAAACAACGTGAATTACTTTGACGGTCGACTTTCGCAGGTGAAAGTCTTCGGACAGTATTATCCCATACCCAGGCAACAGGTTGCGTTCGGCGACGCAGGTGTATCGTACAAGTTTTCTGGTACGGTCGTACCAGCTCAACCATGGCCGCAACCGCTGTACGATCTGAAGAGGAAAATTTGCACCAGCTGTGGAGTCGATTACAATTTCGTTCTGGTCAACAGGTAAATAACGTAGGTGGATGTTATGGCCTTAAGGGGTGGTTCTAATTTGCTGAACCGCTGATCGGCGAATTAGGCAGTATCAATTCATATTATTATTTTATGATCAATATTTTAAGGTATAAAAATGGAGAGGATCATATGGGCGAACACAGGGATGACGAAGTAGAATTGGACAAAACAGTACCTATTGTGTCTGTATCTTTGGGCCAGACAAGGAAATTTGTGTTTAAACATACCGATGTACGGAAGAAGATAAGAAAAGTAGAACTTGTAAAATTAGATTTACATAATGGTAGTCTTTTAATGATGAATCAGCCTACAAATGAATATTGGTATCACTCGATTCCCAAAGAAAAAAATGCAAAAAATATTAGACTTAATTTCACATTCCGTAAAATCAAATAAATTAAATTATTTTTATACATTATACTAACCAATTTCATTTATATTTACATGATATAAATATACTAATGATACATTTTTAAGATATTCAATATGTTTTTTTTTTTAAACTAATTACTTACATCAATTAATATAATTATGTTTTATCATTATGAAATGTACAATGTTGTTTTTATTATGACCCTCCTACATAATTATTAATGTTAGGATAACTAACGGGCATTACAAAATATGTTAACTTCATAAGCATTTCAGTTAGGCATTGAACACCCTCCGCATTACTATTCAGCTGTTGCTGCTAAATTAGGTCTCGTCTCTCTAGCTGAACGCAGGCGAATGCTTTGCGTAAAGTTTCTAAAGGGACTGTTGTCTGGTCAAGTTGATTCAACTGATTTAATTCCTTACTGAATTTCAAGGTCCCTCCTCGTCAAAACCGTTCTAGTGTTTCTTTTCATGACTCTATATGCCCGAATAATTAAATGAAAAATGTGCCTATTAGGCGTTTAATGTTAATGGCCAATGAGGATCCCTCTATAGATCTTTAATTTTACCATTTGTTAATCTTTTTTAGTTTTTTTAATATTTATCAGCTTTAGCGACCTAATCTAATTAACCTTTTTTATCTATCATTGTTTGTAATCAATCTTTTTACTCTGTTATGAATTTATTGTAATTATGTAATATGTATACATTTTCAAAAGCCCTTATAGTAATACTAAAAGTTCAAGTTTTTCAGCTTACTAGTATACGACCATACACCATTTGAAAATAACTAATCAAAAATCTATTTCAAACCTTCACAAATATTCACATAAGATAACAATAAAAAAAAATTAAAAACGCCAATGTTAAAATAATTAAAAAAGTTATTTATATTTAACAGTTTAACAAATTGATAGCATAACTCTGGTACCATATATAATTGTTAAAACAAAATTAATTAAAAAATGCTTGCACAGAAACTAGATAGTATTTAATTTAATAAATACAGCAGTTCATGTTTATCAAATTAAAAAAAAAAAAATTATTACTTAGGTAAAGGAATACAAATTTTTTGTTAAAAATTAAATTATTCACAATATACTTGCACAGAAACTAGATAGTATTTAATTTAATAAACGTGTCAGTTCATGTTTATCAAATTTAAAAAAAAAATCATTAGGTACTTAGGTAAAGGAATACAAATAACAATTTGTAAAATAAAAATAAAAATTATATAAAAATTAACTGTTTGGTGTTTAAGTAAAGTTCATAAAATCATTCTTTTAAATTAACTCAAATCTCTTGTACTTAAACATTAATATATTTGAACTATTTTCTTAATTCAATGCTTGATTTAAAATTCAACTTGTTTTGCAATTTTTTTTTTTTTTGGCGAGTCTAATATTCGTCTTTTTAGTCTGTCCAAAAATAAAATGAAATAATAAAATAATAAAATTAATAATAACTTTTTCACTATCTTACCCAGAAGAAAAGAAACGATTAGATGTTCCTGGTGATTGCAGTTGATTTTTGATTGGAGTACTATATAACGGTTCATCAGAAGCAATGTTTTTAGTTTTCAAAGAACTAAGCCAAAAATCATTAGGCAACATTAGCAGTTCTCTCACAATCTAAATGAAAAAATATTCATCATATTATATAATATTTGATTTACTTACAATTATTTGTTAACTTGTTTTAGTGTTTTGTCAATATTGAAAATTAAAAAACATTAGGGAAAAACTCGGTAACTTACTTCAAAAACAATTTCAGATTTAATATGTAGTTCATCTAAGGAAGTACTTGGAACACCAAAAATTGTAGGTCCAAAAATAATTGCTAGACATTTATAATCCATATTGCATTTTGATGACATAGCAACCCTAAAAAATGTGAAATTAGATTATTACTCAAAAAATGAGCATTTATAATTAATTATAAGGATATACTTTTGCAAATGAAGAATGAGGAATGCAAGTATGTTACGATTGGTATGTGGCAATTCAGATACAACTTGACAAAGTGACTTTGACACATCATTTTTATTTTTTAATGCATCAGTCAACTTTGATAAATCACTTGGAGATATAAGATTTTCTTGAGTACGAATTAAGTCTTTTAGATAACTACATAATACATGGATGTCTATATTGTTTAAATTAGGTAAACCTTTACGAAATTTTTCTCTTAAATTTTTCACTTCTTTATCAGAACCAGACACCCTGTATAATCCAACTGTATCCAATCCTCTTTTTTCGATTTCGCTAATGCAGTGAATGATGAAAGGTGGGACACCACACTGGCGGTAAAAATAATTAATTATAATAAAGAAAAAAATATAAGAATAATAAATTACTGACATTTAAAGCATTGATTTTTAGATGATCAATTGTACATATAGTAGGTATAAAATCTTTACATTCCAGATGAGTTATAATTTTACAGTCCAAACATTTAACCATGTAATTGTTAAACTTTATTCTGAAAAAAATTTTTTAGTTGTAGTACTGAATAAAAATTAATTATTGATTACTGATTAATTATGAAAGCAGTAGATTTTTTGAACAAACTTTTTATGACAGTGACCACACATTTCCGGAATGACAATAATTTTTTGAATAAAATTATGTTTTTTTTCAGTTATATTATTTTCTGTTTCAGAATCGCTGGTGGACAATGGCTCTGTAGAATCTAAACATTAATAGGCAGTTATTTACCTTTATTATACACTGTTTAAAAATAAATTAAATGTTTACCACTCGATGACGATATTAATGCAACTTTTGAAGTTTGAGTTGGATATGTTTTTATAACAGATTTAGCATTTACCATTCCCAAGTCCATAGTTACAATAGTTGTGGCAATAATTTGTTTGTTGGTAGTATTCACGTTTTTGATCTAAAATTATTAAATAATTTAAAATGTATTAAATTTTTCACCAAAAGAAAAGAAACATGATAATAGTTGAAATTATACTGTCAGTAAACGCTAATTGAGAACACTCAATATCTTTGCGTAGAGCCCTGCAATTTTAATTCTGGTTTCTTGTTGGTTGTTATATCATAAAAATATACATTTTTATAGCCTTTGAATTTTTTTTACTTAATTAGACTTGCGCATGCGCAATACAACTTTATTTTCTTAAACGGCAACCGCCTATTTAAACCACTAATTATTTTTTGCCAAATTTTTTAATGCAATTTGATGGTTTAACCAACTTTCTAAGTCCAAAATTGACCAAGTTACAGCCAATAAAAATATGCGAAATTTTTAGATTTTTTACTGTACCTAATACAGAAATAATTATTTTAAGATTGTTTAGGCTTAACATTTTCATCCCTAATTATTTAGGTGATATTTATGTGATGCATAAATAAATATGTTGTTGCTTATAATGTTACATGTAATGGATCTATTGGAAATTATTAATAGTTTAATACTTTAATGTATGCTGACCCTCCTATAAAACTTCAAAATTTAAAAGATATAATAACAGGAACATGCAATCAACTGACTGAGGAACAAATTGTTAATAAATTCCAATAGATCCTTTTCATTATGCATCACCTAAATATTACCTAAATAATTAGGAGTGAAAATGTTAATCCTAAACAATCTTAGAATAATTATTTCTGTATTAGGTACAGTAAAAAATCTAAAAATTTTGCGTATTTTGATTGGCTGTATCTTGGTCAATTTTGGACTTAGAAAGTTGGTTAAACGACCAAAATGCATTAAAAAATTAGGCAAAAAATAATTAGTGGTTTAAAAAGTTGTTTGTTTAAGAAAAAATAGTTGTATTGCGCATGCACAAGTCTAATTAAGTTAAAAAAAATTCAAAGGCTATAAAAATGTGTATTTTTATGTTACAACAACCAACAAGAAATCAGAATACAAATTGTAGGGCTCTACGCAAAGATATTGAGTGTTCTCAATTAGCGTTTACACACTATAACTGTTGCCAACCAAATAATCAATATTATGCTAATAAAATTAAGTTGCAACTAGGTTTTTAGTGTTAAGAGGAAGACCCATTTAAAAATACACCTTTATAGATAATTAGAAATTTTTATTTACCGCACATTTTTTTGAGTTCAGGTTATTGAAAATGTTGCCAGTAGAATGCTTTTCTATGAGTACAGAATTTTGTTTTGGATTTTTCAATAAATGATCATATGTACTATCTTCAGAATTACTATAACTAATATCTGATAACAAAGCACCTAAAAATATAAATATGTTATGTTGTAATTAATTAAATAAAAATTAAATTACCAAATCAATCATATGCTTTATTTTTATTAGTATTTACTATTTTTACTAGGCATAGTCATACATTTTATGTTAAGAGGACACTACACCCGTATGAGTTGCCTCCGTCTTACAAACGCATAACATACCAAATTGTATGTATTATTATAATTAAATTTATTACTATTCTAAATAATCTATTTAACTCTGTTATGTTTAATATTAGGGTGAATTATATGAATAAAATTTATAATTTATAATTTATAATTATATCATAAAATTTAATAGAAAGAATATTATTTAGTGAATTTAGTATTTTTTTATTATATTTTAATTTTAAAGTGAGTTATGATCATTTAAAAATTATAAATTGTGTGTACATTTTAAAATTCTAAATGTCCAAATTTGTGAATAAGTCAATTCAAAAGTAACGAGAGTTAAATGGATTATTCAGAAAGTACAATGTGCTGTAATATGTGTTTGCAAGACAGCAACAACACATTCAGGTGTAGCATGCTATTAACAATTAATATAATTCAATAATTTTAAAAATTATCCACTTATAATACAAGTTTATAAATGAATGAATTATTTTTAATTTCAAATACTACCATAAAGGTAATTTCATGTTTTTAAAATAAATATTAATTTACCAGTGTTATTAAAAGTCCTTTTTTCATCCAATTGTACACAATCAGAATGATTAATGATTGAGTTATGTGACTTTTCTACAATATCTTGTTTCTTAAAAATACTGTAAAATTGTTCTAATTGATTCTTCTAAAACAAAAAAGTACAACAAAAGAGTAAAATTTAAATTTATTTACAAAAACTACCACTCTACTTTCCTGTGCTGGCTATAAAAAAAAATAAAGACAGCCAAATAAAATCAAAACTTTATAAATAGCTTATGTATTTTTACCATGGTTTCTTTTTCAAATTCAAGTTTTTCTTTTTCTACTCGAACTTCATCTAATAAGCGAGCAGAAGTTTTAAGTTTATAAGTCAATTTAGAACATTCATCCTGAACTTCTTCTAGGTTTTTCTTGATGATTTCTTTATCAGACTCGCTTTCATTGATACGGTAAGCTAATTGATCGATGACTTTCAATTTTAGGATGTAATCTATAAAAATAATTCATCTATAATTTCAAATATTTAACTCTTGTAGGTACTGAAATTTAGCTTGTAACTCTATATTCACCTTGTAAAATGGCTTGTTGTGCGTAAATTACAATAATAAATTATTTAATATAAAATTAATATAAATAATGAATGTGTATATTTATATTATTTAATTTTTAATGATCAAAGTAAAATATCTTTTTTTTAAATAATAGGTAGGTATAGGTATTTAAATCAATATACTTTTATTACCTAGTTAATGATTTTAAACTCATTAACTGAAGATTAGTAGTTGGAAAGTTGATAAAAGTTACAACTTACAAAGAAATTCAAAAAGTTTCAAGTAGGTAACAGGTAGGTACTACCTTAAGTGTTATAAATAAGACAGATTCTGGATGACACTTTTAAGAGGTAATTTTATTCTCTAGTTGGTTATACAGATTTTAGAAGTCCATTAGCTTAAGTATAGCAACAATTTAGTTTGCTTACAATATGAAGAATAGTTAGTGAGTATGAGTGCAGTGTTTTAGAATTTTAAACTCACACAAATATCAAAATTCTATATAAATATATCATTACGTACTTTCTGAATTAGGTACAATAAAATAATATACAAAAAAGATTTTAAGACAAGATTCCCGAAAATTATATATTATAATATTTTTACATTTTAGTCCCGACTCCCGATTCACAAAATGCAGAGTAAATTAAATTATATTAAATTTAACACTGATACAGTGTTGACATTTTCTAGAACACCTATGGGTAGGTAATTGTTTTACTCTAATAATTAAAGCCAATAGGTTATAACTTAGTATAAAATATTTATAACTTTCCTATGTAACCTGGGAACCTAAAAATTTTAAACATTTTGCCTACGCATTTTTAGTTAAACATAAAAATATAAAATAAAAGGCACACGTTGCGTAGTGATATTGCTATTGCTTTCTAGTTTCTATTTGTCGTAGCAAAGAATCGAAAATGTGCTTTAAATTTGTATTTCAAATTTCTAACTAGATGGTAATTAGTATAATTATCTCTATACAAAATTACAATTTACAACTCACCTCTCTCGGTCGTCGTGTCCAAATACTTGAGTGTGCTGTTGACGAACAAATCGTATTGCAAAGCTAGGGATTTGCAATGTTCCTCCATATTGTACAGTAATGTATAAAATATTGTGATCGTCGATTGAGAATAATCTATCGAAATTCGAAATTCGAAATACGAACAATAACTGAAGATAGAACTCAATTTAATTCAGCGATCGGGACAATCCACTGCAGTCGATATAGTTGGTAGTGGTTACTACCAATACAATTTAAAATATTCACAATTCACTTACCAACGACTATTCGATAATTGATAAACATTAAACAATATAATAGTAATAACTATTAACTAGTAAGTCATTAAGATTATAAAAAAAATAATAGGTACTCATTAGTGTGTTCACTGTGTTACAAGTATAACTTATTAGTTATTTCTTATTAATATTATTATGGTAAACGGCTAACGAGCTTCGAGCAGCGACTGTCACGCAGACTAGCGGTCGTTTTACGGTATCCATAGACCTATAAATGGATAGTTTTAATTTTAGTGGTTTTGTTTTAGAATTTGTTGTCCACTTGAAAATTTTGGACACTTGAACCCATACAGACCTTATGGATTACCTATGGGCTTGCCCATTGCTGCCTTGTAGTTGTAGTTGGACCTTATTGTTATGTTATTTATTATCTATTTATACAATTATACCAACGTGGCTACATCCCAATTCTACAGTATCAGCTACGAGTGCCTACGACGCGCGACGGTTAAATTAAAGTTTGAATTTAATGGCGTTCGTTTGTATCATTGATAATAATTTCGGGTCACGAACTTTATAATATCCGAATAAGTACAATATATACGTAGAATAAAATCGTAGACTATGATAATAACAATATTATTACTTATTAGACTTGAAATACCTATTTAAATTATTATTCATTCAAAAATATTACATTATTTTAATAGTTTGTGTTTGATTTTTCACATAAAACTCATAAACAATTAAATCATTAAAATAAAAATATATTTATAGGTAGGTAGGTGATAAAACTATAATAATTTGGATTAGTGAATACCTAGTGATTATTTTAATATATTTATATATCTATTTATTAGTTAATAAAAATAATTAACAATGAGTATTGCCGACTGCCGTACTGGGTTCCACACTTCCGCCGACTCCGATTTGAGTAGGTACTACGTATAAGTGTAGGTACCTATGTAATATGCATAATATATTATAGGTAATTTTAAATCAGAGATATTTTATTACTACAAAAATTCAAATATATTTGTTTTTAGAGTTTATGTGGAGCAATTATTGTTTACAATGTGCGTTTCTCAATGCTCCTATTGCCCCGCCACTGCTTACAGAACTTTTCTGAATACCTATCAGGAAAAACAAAATTAATTTATGGAAAAACGGGAATTTTTAGGCAAGACCAGTTTTCGAAAAATAAACAATTGTTATTTTGTTAATTCAAGATATTCGAGTTGTTCACCATACGATTATATTAGTCTAGGGATTTAGATATTAGGAGTTAGGACAAAACAACTTGATAATGTTAATAACGATAATAGTTATAATAAAATAAAATACAATGTTTATTAAGAAAACATACAATGTAAAATAATACTAATGAACAATAGTATATTATACATGGTGATTCACAAAAAAAGTCAATTTTATAAAAATAATAATAAAAATCAATGTTGCTGTGATTATTTATAATATAAAATTTAAATCGATAATCACAATCTCTGAAGTGTAGCATTAGATAACATTTAAAACAACTTGGGAGAATTTACACATTTCCTTTAGGTAAATAGGTGTAATATTGACCAGCGAATGTTGATTATAGACAATAGTAAAATATTTAATTAACTAAAGAGTTATCATTTATGCAATACTAAAAAATACTTAAATACTTAAATAATACTTCCATTAGCTCTATAAGCAAAGACCAAATGCCATATAAATTACGTACTTACGTACCTATTATATATTTAAAAAAAAAACAAATCATTGTAAATTCTAAAAACAATATATTTTCTATTTATTTATATATTACGTATTTATTTTTATTTTCAACAATATAGTTTTATTATAAATAAAAATATTATATTAATACAGTTATAACAGATATTATATTATCTACCTATTCATATTAGTAATAATAATTCATAATTCGAAATGCGTGATTAAAATCACTTAAGCTGAAGTATTTAGAAATCATAAATACTTCAGCTTTAATACTTATTTTTAATTTTTAATTTATATAGGTAATATTAAATCACACAAAAACTTTTTGACCTAAATTGTAAGACTTAAATTTAAGGAGGTAACAATACGTGTTTTGATAAAAGTGCAGTTGAATGATTTAATTTACACTGTAATGTTTTCAGATACTTCTGTATCTTCATAATGTGCGAATTTCAAATATACTTGTTCTAAAGTTGTTTGGCTGAAGCTATACTCTTGAATGTCGTACATAGTTTTTGCTGTAAAATCAAAAGTAATGTTAATAACCCTAATAAGTAATGGTTGACAGACGAAAGTAGATAGATAAGGTACACGACTACGTGAGTTTAAACTAATTAATAGATTTTATATCAATGAATTAAATTTAACCCATTCATTACAGTGACTACCTAGGTACCTACTTTACAGCTGAGATGTTATCTACTTGTCCGCTTTTTAATTTTAAACCACGGACTGATAGGGTGACCGCCCTTTACTATGATTATTCCTAATCTAATATAGGTAAGTATAAAAATAATATACAACCTACACGCTACACAGTGCCGTAACCAGAAATTGGTTTTTATATTTTTTTCGGGGCGGGGGCACTTAATTGTTTCTCTTGTTTTTATAAAACTAGAATACTTATCACATGTAACTTTATAACGTTAATGGTCATAAAAAAAATTCAGGGGGCTTCCCCCCAGTGCCCTCCACCATAGCTACAGTATTGAACTTACAGATCTGTGTAAAATTTAAATATTTTATTCAACCGCATTTTACTATGGATGACTGACGAGTCCTTTTATTTTTTGAGTACCGAGTGGCGAGTAGGTAGTAGGTACAGTGATTTATGAAATCCTACTAAAACGACTACTTATAAAATATAAAATACCATTTTCAAGATTCAAAAAACAAAGTGCTAATGATTCAACTGTAGATTGAGGAACTCCAAAAACTAATCGATCAGCAAATTCTTCTTCAGGAATCGCATTTGGAAATGATGTTAATACGAAACTTTTAACATCATCCATGTCTCCACGTGGCTTTAATTTTATTTCCAATGTATATCCAGCGCCATAAAGGTTTTTTAAATACTGAGTAGAACCCAAACATCTATAAAATGTTTTTAAAAAAAGTTATTAAATGTAAAAAGTTTATAGTTTATGTATATAAAAATAATAATTACCTGAGTTGACCGTTAACCATTATTCCAACTCTAGAACACAACGCGTCTGCCTCTTCCATAGAATGTGTGGTTAATATTGCACCTTTAGATCCCTGGAAACTGCTAATTATAGCATCCCATAAATATCTCTTTGACCTTGGATCCATACCAGTGCTAGGCTCGTCTAGCAATACCAGCTTAGGATTTCCAATCATCGCTAAAGCAAAACTTAATTTTCGTTTTGTGCCACCTGAACAACAACTCACCTGTTTATCTGCATGTTCAGTTATTTGAAGGCCTTCAATATATTTCTCAACAATACTAAAAAAAAAAATGATACATGCTATTAAAATGTTAAAAATACATGCATTTTTGAAGTAACAGTATTAAAGTTGCACCTAAATATTTATCTTAATACATTTTTATCTTTATTAAGATTTTAATAATAATTTACTTTTTAATTTGATCTTTTGAGATTCCTCGAATAGCACCATATACCTGTAAATGTTCTCTGATAGTTAATGAACTCCATAAGGCATCATGTTGAGGACAATATCCAATCATTCTATATGCAATATCGACAGATTCTTGAATATCGTGTCCTTTAATAAATATCTTAAATATAAGACAATTCAAAAAAATATATTAAAATGTCTAAAAATGTATCATATAAATTAAAATCAAATATGCTTTGAGAGTGTTAAATGCTTTACAAACTTTTCCTGTTGATTCCTTTTCTTCCATGGTGATAATACGCATAGTTGTAGTTTTTCCAGCACCATTATGACCTAGCAATCCAAGAACTTCTCCTGAATTTACAGCTAATGATAGATTTCGGATTGCAAGTTTTTTCTTATCATTTGTATTTGTTTCTTTTTCTTTTATTAGACAATTTATACTTGAGTTCATATTTTGAGTTGTGAACTCTTTTTTTAAATTCTATATTAAATTAAAAGACCCAAAAATAAAGTTTGAAATAATATTTATGATTTTTTAGGCACTAAATACCTGGACAACAATTACTGGCCAATCCACTTGATCGTTGACAATACTATTTACTTTTCTCCGTTCAGCTTTTACATCATCGTCACCCTCATCTAGGGTATCAATAGTAATTGTTGAGGTTCTTTTATTTTTTGATTTAGAATCTAATATCTTCAAAACAACCCATAATGCTGGAATCTGGCCTATGCAACCCATTAAAATTGCAACTATTTCTTTATTAACATATTTTATAAAAGGGGCATGATCATCGTTTTCTCGATACACACTATTTACGAAGTAAATTATGGCAAAAGGCACGTAGACGAAATTTGTTGAAGAAAATAGAACGTGAAGTGCAAATCCTAAATCACTAACTATACCCAGCATATCTAGTGAAGCTACTATTATAAACGGTACACCACCAATTAGTGACGTCACATTTGGTAGTATAGACTGTACTGAATCAGTTTTTTCAAAAAAATATGATACACACGCAGTAGCTAATATTGCAGCGGGGCAATATGCTATAAGCAATATTATCATAGTTGTTATTGCAAAAGGAGTATCCAAACCTTCAACGTGGAATAAAGCGATAAGAATTATAAGTATAAAGAATATGCCTAGCAACATTGAAATTAAAAGAATAAAATAAGAACTGAAATATTGCATAAAGGTTACACCGTTGATACGAAGTTGGTTTTTGGCTTTAATCTATAAAATATAAAAAATAATAAAATCTCACACTCCACATATTGATATATTATTCAGAATTAAAGTAAAAAACAAAATATTAAATCTTATTGGTACTCTGAGATATTTTTCTGTTATACATTGAAAATTTAGAGTTTTTAACTTATATAACTTCATGTATATTTTAAATATTACACGAACCATTAAGTAAAATATTATTGTAAAAACATTGAAAAATTAATTAAATTAAATAGATACATATGAAACAAGAATATAGTAATAGTACCTACCTATAACTAAATTTTATCATATGCATAATTTGTTTCAAGACAATTTAAAATTAATCTTTATAGAGTACGAATAAAATATAATATTATTTATGAATTAACTTATTTGATAATTACCTCTCTATCGTAAACAAGATCAGCAGATAAACTCACTGGAACTAAAACAAATACTATGCCTAAGAAGAATGCAGATGAACAACGACTAAAGCTGTACTCGTTTTGCTTGTATTCCATTTTAAACGGTTCTGTTTTGATATCAATTTGATCTCTAAAAAAATAATTTAAATATTTAAAAAAAGACATTTCGCACTCGATTAATAAAACACTGTTTAGTATCGGCCGTGTATATAAGTCAAAGTCAAAATATAAATTATAATCAATATTATACATATTTTAGAGCACTTTTTAGTTTTTATATTTTAAGGTAGGAGAGACAGCATGTCAGCATCCCATTGTTTTGAATACAAAATTAAACTAATATTATAATATTGAATAGAATAAATTACTCAAACTATATATAAAATTATTATATATACACTATAATTTATACTACTTTAGTACTTTCTATGACCTGCACTTAAAAATAATTAGTATAAATCTTGCAAAATAAATATAAATTATGTACCAATATATAATTTTTTTTTTTATCAAGTTTACCCAAGTAAGGTGCTAGTGATAGAATTCAATATTATCGGCAACGAATGTATGTATGAGTCGTTATAATATATTGTAAGTGCTAATATTGATGAATAAGTCGTATTATGTGTGTGCCGCTCTCGCAGGACTCCTAGATGAGAAGACAAATCTAATAATCCAGAAAATGTGCCATTGTAAATATCTGAATCCATTGTTGAATAATTTGATAATTCTTCAGAAGTTACGACTAGTCGACTTTCTTCTTTATAGACATCTAGAAGTTATTTTAAAACGTAATATTAAATAAAATAAATATACCTACCAATTAAGTTTAAATTAAATATACAATAAAAATACAACTTATTATATAATATAATATAGGTGTAGGTATCTACTATCATTGGTTATAACTTATAAACTTATAACTTATAATTAATAATGGTACTATATTAACCTTGCGTTACCCACTTACACATGTTCAATTTTATTACATAATTACACGCACCGGGTAAACATTTACCGGATATGTATATAATCTCTACACAATATCAACATTTACAAAATTTTTCTTAATTTTTTTAAATTGTTACATTTTTATTTAATTATTTTAGATAGTTTAATATTCAGTCTAACTATTATAAGACTATACATATTAACTTATTAACTTTATTACGGTGATAAATTACTAAACAAAAATTGTACATACCATTATTTAAAGTAATGCTTCGTATTGGCTGAATTTCATGACTTAATTTGTTCAAGATAATTCCAGTGGCTAAAAATACGACAGGTAATAATATCATAACATAAAGCTTGTGAACATCTCGTAATACTCGCATGCTTCGCATTTTTAAAAGAGCAATTATTGTACTGCAATTAGTTGGATTGTATATGATGCTTGATCTAACGGTGACATTATGTATTGTATCAATTGATCCTCTGAAGTTAAAATAAATTTTTTTTATAAATTATGGACTAATACTTTAAGAATTACAACATTTATATATGAAAAAAATAATACAAACTTATAAGCATGGTATTTATCAATAGCATTTATTAATTATTATAGGATACAAACAAAAATAGCAAGTTAATCAAAGATTCTAAGTACATTTTTTTTTACTACAGTGGAACCTCGATAAGTTGACATTCAAGAGAAATGAAATTGTTTTGGCTTGTCGAAGTTTTGGACTTACTAAGGTTAGATTATGTTAGGTTAAATTAGGCAAAAGAACAGAATTTATTTCGACTTATTAAGGTTTTCGACTTATTGAGGTTCCACTGTATTTAGTTTATATATTTTAACGGTTTAAGGGTATTTTAGGTAGGTACATTTTTACAGTGAATATCTCAAGTTTTGTCAAGACATAAGTTATAACGTTAATAATTAACTATAGGACTTTTTAATGATATAAAGTCCCCTACAGCCCGGTTTTTAAATTAAAATAGTATTTCAATTATTAATTTATAACCTATTGGCTATTAAAATTATTAATATGTATCATAATCAATCACCTATTACAATTTGTTACCGACTGTCCTTTTAATAGTTCAATTGCTAACTTCTCAGCATTATCATGTTGGCCTTGTTCAAGATACAAAAATACTTCTTCTAACGTAGTCATTGATACACCATAGTTTTGAATACCCAAGTCGTTAGTTGCAGATTTAATTTCTGTTTCAATTTGTCCAAACAGAGGTGGGAATTTACTCACACTGTCATATGGTAGTACAAAAGATAATTCATATCCATGGCGTCTTGCTCGTTCTGCATTTGGTACGTGTTCTTTAATCATTTTTACTATGGAATTTTCTTTTGCTTGGTTATTAAGAATTAATCTATTAATATCAGATTAATAATTAATTAAAATAGGTTCAAAAATATGTAGTAATATAAGTAAGATATATTTGTGAAATCAAATTGGTAGTTATTCTCGAATTGTAATAACAATGTATATAAATTCAATTGTTGGTTATACTGTAATAGCACTAATAGGTATAGAGGTAAACTATGTTCAGAATTGTACGGAAAATACTATATCTTGATGATAGCTTTTGCCTTTTGGAAATATTATGCAGATTAAATCTCAATTAGTATTCTTGCACAAAATACATAAAATTGGTACCTATAATGATTTCAATTTTTAAACTTACGTTAAATGATATCCAATGCCAAATTTGTTTTTGAGGAATATAGATGAACCACAACATCTTACACAACCTTTTGATATCACAGCTATACGATCAGCTAAGATGTCAGCTTCGTCCATAAAATGGGTTGTTAACAGTATTACCTATATAAATGTGTTATATGAATATACGTCTGTATATAGATTTATTCATTATAAAAGTACCTTTCCTTTTCTTCTCTTTTGAAGAAGTGACCATAAATGTCTTCTTGCTGGTGGATCAACACCTGCAGTAGGTTCATCGAGTATTATGATTTTTGGATTTCCAATTACTGCAATACCAACCGATAACTTTCTTTTCTGTCCTCCACTTAAAGTTTTTGCTATATTATCCGCTTTATCTGTTAAATAAAGTTCTAAAAGCATTCTTTGAACTTCGTCATCAATTTTTTCTGATGTTAGTCCCTTAAAAAAATTAACAAACTTGTCAGTGTAATAATACGCAATAATGTTATTATCTATATTCTGTATGGTGTATGCATAGGGATTTGGTATTTGTACATGGTCATAGAATTTTAACGTTCTATGTTAATCACTTACTCTAAGAGCAGCAAAGAATTTAAGATGTTCTCTTGGAGTAAGCCGTTCGAACAATATATCATATTGCGGACAAACCCCAATCATTCTTCTGATTTTAGTCACATCAGATGGATTTCTAACATCATAACCAAATACTTTTATTGTGCCTGATGTTGGTCCAGTAAGTCCGGTTAGTATATTAAATAACGTTGTTTTCCCAGCACCATTGTGCCCTAAGATGGCAGTTATTTCTCCTTCGTATATTGTCATATTTATACCTAAAATGAACATTGATAGTAACTATACATATAGTAGTATAATATAATATAAACAGTGTACAATGAGTGATGTAAATAATTGTTTTAATTTTAACTCGCTACCATCACTGTGAAACATGCTTAAATGAGAAAAATTATATTATTCTTTCTTATGAATTAAAATTAATTAAATATAAATGTATAAAATATATAATATAAGTAATTATAATTTACCATTTATAACATTTTGTGTTGATCCTTTGAAAGACTTGCAGAGGTTTGTTATTTGAATTGCCTTAAATTCTTTCATACAATCCGGTACAGGTTCTAAGTCAGGATTTGAGACGGAATATCTATCGATCTCATCAAATTCTATTGATTCTGGAACTTTAGTACACCAAAATGAAGACTTGAGACAAACCCAAGGAGATCGATTTCGTTCATATTGGCTTGAAAAAATCATGTCAAAATAATATGCTAGAATCACGTAGACAAGCGTATCAAATGCCATGATTACTAAACTTTCGCCAAATGACATTCCTGGACCATCCCAAATATTACTAAAATGAAGGCCTTCGCCCGACAAGTCCATTTGCATAGCTTTATCAATAGCTAAAGCAAAACCAGATGGACTTAATAAAGATACTAGCCATAATAGTTTTTTACTTGACGGGTCGATAAAAGTATGCAAAAAATACATTAAGCTTATCAAATTCAGTACAAAATTTCCCAGTATTCCAGCTGTCTAAAAAAATAATTTCTTATAAATGGGTGTAGATGTCTATAATTAAAATCAGTGGCGTAAGTAAGATACACTTTCTTGAAAACAAATTTACAAAACATTTATCAAATGTAAATCAAATCTTACATAGGTATTCATAAACCAATAAATTAATAATGATTTTAATAAATAATAATGTTTAATTTTAATAGAAAAATAAATAAATAGAGTTATAAGGTTTATATTTGTTGATACTACGAGAGGTTAAAAACCCTTTAAATCACTTAATATGAGTAAATAATTATTAAAAACTGAGTGACTGAAGTTTCGGCTAATATTAATAAATATAAAAATATAAAATAACAGGTGTCATGATTGTTTTTTTTTTAACACATAATAAATGTGTTGAGTTAAAAGGATATTTATAAGGATATTGTAAGTATACGCCACTGAAATTAATAATCATATAATATAGGTAGGTACTTACTCGTGATTTGTCGAAGAATGGAGAAATCATAAAACTGAAGAAAATAACTGTAATTGAGTACAAAAACACTAATAAAAATATTAATACCCAGTTAGTGTTATTGAAAACTCCAAGTAAGTATAATATTACAGTACTGGCTAATGACAGTACTATTGCATAAGCTGCGTATATGTTGAACCATGAACACCAAAAGACCATTTCTCTAAGACCCATTATTTTCATACCTTCTTTTATCTTTCTTTCTTTCTCACCAACTAACTGTACTAAAAGATATGTAATAAATTGTGATAAAGCAATCACTACATAAAGAGGTATAACCATATGAAATACCATTAACCAATCTGAAAATAATTTTGATTTTACAATTGTTATTACAATAGAATTATCTAAGTAAAACTAAAACAATTCACACCCACTTGCTGTATACGCTGGTTTAGGAAAAAGTACAAAACTGTAATCTGGTAATGTTACAGATGTATTAGTGACCAGAGAAATCTTAGTAATATCAACTAGAGTCTGAAGGGCTATAAATCCTGAGTATATGTAATGAATTGCTGGACATGATATTTCTTCATTGTGTAGATTGTTATTATGGTGATGTCTATGGAGAAACTTTTTCGTTAATTTATTAACTGATACTTTTCGACATTGATGGCTGGATCCATAAAGTTTAGATGGTAATGGTGATGAATCGTAAAACGGATTGGTACGAATCTTATAACTAAAACAAAAGTATACAAATGTGGATTAGGTAATAATAATTTGGAGAATATGAAGAATTAAGTCAAATATTTTATCAAAAACATGTAAGTACTGTGCCAAGTTATTTTCTTGAAATGTATTCTTTTTTTATAATAACTATAAAAATATACAACTATGTTTTGTTTTGATAAAATAATTAATCGTGTGCTCCATATTATACGAAATGTATGAACATTTAGTTTATTATTGTGTATTTTATCATAAGATATAGGTAATATGTATAGGACATAGCTACGTTATTCTTGTTATTATTAATAAGCTATATAAAACCTTATCGATTCATTTTTAATAGGATCGTCATCGAATAATAAGGCTATGTAAACCATTTCTGGATTATTTCTTTGTATTTCAAATATATCTTCTTTGTTTTGATAAATACTAAAATTAATTTTCTCTCCATCTCGTCTCATCCAAATTTCATTCATTTTTTCTAAAAAAATCTATAATTGGGTTTTACGTTAAATTAAAACATTATCATTTTACAACTAACAAGTGTATAATATATATGAGTTAATAATTATTACATATATTTAAACAAAAGTTAATATTCATAATCTAAATCGTTAAGTTTAGTGTTTACCTGTACTTGCTTAGTTGATGGTGCTACAGTTATATTTCCATATAAATAATTATACATATCAGGAGATTCTTGAGGTACTGTCACTGGAGGAAAATGAGGGTTGGGTATCAACAATTTTATCGCAACTAAAAGCCCTAACGTGTACACCGGAATAGCGATTTCCTGAAAACGTTAATGTTATTTTAATGATTTATACAAGTTATTATTATTAATATTTATTTTTTTTTTTTTTTAACTGAATATACTCACAGACAATGTTTTCTTGAATTCCCTCCGTTTAATGAGCATATTTCTAATTGTCATTGCTTTTATTTGGTACCAACACTCGAAATTAATTGAGAACTTCATTTTAAGAACTCAATTGAAACCACACGGACAACTGAAGTCAGCTCTATTCATATACGTAAATATTTTAACAATGTCTATATTGATTTTTATGATAAAGGTTCCCAAGGTTCTACTAAGTAATAAATATCTAATAAGTCATGCAGGGACACTGATGACTTTTTCTTTCGTTTTTCTAACCGAAACCTATAATTTAAACTTGTCCCTTTTTTTGAATTATATATTATATAGGTATACCTATGGGCTACAATGCTACATGTATACTGTATATTAAATACGTATAAAGTATATATATTTTGCATACGTATTATAAAAGACAGGTAGGTATACAATTCTTATTTTTTCATAAAATATGTTAATAAAACATTCAATTTAATACACATACCCTATCATTAATTTTTTTATTATATACCTTAACCGGCTTAACCTAATGAATTTTTTATAATACGTAGAAAAATGTTATATTTTGACGAATAAAAAGTATAATTATTATTTAGAATTTTTTTTATAAATTCAGTTTACAAATTAAATTGTAGTAGTTTTTTTCTAATTGAATATTAGTTATTATCTAAGTTAAAAAATAAGCATATAAAGATATAATATAAGCAGGGCTGTGATTTAATATAGTTGTGCATTTTTTTTTTTTGTTAAAATTTGTTTTACGTGACTATATTGCGTTAGTTGGGTGTATTATTTATTATTTATTTTTATTTTTATTTTTATTCATTCTTCAAGAAGAATTTATATATAGAATGTTTGAAATATTTTTATTCCTGCATATTATGTTTCTTATTATTTATAATTTGTTGCACAATTTAGGATGTAGAGTTTTAGAATCAAGGTTCTTAGAGTCAGTGGCGTGCGCAGGACATCTCAATGTCGGAGGGGGGGGGGCTTGAAAATTAGTAATTATTATTTTTTCCTGTCTAATGATTTCAGACGTTTATTTGAGGTATTTTAAAATGTTTGTAACTTTACAACTCTTCTGGTAGAAAAAATGCTTAAGCTTTGATGCCCGGTGTATGTTTTTGGAAGCAAATTGGATGTAGTTGGTACTTTTATGAGGTCGAAATTAAAAATGATTAGTGCTTTTTCAAATTATTAGAGAAAAATAAATTAAAATTTATTAAAATTGTTTGGTAACCAGCTTGGTTATACCACAGAATAGATTAAATATGTATTCTGTGGTTATACCGTCCTCACTTGGATTGTATTCGATTAATTAACATTTTTTTATTCTATAAATGTCAATAAAAAATAATTCATCAGATCAAAAAGCTTAAAAATGTAATACGTAAGTTTTTATTATAGCTAAAATATTAACGATACATAGGCATCATGGTTTTTTTTTTTACAAGCATTTAAAGTTCAAATTTCGTCAAAACCACAGCTGATTTGTTGTTCAAAACTTATAAAATATTAAATGATTTAAATGTGCATAGCTAAAGCTAGAAAATGTAATACAAGATCTTTTATACAATTAGTTCATACTTTTACCGAACAATTACAGATAGTTTATGAAAATTGGTATGCAAATAGGTACAATGTTTTTTTAAAAATGAATTCATTCTGGTAAGACGTAGGTATATGAAATTTACGTCTTGCTTACTATAGTTGACAGTTGAAACTTGATAAATATTTTTTTTAAGTAATATAATACGGGCAATGGGGGGGGGGCTTCAGCCCGTTAGCCCCCCCTGCGGACGCCAATGCTTAGGGTATATTTTAACAGTTATCTTAGTGCAGTAATAAATTCACATTTCCGCCTCTCTGATTATAAATGTAATAATTGGTTAGTTTTAGATTTGATATCAGATATATAGTTTAAGTAAGACGCCGATTACGTACATGACATGTAGACCATAGGCATACCTAATGATACATAAAGCATAACATAATTATAAATAAAAATTAATATTGACTACCGTATAATAATTTTACTATATCACCTAAATCTACCTACAACAGGTTACCTATATTAGTGAATTTCATAACCTAAACAAGGTCACTTTCTTGTGTTTACTTACCTATAAAAATAATTTCAATAATAACAAAACAATCGTTTAAATAATAATAATAATCAATAACAGCGAATCTATAAAATAAATACTACTACAGTTAGAAGTCATTATTTAATAAATAATATTATTATTAAGTAGTAAGTACTAATAGGAGTAAGGGCTAAGGACTAAGGAGACTAGTGACGTATCCAGAAATTTGTTATGGGGGGTGAGGATATATGTAAGTACTAACTCAACAATTATTTTTTTGGTAGGTACTGCAGGTTTCAGGTTTGTTATATCCTCGCCCGAGCGTGCGGAAACTTTATAGCCCCACCACTCGGGTTTTTTTTATCTCGCCGCCATCGATAATAACAAATATGAGAAAAAATGAAACAAAAAAAAAAAAATAATAATAACAATAAAAACAAATTGTAGGTAATAAAAATAATAAGTCATAATAATTAATTTTTTAATATGCATAGTAAAAGTACCTATATTATTATATAAACGGTGATAATAACTCATATTTTTTAATTCGTATGATAATAATATATAAATTAAAGTTTCTGGCATTTACATCGGGGCATCGGCCCAAATATTTTAAATTAATTTTAACTATATAAAATAATATTCTAAATAATATAAATCTGTAAATCGAATAACGAAGAACAAAAACGTACTAAGACCCATCACGGTGGTTATTGTTATACCGTTTGATCGATATAACGGTTTGATAATTTCATTAGGTAATAATTTTTAAACGACCCATATTATGTGATAAATTTACCTATAGGTCAGACTCGTCAGAGGTAAATATCTGTGCGTCGTGGCACACTGGGGCGTCGCGAGAGTTGTTGAAGGGAGCCGCTTCAAAGCACCGGAAACCAAAATTAATATAGGTCAAGTCTAATTAATCTATATCAGACTATATGTATACTACTATATAGAATGAAATCGCTTTTTTTTGTTCGGAATAAACTCCGAAACTACTTATTCAATCGCAGTGTAGTTTTTTTTTAAATTAAAGAGGACATCACAGAGAAGGTTTAAGGCATAAATTTAGTCCAATAAAGTTAATAAATTATTACTTATTACTTATTATTAATTAAAATAAACGTGTAAATTGTATACCTATTACCTATATAATATTATACATATTGTGCGGCACCCCTGATAGATATTTTGTAATGATAATATTATAATAATATTAATAATATATTAATATTATAACAATGTTATAATAATATTTTTAGTCAATCATTTGCTAACAGTAACGGCGTTTCCAGCTTGACCTTTTTTCTTTTGTAGTTTTGTTTGTGTTTTAAAGGCGTGTAGATAATATGAATTGTTTCGAGAAGTAAAATTCAACAATCTATCTGTATTCCATATGTGTTCTATATGTATCTGTCTATCTATATACATACATATCAACATATCTATATACTATATAAAATTATAAGGGGTTTCCTACGACCACGCTAACCAAGAAAACTACTAAACCACGTTTATGTACTCCGTGTACTGAACCGAATTCACCTATATTATAAAATGTATAGTTAAGAAAATTATCTTTTCACCTCTACGTACGTTTAATTTTGAATCAAGTTATAAGCATTTTAAAATTGTAAATTTATATTTTATTATACATGGTTTTTTTATTTGACTAAATTTTAATGGTATGAAATTTTTTTTTAAACTAAATGGGTACTCCCCGGCCCCAGAAGGAAACAGAAGTAACATAAGTAATTGATATGGACATTGAAATAGTTTTAATTAAATATAAGTACCAAGTTAAGTTATTCAGGTATATTCATTTATCAGTCGCAGATGTTCGAGTAGTGACGTGAGCGATTACGGTCGGCTGTTGACATGAGTCCAGAATTACAATTAACGAGGTTCGTTGATGAAGTTGTAGGTATAAACGAACAAAAATGACTGCATGTAAAATGTATTAATACATAAATAATTTACATTATTTAATATAAATTTAAGCCAAATGTATATTGTATTTACAGTAGTGATCTATTCAATTGTAATTTAGAAGTGGACCAGAAATTATTTATACAGTGTTGGTATGGTCTTGAAACTTTGAAGTTTTTTTTATTAAATTAATTTAAGTTCATTAGGTACTGTTATACGACTATTCAGTATTCTTAATAACTAGTTATTAGTAGGCAGTTATTAAAAACTATTGCATTTATTCTAATAAAGTTATTATTGTATTTAATTTCGTATTTTTTTGGTACCTATATAATAATATAATATAAGCTAATTTATTTAAAGCAAAATTATATTTTTAAGTAATTATGATTGTTATTACCTGAACTCGTTTTATTTGGAGTTTGGACACTAATCGTCGAGATAAGATAAGTGAGCAATAAACAAGTTTAACTAACGTACGTCTACTCTTGTGAAGCGCATATATAAAAATGTCATAATCGTATTAATTAATTAGAACATTTAAGTAAATTAAAAAATAATATGATATTGAAATAGATTCCATTAAATACATTTTTAATCGTAATTTTGTTTCTTATTTTCAATAGATTGTTTCATTTTGCGATTGCTAATTGGAAATTGTAATGTTTATATTATAATAGAATATAGAATTATGGACGTCTTCATCTAGATATAATTTAAAATAGATAAGTACCTAAATTTATTAGGACAAAATTATCTTCGTCTGTCTAGCCGATATAAACTGTAGTTCATATTTTATATAATGCATTATGTACATATATGGTCAATGATTTAGGTAAAAAAAATTGGTTTAATACAACTTCCACTTTTCCCTCCGACAGTAATCCATAGCGATAGCACCACACTTCACATAAACACATAATCTAAATATTCTAAATAGGTAACTATATAAGTCATTATGTGGCGTCGTTATAATATTAATAAAGTTTATTGTTCATTTTTAGGTCATGCGAAGACGAACACAAATGCTCATAATTTATTTTTTGGAATAATTTCGTTCATTATAGAACATTTTTGTAACTAGATGGTAAGAAAAACAAATTCACAAGACTTATTTGTAAATAATTATACCTATACGTATATACTTAATTAATATAAGTATACTTATCAACATTTTTAATATTTTAATTGAATGTATAAAATATATTAGATAATATAAAAATACTTAATTTCATACCAATTTAATATTAAATTACAAATTTATAATGTTATAAATATTAATTTTTAAATGTTTTTTATTTTATTTTTTTGATGATAAAGCTTCAATGTCTTTGATTATTATTTATTACATTGATATTGCTGTCAGTGTACTCTTTAGAATTTAGATACCTATTTGGCTAAATAAAATTAAAATTGTTTTAAATGTTGACATGTTGTATTTATCAACGAACTGCATAATAGTTTTTATAAGTATTTTTTTATTTTTTTTTTGTTGGGGGGTCGAGGCTTCAACTACTGGGGTTATTAGCCTGTGGAACTGTAGGAGATGGAACACGTTTGTGTTTGGCAGATTTTTTAGTGGGGGATGGTGGCACTTCTTCTCCGGACACCGTGACTTGCCCTGCGAAAAATGCCGCCCGTGGCTGGAATCGAACCCGACCGGCTGCATCGCAGCCGACGCCTTAATCCGCTTGGCCACTCCGTCCCCCTTATAAGTATTTATCAAACAATTTTTCATGTTTTTAACAATTCCAATTCCAATTTCTATATGTATTTTTAATTATTGAAAAATTAAAGTAATTAGGTATGTATCATATCATACTATCACTTTTATACTTGAATACAATTTGTATTTACAGTAAATACAAATTATAATTAAGTACAATTATTAATATAACCAAACTGGGTGAATTATTAGTTATTATTATAATACATTTAATATAGTTAATTAGTATATATTTTATTTAAACAACTTTCAGTTATTTTCTATATTACAATAATCTTCTAGACTCATCTATATATCTACCTATGTGATTAATACCAAATTCACATAGTTGAATTGAATCTACTAGCCATGTAATGTAGTCTTTACTCTTTTGAATGAACCTATATAATATAATATTATAATATATAATATACAGGTATATTATTTATCTTATGAATTGAAGTTTAAAGAATAGGTGTAAATTTCATTGTTCCATCAAAAAATCCCAGAACGAAATTCATTATAGATTTTTCTGTAATATGAATTCCGTATTCCATTACTGAAATCCTTGCCATTGGTATATCTATTAGGGTCAACAATGGAGCTGTGTCATCAGTCAATCTCGTAAATTGTCTTAAAGTATCTGATGTGCAATCCTATAAAATTAAATATAAATATTAAATTTGTGTTTTATTAATTATAAAAATGATTCATAATCATTGTATATTATTATTATTGATTATTAGATATATATTAATGTATTATAATAATTTGTACGTACGTCGGGAGCTATAAAAAATAAGAGATCATATAATGCATTTGACCGGGTCTTTGCAACTTGTTGTGCTACAGGCAACAAAACACCTTCAGCCAACTCTAATTCTTCTTCTTGGTCTCCTTCAATGAATAACACAACAGCTGGGTAACTCTGAAGTTTTGGTAGTAGTCTCGAAGAAAGCGAATAAACGAATCGTCTTCTCCATGGAAAATACTGTAATTAACAAAAATGTAAATTTGTTAACGTTAGGTATAATACAAAAATATCTTGCCACTCCATCAGGGTCTTCCGTAATTTCCGCACGGCCATTTTCTGTGATGATATTTCCATTGTTATCAATTAATACTAGGTAAGGAATACCAAGAACATTAAAACATTCAGTTAGGTTTTGTCGTAAAGTAGTATTTGAATATGGAACAGAAGGCCAAGGCATTGACGACGCATGAGAATTATAAGACTGTTCACTTCTGAAAAAAACAATAAGTATGTTGTTTTTTTAGTTTTCACATTTTGTTATGAATTCAATTTTAAGAAAATCTTATCTTGATTACGATTATCTAATTGACTATGTAACTCAACATTTGTTAGGTGTTGATATAAAATATTTTCAATTAAAAACTAAACTAAAAAAAGGTGTTCTGCTGTACAGTAAGTTACAAGTGGGTCACTGTAAAATGGATGGTATTAATTTTGAATTCAATGATATAATATCATAGTATAAGAAAAACGATTCTGAGCGGAAACGGTGGTCAGTCTAGGTATAAGAAATATTATATACTCATCTATGGTATTAAAAAAAAATTACATATAATAGGTACCTATAATAAGTTCCAAATTAATCATATCACAATATCTATTAGGTACATAGGTATAACGCGTTATACATCAACAACAAACCCTGAAACTATCATAGATTTATAATAGTGTACTTTAGAAGTTTCAAGTACCCACGAATAATATTATACAATCACAACAAAATAACTAAAATAGTTATTCTAGGTTTTTAATATGTAATTTCGTCTAAATTTGAACTTAAAATTACTATAAAAATAAACTGTGCTTATGAATTTTTTAGATTTTTTGGTAACAAAATTAACTACTTACGTGGAATCTTTTTATAAATGTTCAATTCTTAGATATAAAAGTTGAACATTTTATAAATTTTTAAATTTCCAAATAATTTTTAAATTTTAAATTTGATAAATTTTGTCAAAATTCGATCTTTAAGATTGGATACCGTGATTTTCTGTCTTAGTCTAACACATGAGCGACGTACGATTTTCTACTAATTTTATTTCAATCAGTCCAATCGTTGTATTAAAGTGATAAAAATTCTGAAAATTAATTTAAATTCAGCGTGAAATCTACTTGAGATCGGTCGAGCCACTTTTTCAGTTTTATTTAGTAATATTTTTTTAACATTACTAGGTACATGATTTAATATTTTTCAAAAACCTTCAATCAAATTTGTGGAATTTTGAGGCCAAAATTCAAAAATGTAATCCTACCGATCTCAAGTAGTCTTCACACTGAATTCACATACATTTTCAGAATTGTTATTGCATCAATACAACGATTGGACTGATTGAAGTAAAATTAGTAGAAAATCGTATGTCACTCGTGTGTTAGACAAAGGCAGAAAATCACGGTATCCAATCCCCTTAAATGCTTATAAAAAAAATTGTGCCTATGTATTTTTAATATTTGTCAACTAATATTGTAACAATATATCAGGAGCCTTGTATTAAATTTTTACACTTTCTTGGCCCAACAGATAAGACTTTATTGACATTCATAGAAAAAAAAACTAAAAAAATTGAAAACTGAAAATGTCCGTAAACAGCTCAAAAAAAGTCAAAATATTTTCAATATTGTACGGTGTATAGGAAATTCTAATATAAACATTCAGTAAAATTTTCATGTATCTACGGTCATTTGTTTTAAAGTTACACCAAAAACCAAATTCGATTTTCTTGAAAACAGATTTTGCGTAAAAAATCCCGTTATTCCTTATTTTTTCTTTTGTTTTTCAAGGCGCTTTTGACAACTACTATGTAATTTTTACTTTTGACCGCCAAAGTACCAACGAGATTCACTTTCCTATCATTAAAAGATACTGTTGAAGAAAATCCAAGCACTTTTACTGTCCTAAAAGGTGATGACAGACACAAAAATAGAAATAAAAAAAAAAAAACACACATCATTGTAAAATCAATACATTCATCGTTCCACTCAGAATCTAAAAGTGGGCAAGTAGATAACCATTCTGTTACAGTGTATATGTGTGTGTTTACGGATATGGCCAATATGTCCATAGCCATCCTGCGAAAACAGCTAGTAGCTACTGGCAGAATTTTGAGTTACTGACTGTCTTAATGTTAAATACTTAAATACTTAATAACATAAATATTAAAATATCACGCTACTAAAAATAGTAAAATACATATCACATAGAACATCGACGAGTCAAATTTGTTGGATTCAGATTTCAGAGCGCTATAGACATCTTACTGGTTATTCAGCAAAATATTTTAGGTTTTTTTACGAGGGCTGACTCAATGGTTATTCATCTACCCTGACATTTTTGTTAGTCACATCTGTGAATACATTCTAGGCATGCCCACTAGTATATCGTATTAATGTATTATTGTAAATGTATTGAATGTACATACTAATCTGATTGATGGTCACTTTAATAAATGTGTTCAATTTTAATTTTTAACTCAATAATTTACCTATCTTCATATACAAAAAAAATTTTGAACGGACACGGTATAACTTTTTGGTAACCATGGTTATTTTTTTCACTGAACAATTTCTACTTTTAACCCACCACCAAAAAGGAAACTAGATTAAATTTTCTAACAAAAACCTCCATAAAAGTGGATGATCAAATAACTTCCGACACAAAAATAAAGAAAAACACTCATCAACGAGAAATCAATACATAAGTATAAGAATATTCTTAGTTCCCCTCAGAATCTAAAATTATTAAGTTATAGTACCTATCTATTTGAAAATATAAAAACAAAAACTATATTTAATCATTTTATATTATTTTATGATATATATAGGTACTTATTATAGGTTATATATAATAGAGTACAGTGTATAAGTATATAATAGTTGACGATAATAATATTGATATTAAATATCTAGATATAATTTAGTTCTACTTAAGAGGACGCTACACACGCATGCGTCAAATGGTCATAACTCACTTTAAAATAAAAATATAAAAGAACTTATGAAATTCACTAGAGTCTGATATTTTTATAATATGTAAATTTACTCTAATATTAAACATAACAGAATATAATATTATGTAATTATATAATAAACTAGCTGATCCCGTGCACTTCGTCGCCCATTAAATGGATCAACTCAATACTACCTACTCAAACTTTGTTCAATTCATTAACGTGTATGGTGTTCAAAATTTATCTTATCTTTCCCGTTGCCCTGAATAAAAATTCTGAATCGCAGCAGTACATTATCAGGTAAGCAATCTACCTGCGGTAGATCGCGGACCCCGTGCTGTTTGTACGGAAGTGTATGATTTAACTCTAAAGTATCAAAGTTATACCAAGTTTATTTTGATGTAATACTGTGGATTAATATAATAAATTTGGTTGCTCGTAAAAAATCGCAACTCTTAAAAAAATTATGATTGTTGAACTCCTTTTGGGTGTAATTTTCTGCGGTAAGTGCAACTCTGCCACCCTGGTAAGCATTGTTCAATAATTCGATTTGATGCAAGCTTGTACCTGATCTGCCCGAATAACCAATGGCAACCAATAAATAAATGCTAATTTCTAATGTAGACTGTAACCAATGGCAACTATAAATAAATAAAAATAAAATTTCCAATTTCTATCGTGAATCTCAATGTCCCTGTTTCAGCACCTATTTAAAATGCGAATTTTGGCAAATCCTTTCTTAGCGCACGTCTATATTATAATAGCTATCTGTATGCCAAATTTCAGCCAGATCCGTCCAATGGTTTGAGCTGTGCGTTGATAGCAGTCAATCAGCTTACTGTTTTTTATATACAGATATGGTTGCCATGGTAATATGGACACACACACACACACACACTGACATACATTCATTTTTATATATATATAGATTGATATGAAATCTTGGTAGCCTTAGTAACCATGGCAACCTTGGTAACCATGGTAACATGGACACACAAACACACAGACACACTGACACACTGACATACATTCATTTTTATATAATATATAGATGGATTATTCAGAGCACACAATACTATTTTATGCATTAATATTAATATTGTAAGACAACGCATGATGCGGGTATACCGTCCCCTTAACTTATTTAGTACTATAATTATAATTGTATTTACAATACAATACCTGTCAGAACTGACAAAAATTATCTCGAACTGTATTCTTTTTCTTATACTATCGTAAGCATGAATGAGTTGTGGAATAAATGCTTTGCATGGTGGACACTAAAATTATAACAGTTTATATAAGTTATATTAAATTAGACACTAAATCGTAATCAATACCCAATGCGCGGAAAAATATAGACCATATATTGTTTCATTGGATTCATTTGAGGAGAGTTTTAAGGCTTCTTGACAAATTTTTTCATTCCATAAGTTCGTCCATGGAAAACTTTTTCCACTACACGATAAAAGTTTAAGACCATTTCGAGTATGAACTTTTTCCAAATAGCTATCATTCAGAATTAACAACGTTTCTGCATTCCCAACACGATATTTGTGTCTCAAACGAATCTAAAAACCACAACATAGATTTAAGAACAAAAATAGTAGGTACAAAATTGTTTTAAAATGAAACACAACTTTTTTTCAGATTGTGTTATTCTAACTTCTGAGAAAAGCTTAGAGATACATTTTAGACTTAAGGTAAGATAACCTAAAGTCTAAAACTAATAACTAGGTAGCCGGTTGGTAATAAGTATTTTGTCAAAAAAACGGGTTACTAAATTAAATGTGTTTTACCATTTTCTAACATTTTAAGCCTTAGACACCTGTAAGAGCCTCAATAAATTAATAACCACCAAATACTATACAGGTGCTTATACGTGGCATGCACTTTTTCAGCTTTGTAGTACAATTATATAATATTAGGAAAACATATTAAATACAAATAAAAAAATTTAAATATTTGCATTATAGGTAGGTAAATTAAATTTAAAACTAAATACATACCTATATCAAAAGGTTAATTTGTTATTTAATTTTATATACTACCATAGCTGTCCCACATATTGCCAGTGCCAAAAATTTGTTTTTTTTTATAAATATATTTGTTTATATTTGTTAAATATATTTGCTTTAGCCCCCCTTAGAGTTTCTATAGCCCCCCCCCCAAAAAAAAACACTAATGATTTCACTACTATAATTTAAAAGCATCATAAGAGCTTCAAGTATAGACCTGAGCTTCAACCCCCCCCCCCAAATTTCAAACCCTATTTACGCCAATGTGTACGATGTAACCACATTTCAGTCATTACACATACAAAAACACTGGGAAAGTTGCTCGAGTGTACGTGTATCTCGTAGATTGAGTAAATGAGTAATTGAGTAAATCACTGTAATTGAAATATATATACAGGTGTTCAAAAAGTTTGGAAACGGTCATACAATTAATTAGGACAGATAAACAATAGTTGAATAATATGATATAATTATTATAATTATTGAGGTGATTAAATATTTTAAATAATAAATGTGCAGCAATGTGTTATCTGTTATTTCCACGTGTAGTCTGTGTAGATGATATACAAATATGCAAACACTAATAAAAAAAGTTTCCAATTTTTTTGAACCCTACATTATTACATATTTTAAATGATAAATCATTGAAAAAGAAAAACTATTTGAAACGGAGGTGGTATGTCAGATTACTCTTGTATTTCTAAGGATAATTTATTATATAGGTATTTATTATAAATATTGTAATATATTATTGCTATTAGTCATTAGATATTAGAAATGTATAAAATATTTTTCTATTATTGGTATATTTTTTTTTATAGATTTGGTTGAACTAATTATTGCTAAAAACAAATCGTGAATTGTATAAAGTAATTATTATAATATTTTGTCATATAAATTATAACTACAATATTACTAGGTAGCTGTTATTAACGTATAAGGCAATACCGACGTTTCGTAGAACGGTGTAAATTGATTCATGGCATAAACAGCTTAAAATAAATCTAAATATTTTTAAAATTTGATTATATACCTATAGTAAATACATAATATTATACGTAGTACAAGTCCATAAAAATGATATTTTTTAAATTAAAACAAAATAATTAACTAAATTTATTATTTTTTTCAAATAGCCAATGTAAATCCCCCCCTCCCCCCAGAAAGTAATCAAGCCCCCGGAAGGTTTTAACTTTTAATATTCAGTTATAACTTACGTTTAATATCAACAACACCTTAATTTTGTACAAAGAAAAAAGTTTATCGAAGTATATTAATACCAATACCATTGTTAATATTATATTATATATATAGGTATATTATATTATATAAAAATGGGGGTGAGCCGTGACCATACTTGGTGAACGACCTGTATAGTACTGTATAGTATACCTTGTACCTATAGGTGTCGAGTGAACCTTGTCATTCAGATCACTGCAATGGATGTGTTAACTTGTATTTCAATGTTAAATCATTACCTGAGCCTGATTGATGAAAAACGATAAAAAAAATGATTCTGCGTTGAGACAATCTATCAGCCTAAGAAGATATTTCTAGCAATTATTTTTTTTATTATTAATAGGGTAAATTTAAAATGTATTTGTTACTTTGTTTTTAGGTATTTAAAAAATATATGAAACATTCCACTATTACATACTTATCAAGATTATGTAAATAAATAATTGTCGATTATATTTTAAAAATATTTAGATTCATTTTAAGCTTTAAGTATTTAGGTGTTACATTTAACCTACTTACGCCTTTATCGCTCTACGTATCTCTTACCGCACGTCTGTATTTACTTACAAGTATTGAAGTATGTAACAACTAACAGATATATAGTTATATATTACATTAAATAATATGATAACAGAATATATGAAATTTATTTTTGGCAAAAATTAGTTCAACATTATACTTGTATTATTAATATTTAATATCAGTATTAAATATAATAAATTAATATCAAATATCCATAAAAATATATAAACTGATTACTGATAGACCGTCTCCTTTTAGAATCATTTTTTGCATGCAATGATTTTACACTGAAGTCAAACTTAACACACCCATTACAGTGGTTTGTGACCTACTCAATGACGAGGTACACTTAAGTACTTGACTGACTCCTATTTCAGCAGAGCGACTTTTCCGGTTTTATTAAGATCACATATTCTAACTATATTTTATCGCTTTACTCGTTATATACTCTAATTTATTCTAATTTAAAATATTTCATCGAAGTATTCATGATGCTGTTAAAAAAAATTAATTATTTTTAAGGCTAATGAATACTTGTAGTTTTAAATATAATGAGGTAAGTTGTAGGTATAATAACAAAAAAGTAATACAAATATGTAAAATAAATTGTTAAAATAATATTATATTTAAATTTTAAAAGGAAAAATACGTTACAAAATCAAAGTAGATGTACCTACATATTATATTGAAAATTTCCATTTATTATATGGTCATCTTATGAAATAATTAAATCAATATTAGCTAATAATTAATATAATTTAATATAAAGTATATCTTATAGCACGTATATAAAAAATCTTTAATTATTTCAAATTAAGTTTTCAGTACAAAATTCGCAGTTCGAAGAAAATAAGAAAGATAGAAGAAATCGAAGATAGCTAGTGTTATGTATCAAATAAAAATATAATATTTATTAATAGGATTAATTAAATGTTTTTTTTTTTTTTTTTAACACTAACTGCGTATTAATTAATTATTATTATTATTATTATTATTATTATCAGAGTAAATTTGAAACTGTTTTTAAAAATAGCATAAAATCAATATAATGCATTAATGCCCATGTATATATAGGTATATACTATAATATACTGTATTACCAACTATTTCAACGAAAGCACTCATAGGTTTGTAGTAAAAAGTGTTTCACTTAATGGTTTCCTTTAAACAGTGAAATTAAAAATATAGAGCATCATATATGTGGTATGTAGTGTTTATGGCAGTATTGATTCAACAATGGTCGAGGTGTAAGTGTAACAATAGAGAGGGATATTGAATGCGTAAAATTGCAATAAATCAGAAACGTTTCCCCACTATGGTTAATGTATATGGATGCAGGTGCGTGCTGAAGAGTCACCATAAGCAAAGCGGACAACCCCAGAGCAATAAAATGCAAAAAAAAAATTACTGAGGGTGCCAAATCTTGGGGAGATGTGATGTGCATGAAAGTTTAAATGAGAATGATATAGAAGAGGAGGGACTATAGTTGTTATTAAAATGTGAGAATCCCGTGGGGGTTACAATAAATCGTACTTTAGGGAATGTAACCATAGGAGGTCTCTGTTGTATAATAATAATACTACGTTATCCCTAAAAGTAAAGTGAACACCCAACAAATTTTTTACTACGATCTGTTACATTATATAATATAATATTATTTATAGATAGGTTCATAATATATTATATTATACTTATACCTATATGTATAAACTATAAACAATTATGTTGCTTTAAATATGAGACCCTTTTTTTTCTGCTAACCAACTTAATGCTTTATATTATTAGTTTTTAAAAATTATTTGATGTATGAAGTATTGAAGTTATCTTAACATATATAATTTATTTTTCAAAAAATATTGTACACTAACGGAGTTTCAAATTTATCTTATTTTGGGCCAACGACCATTAAGCTTGTTGCGGTGATATTAGGCTCATTTCAATTCTCTTAATTTGCGAAAATTATTTATTCCATCTTTCTCTAACATTGGAACGATATAAATTTATAATTGGATTATGGTTTCAACTTTAAAGTACTTTTAAGCCCCAAGTGAGTTATATCGTTAAACGACCGATCAGACTACTTAATTTATTTTTTATATTTTAAAGTCTAATCGTATTTTTATTTATACATAGATAACCTTCAGAAACATACAATTTCACCACGCTTTGACATTATAATGCTTAAATGATAAAATTTGTCTGCTTGAGGACATTTAAGGGGAAATAATTTTCTCAAGATGAATAAAAAAATATTATTTTTAAACCAAATATATAATAAAAATATAAATGTATATAATAATTATATATCGTGATTAGAATCAATCAAATTTAAATATATTTCAGTTAAATTAAGAAAATCTGTTTAATATTTTTATTATTTATTATATTTAATTTTTTTTTAATGAATATTTGTGTACAAGGAAAATTTGTATATTTTTTAAGCTTACTCTCTTTTCTGCGTATTCGTAAGGAACTGAATGCCATGGAACATCATTGGTCAATTCATCAAAATACTTGCGGTCATCAGCTAAGTCTGGATAACAAATCTGGATAATATTTAGTGTCTTCTCATTCTCATTTACAGTTTTATATAGATCACGTAGAGCCCGATCGTCGGTTGCGACAGTTTCACTGCTTAATGGAACGAAATACAATGCGATTAAAGACCCATTGAACGTCGACTCATTTAGCTCCACTGTCGCCGAACCGTATAACAAACGATCTCCTAGGAGTTCTGTTAAACGAGATGATAGACATAACTCAACAGCCATTTCTTCACATATTTACCTAAATACCTAATACAAATAATAACAACATTGTGTATATATTATATTAAACAGTTTGAATTGTTTATTGACTTATTGTATATACTAATAGTTTCGAGCCCCAAGAGCAATATTATGTTTATATCCAAAGAGCACAGTTGAAATTTAAAAAATATAAACAATATAATATATTATATAAAACAAGATATATTTTTAGAGTGATCGAAATCCCGTAATATAAAAATGATAAATCATTCCACAAATGTTGTAACAAACATTTTTGGTTACGCTGTTTATCGAATAGTACACAAGCTAATATTATATACATACAACAAAGTTACGTAAAATAATATAATTTAATTGAGAATAACAAATAAATATTTTATTAGTTTTCCACTAGTACAAATCAATATTAAAATAAAATAATATTACATACCTATTGTAACTAATTATAATTCAAATAATATGTTTGTAAAGGTTCAAGTTTTATCTGTTACATTAAATTTATTGCTGTTAATTAAATTTAATATTTAATACTTCAGTAGGTATTAGCTATAGCTAATATGAAGTTATTTCATAAATATATTTTAATAAACCAAAAGTTGCCACATTTCTACACGTTATACACTGTTATATATAAATACCACAGAATATAATAAAAACATATAATAAATACTAAGTATATGTATACATATAATAATATATAACATTGAATCCATTACAAAGCGAAAAAGATAATAACTAATTATCACTAAATAGTAAATTGTATAGCTATAGGTACATGAACAAATTAGAAATTAAATTTTATGATTATCAATTCAAAATTAATTGTAATTTTAGTAAATTGATAGAGAATATTTAATTTGATGAGTAGAATATTATATAAAATATTAAACTTATATATTATTATTTGTATAAGTGTATTTTAGTAATAATTTATTTAAGTATTTGACTTTGACTACAGTGTTTTGACTAAATATATAGTGTTATTAATTTATTATAAATAGGTACCAACCTTCATTTGTGTAAAAGTTTATTCTAACTAATTTCAATCGTTAAAAAACATTATTTTGTCTGAGGACAATAGAACTTATCTCTTATAAAGGGTCGACAGAGCATTCGGACTGACGTCATGAAGCATACTGAATTGCCGAGGCGAAAGGGAATAGGGATAAGGGATCGTGAAACTCGGCGTTGTTTATACTACATATATTTTATACGGGTATATATATATGTACATATTAGATACAAGCAGTATGCCACCTCTGAGGGAGAAATCCCTTTTTCCTAGAAAGTATAAAACTTTCAAATTTCAATTATTATATTTAAATATAATATAGTGATATACGTATATATTATATCTCCTTACTAAACAGGCTTATAACTTAATAAGATACTCATCTATTTAACATTTAACAGATTATGTGTAGAAATATTTCATTAGAATATTTGTTTTTATTGTTGAGAGAAACTCAAGTAGATACCTCGTGGCTGCAGGTACATATTTATAAACTAACGTCTAAGGTAAATTATTAAAATAAAATTATATGATAAATAATAATCAATAACTAAATGTTACCCTTTTTCTTTATTAGTAAATTAAATATATTGTAGCCTGTAGGTATAGGAAGTCCATATAAATAAATTACTGCAGAAATCGAAGAAAAAAGTAGTAACTATACCTTAATATTAATTTGAAACTTTTAAGTAGGTTATGGGTATATAATATATTATTATATTATATATATAACAATTACAATTAGGTATTACTGTATTTGGTATAACTTACATTTTGATTTTTGAAGCTAATCATTTACCAGCTATATATTACAATAGTGTATACCTACCTAATTGCAAGAACTTATATTTTACGCATTTTGATAGGCGAACTACTGACTATTGTATAATATAATAATATAATGTAGTGACGATTTTATATAATAATAAATTATTATTATTTCAATGCTGTAAAAAGATTATAAATATTATTTATATTTAATTATTTATAATTTTTTTATTTCTTCGTGTTTATAATGATTACAATACCAACTAACAATAGTATCGTACAAACTAAAAATGTAAAATATATTGTTCAGTATGTCTACAACCGACACGCGACGTTTAGTTTTTCCTCATTAGGAATCTAAATGGTATTTAAATTAAAAAGTTTAAGAATATTCTAATTTTTATTTTAGATTCTGAGTGAAACGATTAATGTATTTTATTTTTCATTTAATAGTATTTAAATGTTAATTATCAAGCAAAATACCTCTTGACTTCGCTAAGGGTAAGAACATTTTTTATTTTAATTATTATTTAAGTATTTTTATTAAGTACATTATACATCCATTAAATTATCGACTGATAGTACACAACACGCCAGTATAAAACAAAACTAAAGGGGTGACTAATCGTAATTTGCTGACACACCCATTAATCATTATTCATTATAATATAGAACATGTAAGTGTCAAGGCCTTAAAATACATACAATTCTCGTGTCTCAAGTAGGTACCTACCTACTTGACACTTTGACTTTGCTATTTGGTTTACCTGCTTCTTCCCGCTTTGGTGCTTTTCGAGCACCAATTAGAATAGTATCCAAGTACTCTCCTGCAGGCTGCAATAGTACTAGACTGGTTTGTATGTTAAAATAGAAAATTAAGCCATAGAAAATATAAATTATAAGTTTTAATGAGTTTTTTTTTTTTTAATTTTCAAGTCAAACATATTACATTATATTTTCCATATCGGGTAACAGATCTGAAAATGCAATTAACTTAAGACACAAGTGTAGTAAGCGAGTTACTACGCAACATTTAAAGTCCCGACAAGAAACATATTTATTTAAGATAATATACTGTAGATAGGTAATGGTCAGAACTCAGAATGGTCAGATATATCAAACAAAAACTAGTTAGTCAAACAAAAACTCGTTGCTGCGATAATTAGTAATACAATACAAACAATATGAATATTAAAAATCTAAAAGAAATAATATAATATATATATTAATATATTATTAATACAATAAGCTATCCGAGAACTAGTGACGCCGGACGGCCAGACGATGCTTGCGCTCATGACTAAATAAGTCATGTTTGCCTCGGAACACTCTACTACTCTAGTTATGCTTATGACAAAATATATAAATTATAAATATATACTTTGTCATGACCATAACTAAGGTTATAGCATGCCAAATTAAATTAAATTTGTCATAGGTTATAGGTCTATGATCGTACCCCTGACGTCTCTCTCATAATGGCCATAGCCCATAATAAGCGCTGTGTATTAGTTTCATAGAGTAATTATTACTCTATGATTAGTTTATTGGTCATGCCGTCAGACGTTGGTGACCGGAGAAAACCACCGAGGCCCCGCTATCTTTAACCGTGGTTCAGAGTGGTCTAGCTGTGATAAGAACTAAGATTACAGAAATCATTTTGTCAAATTAAAATATGCTAATGCCATCTATATGTTTTATATTAAACTATATTTTCCATGGCAGACTAAAATTGTGTTGGTTACACTGTAACATTGGCATTTCATCAAGGAAATTGTTTGGTTAACATTTATACTGCCATTTGTTCTACGTCCTGAAAATTGTAGCGTGCCGTCAAAATTTCTTTTTTTCCATCGACCCTCGGAAATAAGTAAAAAGGTAAGTTTTTAGAAATTGTATAATGCATTAAAAACTCCATTTCATGTACTTTAAATTACGCACATTTTTTTTTAGATACGATGCCAGCTAAAACGACTTCTGTTAAAAAAAGGGTGAGTATATTATGCACCTAGCATGTTCATTATTTCTCTCATAATAATTGGAATAACTATTATTGTGTTTTGATATCTTTAAATATTATTTCTTGATGAAATTCTTCGACAAGAAATAATATGACATCGAAAGTTATATTAGTTGACTTATTTTTATTGAGTTACCATTCACTACATGTGTGTCGGTTATCATATGCCGTTTATGAGGTGCATCCTTCTTTCATAGTGAATGCAAATTATACCTGTACCTAATTATCAATCATAAAAATATATTTGCTTTAAACATTCAAAATTAATTTTTGCTTATTGATTTAAAACTTTTAACTGTTTTAAATGACAACAATTTAATCTTCCAAATTGGTAGATCAATATTGATGTTATATTAACCTAACCTTGTGTAATAGAACCAGTTTGGTGGCTTATTTTAACCCTTTGACAAGTGAATTGGGATTTATTAGTTTCCACTCCGAGTGAATTAGGTTTTACCAACTTTGGCTGGATTAGTTAAATTAAAGATGTATTTATGCCTTTAACCTACCCTTAAGGATTTTTCAGGTACCTACTTCTAGCATTAATATATTGAAATATATATATTTATATACACCTAGATCTCAATGTCAATGTAGAAATTAGAAATCATACACTTAGGGCCCGTTTTACAATCATAGTTTAAACCTTGGTTACCCTTGAACCACTGATTTTACTTGCCGAATTCGGTGGTTTAACCGGAGTTCAACTATTGTAATACGGGCCCTTAGTATTTAATATTTTTTACTCATCTGAAAGTAGGGTTAAAATGTAATTGATTATCGGGGCCCCATTGATTTTCCCAATAATGCATCGTTTCTGCTTCTTAAACCTCTAGCCATCCTGGTTACTCTTAAACTTAATTAACTAAAAATTAATTTATATTTTTGGTTATGGTAGTTTATACTTTCCTGCTATTTTGTTACTTACAATTCCAAATTGGTGGACTCTACAGGTTTATTTATTAAAATGACATGTATCAGTGTAAAATCAAAATATCTTTTCTCCTAGAAAAAAAAATGTGTCACAATCAACAAAATCTCTTCTTATCTCTTTACCACTGCTATTACTCAGTATATGTAAGATTAATTGGTTTTGTTTAATTTTTAGTTTGTGTCCGATGGTATGTTACGTGCAGAACTCAACGAGTTCTTGACACGAGAACTTGCTGAGGATGGTTATTCTGGCGTTGATGTCCGTGCTGCTCCATCACGTACAGAAATTGTTATTTCTGCCACACGTACCCAAAACGTATTGGGTGACAAGGGACGCCGTATTCGCGAACTTACTTCTCTCATCCAGAAACGTTTTGACTTCAAAGACAAGGCAGTTGAACTTTTCGCCGAGAAAGTAGCACAACGTGGATTATGTGCTGTTGCCCAAGCAGAGTCGTTACGTTACAAGTTGATTGGTGGTCTAGCTGTCAGGAGGGCATGTTATGGTGTGTTGAGATTCATCATGGAAAGTGGGGCTAAAGGATGTGAAGTTGTAGTATCTGGTAAATTAAGAGGTCAGCGTGCTAAATCAATGAAATTCGTTGATGGACTTATGATTCACAGTGGTGACCCATGCAATGATTACGTCAATGTTGCTACTAGACACGTTTTGTTAAGACAAGGTAATTACTGAAAATTTTAACATTTTATTCATGGAAATTATTGATACATTTTGTTTATAGGAGTTTTGGGTATCAAGGTAAAAATTATGTTGCCGTGGGACCAAACAGGTAAACTTGGCCCAAAGAAGCCTTTGCCAGATAATGTCAGCGTTGCAGAACCTAAAGAAGAAATTCTACCCATTGCACCAACCAGTGATATTAAATCAAAACCTGAAGTAGCAGTACCTGCTGTTCCAGTTGTACCTGTTGTCGGTTGAAATGATTGTATAAAATAAACTAAAGTTTTTTTTAAACACAAGTCTTGTTTCAATTTTATTATAAAAAAATGTGTAAGTAGGTTTCATTGATAGAAGCATTAGAAAATTGTGGGGTGGTTTTCTGTGGCCTTCTGCACAGACCCACTGGCAGTTGTCTACCTAGACACTAGGCACAATGGGTTGAGCTTAAACTGGCAACTGCACGTTTGGCATTGCTGCTTCAATTCATTTATATCCCCAGTTAGATAATGTTATGTATATTTTATAATGAGTTTAAAGCGATTTAAATACATTGAATGAAATATTAATATTTGATTTATACATATAATTTTCAAGTATTACTTCAAATGTAACGAATAACATGTTTTATGAAGCCATCATTTTTTTTTTTGTTAGTTGACCATGGAAAATATAATTATTTAATAGTGGATATGAATATTTATACGACTATTAAATATTTTGCTAATCTTATATATTGGATGGTAGATAAAGGTCTTTAACTCTACTCCAAAATACATTTTTTAATGTTAATTATGTACTATGGCCATATTAAATGATTTTAATCTGATTAAATAAAAAGAATTACTTGTTTTACAATGTGATAAATGGCGTCATGCTCAATCGTAATGCCTATCCTTATATATTATGTAAAAGTTCCTCACTTAACACAATGATTTACCAATCTAAAAATTTTATTTATGAAATTTTGTTTACGTAAAATGTGTAATTTTATATGTTTAAGACGATAAAAGTATTAGAAATTCATATACTAACTTAGTTTTCTAAATATTAATAAACCTTTAAAGTGATATTTTTGGTAAACGGAGCGTCATGGCCATTTAAATATAAAATTTAAATACAAATATATCTCTAAATTTAAGATCTTAAGATTTTTAATATTTAAATAACTAAAGGTTTTATTGTTGTAATCATTCTGATTTCAATCTGATTTGTCTCAAACACTTAGAGCCCCACACTTTATATGTAAATTAAATTTCAAAGATAAAATGTTTAGATTAGTGTTTGGTAAATCGTTGTGTAAAGCGAGGAACTTTTACAACTATAAGATAGGTAATTACAATGAGCCAGGCCCAATGTACGTCACGCTTTCTTTTTCAATTGCTCATAACTTATTGAATAATGTGAATAGAAACTTAAAACCTATACCATTATTCTTAGAATTGAACAAAAGTGTTGTATGCTCCTTTAAGTAGACTAAATAAATCACAAATAATAAACTTTTTTCATAAGATCCTCCCATTTCCTTTTTAAAATTCTAAAAATATAGTTTAATATTCATTATCAACAGATGGTAAATATTTTCAATAAAAAAAAAATAATTTAGTCTAGTTATGTTTTAAAACCGAGATTTTCATCCAGAAAAAATCCTTGATTTGGTTTGATTAGACTGCGGAATTGCAACTCAATCTTTATCTCAACTCTTGAGCATAATGATTTAATTTATAATTTATTATATCCCGACTATTAATAATGGTTATTTTGTTTATTATTATTTCAATTAAATACATAGGAACATTCATATTTGGTTTCTTAAGGTGAATAATGAACTGAATGAACATACTAGATTGAATACATTATTGATTAAAACACATTGCTGTTAACAATATTTTTAAATTAAAATTGAAAACTATTAGCCAACCATAGAATTTGTATAGTAGTACTAATAGGTAATAGGATAATATTATAGTATAAATATACAAATAACATATGTTAATTATATTGTACCTACATAAAATTTAGGTAACAACCAAATTATTATTTTTGTTTTTCTGTGAAAAAAAGCTTAATTTAGCTATCAATGTAATTGAGAAGATTATTCTACTTTATTAATTATTTATTAAATTTATTATATTAATAAGCTATCCGCCTATCTATAAGATGATAACCATGTTTTTCAATTAATCTAAACAGTTTTGCTTTATGTAATGTGTAATAAGTATGATACTTTATTATTAGTTTCAAATATATTATTGTATAATACCATGTCACCATCCATTGCCAAAGTTAGCCAAAACATGACCTATCCATAGATACATAATACCATTTAAAATTTCTCAATTATTAAGAACACTTAATAAAAAATACTGATTTTTTCAGGAATAACTATAATAATTAATGACATACTATATAACTTCAACAACTATAATGTTAAGTGACAAAAGTAGCTTATTCTTTTATAGTATTGTTGAAATAATATTTATTATTTGGCCATAAAGTAGTTTACTTGCAGCTAAATGGTTTAACATAAATAATACAATATTTATGAAAACATTAGAAGTTAGAACTCGGTCTGAATTTATTAAATTACAAAACGGCAATTTATGTGTATACTCATTGTATTTAATCGAGGACAACATTCAATAATTTTAACTTTAAATATTTTATAATAAATAAAAAATTAATTAATCCATACATATTTAGTACACAATAGGTGAATAAAGTTCAAAGGGTATTATAATGTTAATTATAATATTTTAAATGCACAGTATATATTTTTACACACAAAATAAAAAATTTTTAGACACAGATATTTTTATTTTTAATCAATTAGGTATTGTTGAAAACAACGATGCAATGAAAAAATATAGTGTGTAACGTGTTGGGGTAAAAATGTAAATAGATTTTCAATTGTTACAATATTTGAATTATATTATATTTACAGAAAGTTACACATTAATTATTGTACACACTACCTATGGGTCTTTATGACCATTTTCTTCTAGTTTAACCAAACCTAATTTTTTAGCTTCAACCTCATATACTAGAAGTCTCCACATTTTAACAACAAACACTTCAGCTTCTTCGTCAAGTACCATCTGAACATCGTCGAGTATAGCCTGAGGACTGCTTCCGGCTAACACTTTTGAACATATAAAATCTACCAGCGTTGGTTCTGGCTCACCGATATATTCAATGATTTTTTTATTTATCCACGGCCTAATGCGTTTTTCCATCAGTTGGTTGTCAACTACTGTCCAATCAAGAAGAAATGAGAATAAATCGTCTTTATCAGTGGGAATACGTTCAATTAACTGACGAATATTTTTTTTCTTTTCCTCGACTGCTTTACTTTCTTCTTCTTTTTTGTCAGTGTAATCAAGAGGAACCAGTTTTCTTTTTTTTGGCCTAGGCAATTCTTCATCATCGTTGTTAAATACATCTTTGACATCCATTCTTTTCTTAATCATCAAAGTAGTAGGTTGAGTCATAGGTGCAAATTCAGGTGGTGGTGTTTGAGACTCAACACTGGGTGGTGTAGCTGGCTGCTGCGGACTGGGTGTTAGTGCTTTTTCCATAACATGCCTCTGACGTTCCTGTTCAACTTCCATGTTTTTCTGATTTTCAATTTCCTTTTCAATTTCCATTTCATAGCGTTTTAATTTATCTTTTTGTTTTTCTGCAACATCTATTAATAATTTAGGCTTATACATTTCTTCTCTGGCTTTTAATACCTTAGCAAATTCTAATTCTGGATCTTTCAAATCAACGTCATTATATATCTTTTCTCGAATGATTTCCAGTTCATCCTTCTCTTTTTGTCGATCTCTTCCGTCTTCTTCTATTTCTTTTTCACGCAGTTCGATTCGTTTTTGCAAATCTCTGCCTTTATAATACTTCTGGTCATCTTTGTCATCATCGTAATCTTCCAAAAACTCTTTAAGTTTTTTAGCATTTCTTTCTCTTTCTTCTTCTATCATTAGTTTTTTAGCACGTTCCTTGGATAAATCTTTTTTCTTTTGATTTTCTCTGATTTCCCATTGTTTACGTTTCTCTTGATATGCTAGTTCTCTCTCTCTTCGCCTATCATCATCTTTTTTTAACTCCAGCTCTTCTTCTTCTATTTCTTTTTCTCGTAATCTATTTTTATCGTAGTGGCCTCGGCTTTTTTCTGGGTCTTTTTCTTTACGGTTTTCCTTGTCAATACTTTTTTCTCTATCTTTTTTTTCTCGTTCTCTTTCTTTGTCTCTTCTTTCCTTCTTTTCCCTGTCACGCTTGTCCCTTTCATCCCTTTCTCTTTCTCTTTTGTCCCTTTCTTCTTTTTCTTTTTCTCTTTTATCTCGTTCTTCTCTACGACGTATCCTTCTATTTTCTTCAGAATCTGGACTATCTGGAGTTGCATGTCGTCCATTTAATTTTTCCTTTTCTTGTTTCTTTTTTCTTTCAACTTCCTTTTCTTCCTCTCGTTTTTTCATGACTTCTCGAAACTTGCCAATTTCTCGGAAAATTAAATTTTTCTTTTCATCTTCATTTGGAACCATATCGAATCCAACACCATCAACTATGCTAGGTTTATCTTCTTCTTCATTTTGTTTTCCTTCTTTGGTCATTTCATCATTGTGGTCTGTAATTATACTATTTATTCTTTGTCGACAGTATACTTCAAATTGTTGATTTTCTTCAGAATCATCAGTACCTTTTTTTTCAGCCTTAAACTGGTCTAATGTTTCTTGCGCTTTTGCATCTACTTTCACCACAAGTTTTTTACCGCCTACCTCCATATCATGTAAAACTTTAATGGCACGTAAGGCAGCTTCAGCTCCATAATATTCACAAAAACCAAATCCTTGTACTCTCTTCCAAGAAGCAATATTTCCACAAGTTGCCAAAATGTGTCTTATCATAGTATCAGGAGCTTTTTCAGAAATGTTTCCAACAAATACAGTGATGGGGGGTTCTGAAGGTGTTGGTTGACGGAAATTTTTACGAGTAGCGCGTGGATTGAAACGCGGAGGAGCAGAGACTACATGTGGTGTTACAGGTACAACTAACGGAGCTTGTTGCATTGGAGACCAAACCATAGACTGAGGCATTGGAACACTGGGCACAGTAGGAGTGAAAGGCATAACTAAATAATTTGCAGACGTGGTAGGTAAAAATCCAGGCGTAGATACCGCGGTAGTCAGATTCGGATCATCCATAATAAGTGAAATGAATAATACTATAAGTTAAACAAACAATAATATTAGTAACTATTTTGTTAATTTTAAATAATAAGTACTATAAAATACCATCATGATAATATAATATCTTACCTGTAGGTACTTCATATGTTTAATCACCATACAGTATAACACCAATTGATTTTTTTTTTTACACAAACATAGTTATAACGATGAGTAGCTGAACAAATTTGGGTAATGTGCACAGTATACACAATACAAATACAAGTAAGTAAATACAATATATACAACTTACGTAGTGTTAACAAAACACACTTTTTAGAAGAACTAAGGAAAGCAATTATTTGATAAAAGCGTAAAACAAATTAAATAGTAAATTGATAAAAATGATAGTGTTTATTGTATTTATCAAGGTCTTTATTCCATGGAGGAGTAACTAGAGTCCACCTTATTTGAAACCACGGTTTAATATTATTATACAGGTTAGATATCGGTCGCCTAAATAATAAGTTTTTTTAATATAATTTTATTACATATCTTAAGAATAATTTGCATACAAGTATTTAATAAGACTTAAACAATTTTATTTCATTATATTACTTGAATTTATGACTTATTTTATTTCATTATATTACTTGAAGTTATGACTTAATTTTGATGAATTTGAGTTAGTCATCTCGAATAAAATATATCTCAAAACTATTTTTTATCTCCCTTCAACTTCGAGTTATCACAACTTGACTGATCATATTACATTATAGCATTACGATTTACGATTAATGATTACCTTAAATTAAAAAGAAGTCATATTATTATATTAATAACAATAATAAACTGTATATTATCATTTTTATTATATAAGTAGGTACACTTATAACAATGTTACGACGTTAAATACTTCTTAGTTCTTATTATAACTGATTCATCATTTAAATGTAAGTGTTTAATGTAATTATATAACACAAAAAATAAAAATAAAAATGTTCACAACATATTATGCAGAATGATTACAAATAGCTGAAATAAGTAGGTACAATAATAATTAATAACAAAACTACAGAAACAAAATTATGTAAATATTTAAATATATAGGCAACATGAAATTTGGGGATAAAATAAAATTATTAATACAGAAAAATTGGAAAGACTTATAAAATAATCATTGTTTAATGCAATGTTGCAGTTGATATAAAAGTTTCACAGTACCGATATTTATTTATTATACTTAACAAATGCATCCCCTAATGCTACCACATAATGTGTGCCCTCCGCAACCACCACAACCACATCCACAGCCACAACCACCTCCATCATAGCCTCCATAGCCACCGCCGCCATAGCCTCCACATCCACCACCACCACCACAGCCGCCACCGCAGCCTCCACAACAACAGCAGCAACCACCACCACCACCTCCGCACTTTACATTAACAGGTACAACGCAAGTCTATAAAAAAAATAAATAGTTATTGACCGGGAAAATCATTACAATACGTTCAGTAGCTTTATAGGTACTAAATAATTTATAATAAAAATTAAACACCAACTCACCTGGACAACAATAACGAAAATTACGAGTAAAAGACTAATTGGAAAAACTTTAGACTTTAACATCTTTTGAACAGCGAAAATCGTATATATTTATAATAGGATATTGAACTTATCTATACCGCAGTATACTGAACGTAAAATGGAAATATATCGCTTTATACTTGTATTCGATATAATATAATATATATAAAATATATATATATATCAGTCTAAAACAACGGTTGGGCATAAATTTAAATAAAACGTTTTGTTTTCAATTGCCACGGAATAAATATTATTAAACAATTATTCTCATTTCTGCACGATTCGCGGTAGTATGTTTTGAAAAGCATAAAATAAATTCTTATTTAATTTTGAGTTCGTGCTTCAAATGTGCTATATCATATTATAATAAACATAATATTTCTTCAATTTTGATATACCTACTTAAATGTACCTAAATCAAGTTTTTTTTTTAAATAAATAAATTAATATGTTTTCTTTATTTAAGGATAAAAATAATAAATAATTCATAATTAGTAATATCGATAATAATACATATTTTATACAATAGTATATTAAAATGGTGTGTAATAAAAACAGTAAGGGGGGACGGAGTGGCCGAGCGAATTAAGGCGTTGGTTGCGCGACGCGCACCGACACTAGTTCAACAAAACCTCGACCGGAGGCGGCATTTTTCTTCGGGCAAATCACGGTGTCCGGAGAGAAGTGCCGCGATCCCGCACTCCGGCATGGCAGATACCTACGGGTGCCCACTAAAAAGTCTGTTAAAACAGTGTAAACGTGTTTAAAAACCTAAAGTAGGTACCCTCCCACACGGTAAACACCACCCAATGGCCTAAGTTGCCGGGCGTTAATAAATAAATAAAAAAAAGGTGATCTGCTGTACAGTAGGTAACAAGTAGGTCTCTGTATAATGTGTAAGGTTCTATGGTATTAAATTTGAATTCAATGATATAATATCATTGTATGAGAAAAGCGATTCTGAGCGGAGACGCGGGTATATCAATCTAGGTTTAAGACAAATTATATACATATCATTGGTAATAAAACTTTGGGGGGGTCAAAACTCAAAAGTACAAATTTCACAGTAGTTTTCACAAGCGCCGGGAAAAACAACATAAAAATTAAGGAAAAACGGGAATTTTTACCCAAAATCGGTTTTCCAAAAAATCGATTTTGGTTTTTGGTATAACTATTAAGCAAATAAACGTAACGTATATAATACATGAAATTTTCACTGGTGTTTATATTTGCATTTTCTATACACGATAACATTTTCAAAATATTTTGATTTATTTTGAACTGTGTAGGGACATTTTCATTTCCCATTTTTTTCTAAAAATATCAATAAAATTTTATTTGTTGGTTGCGAAAACTTCAAAATTTAATAGAAGGCTCCTAGTATATTGTTTCAAAGGCAGATAAAAAATATTAAAAATCCTTAGACACATTTTTTTTTTATACCTAAGCATTTAAAGTTCAAAAATTGAAAAAATATGGAAAAATCCCGAAAATTAGCAAATTATTTTGAGTTAAGAATTCGTAAAAATTTTCCTTTTTAAATCTAAGATTTGAAAATGTAATACAAGATTCCTTATAAGATTATCTACCTTTATCAAAATAAAACATGTCTATAAGAAAGTCAAATTAAATTTTTATGAGCGTTTGAAATTCAAATTTTTACAACACTGGATATTCCCTCGATTTCTTATGTAGCGATTTCCTTATTTTGTTGTTATTCAAAAACGAATAACTGTAGATACATGAAAATTTCATTGAATGTTTAAATTAGCATTTCCTATACGGCTATACACCATACAATTTTTAAAATATTTTGACTTTTTTTGAGCTGTTTACGGATATTTACAGCTTTCAATTTTTTTTTACTGTAAATATCAATAAAGTTTTATCATTTGGGCCAAAAAGTGTAAACATTTAATACAAGGCTCCTGATATATTGTTACAATAGCAATTGAAAAATATTAAAAATACATAGGCACAATTTTTTTCTATAAGCATTTAAAGATCGAATTTTGACAAAATTTATCAAAATTAATCGTAAATTATCAATCATTGTAATTAATAAATTATAAAATGTTCAGTTTTTATAGCTAAGGATTAAAAATTTAAAGCAAAGGTTCTCATAAATAGTTCATACTGTAACCCGTTTTTCCTTAATTTGTATGTTGTTTTTCCCGGCGCTTGTGAAAACTACTGGGAAATTTATACTTTTGACCCCCCCAAAGTACCAACTAGATTCACTTTCCTATCAGAAAAGATACCGTTGAAGAAAATCCAAGCACTTTTGCTGTCCTAAAACGCGATGACAGACACAAAAAATAAATAAATAAAAAAACACACATCATTGTAAAATCAATACATTCATCGTTTCACTCAGAATCTAAAAAACACACATCATTGTAAAATCAATACATTCGTCGTTCCACTCAGAATCTAAAAACAGTAAGCACTATAATAGCTTAGTGTTATAGTAGTATATTTACTGCATAAGTTTTTGTTTTATTGTAATAATAACTTGGGTATTATTTTTTGTAAATTGGTTATAGGTAGGTAACTCGTAATTTAGAAAATTACAAATTAACAAAAAATGGTTTCGTTGCAATTATTATTGAGAAAATCATGTTCAAAGCGTGACCAACGGCTACTCATTATATATTTGCACTTTTTATGTCAGTTTTTTTACGAATTTTGTTTTATATATTATTGTAAAACTTTTAATTCATTAGGTATTATATACAAAAAGAATATTGTTACTTATATTTGTATATAAGTTATAATTTGTTTACTTTACGTTGTAAACATTTAAAAAGTCAATAAACGAGTTTTGTTGAATTTTATTTTTATTTTGCTTATAAGTTAAATAATTTTAGGATTTACGGTAAAGACGATATTATAACTTTCAAAATAGATTCAATATTATTTTATAGTACCATGTATTAGTTTACTACGTAATAATATGATCAGTATCACAGTTTAAGAATCTAAGATAGAAATTCTAAATGATAAGTGGTCAGTGATTGTATATTAATTGTATTTTGTATGATAACCAATAACAAAAATATTCAAACATTTTGTGTTTATAAATCGACTATAATATATCGATTATTTTAGTGTAGACAGTAGACTGTCACATTATTAAGTATATTACGTAAATTTACGTTGACTTTTGACACATTCTTGTATGTATAGCCGTATAGGTACTTAACAGCTTCCGGTGTACCTTCTTTTATATTATATTTTTATAATAAATAAACAAAACACAAAAGTGGTGCAGCTCGTCTTTGAGAGAAATGCAAAAATCAAGAAACAACTATTGTTTTTGGCCAATTATTTTAATATAAAATTAAATACATTTTTTAGAATATGGAGCAACGTTAGCGCAACTTGAGTTAAATTTTAGTTGGTGCTAAAATAATGTATACTCATTTCACTAACCCGTGGGGTCATGGTGGGCGCTTTGCCCCCACCCACGCCACCAAACATAAATTCCAAAATCATTAATGACATAATTTTGTTCTATAACTTTATTTAGTAACAATATAACTTATTTAGTTGTTTATATTACATTTACAAAGTAAATAATTGTCTTACAATAAATTACAATAATATAATATTTTACAAGTTCCAATTAATATAACAAAATATACAATTAACATAGATATATTTGATATTGGTTAACAAGAATATAATGTATTATTTTAAACCTATTTTCCTTGATTTTGTGCTGTAGGTCACTTATCCAACAATGATTCTATGTTTGTTGTTTAGTGTTTACAACATCCCTCTTAATATTTAAAAGGGCAAGTCAGTAAACCATAATTGCTGTAAAATATGTCTTGTTCTCAACCAATTTTTAATTTGTTGTATAGGCACTTGAAAAACTCTTAAACTCCGTTAACATTACAGAACTTGTTGTAATTTGTAACTGTAATTAAAACTAATTTGTTTATGTTAAAAAAGACTTTTTATTTAATTAGGTATTTTTTTTTTTTTAATAAAAATGTTAAATAAAAAAAAAATCTTACATAAAATATAGAAATCACTTTTTTCAGATTTTTTTTGATGTTTTATAACAGTGGGCAGAGGGTGCTAAATTAGAGCTTAGGGGAGCTTTAGCACCCGCCCTCCTAATTTTGTTTATGCACAGCAATAAGGTAAGTTAGACAGTACTCAGTCAAGTCTCATTTAGTATACAACATTACAACATTGAGTTGGTAATTTTGTTGATGGTATTTCGCATTTTTTTCAATCTGAGATATCTTGTATTGGAATGAATGGAACAGATAAGCAAAATGATTCTTGAATACCTAAATGTTATAAATAATGATGATGATGAACAGATGAAATAACTATGGCTTCACAAAGAACTACATTATCAGATTCAGATACACTGATAAATGATAATTGATAAATTTATCTGTAAGTAGAATTTTTAGTATAAAATCAATTTTATGCATAATAAAAACCATATTTTTTCAGTCCTAGATATCTTGTATTGAAACGGATAAGCCAGATACACTGATAAATGCATCTTTAAGCAGATTTTGAAATATAAAACATAAGTTATGTGTAATTGAGTGTGTAGTTAAGTATAATATTATTTATTTATTTATAAGAATTATCATTATTATTCAGTGTAGTGCTGAAACAAAGCAAATAGTATTGTTAAAAAAAATAATTATGTTTAAATGTTAAAACCATATTCATTCATTTTTAAGCCTATAGGCTTACACAGTTAAACTTCAAGTTGTATTTTTGAGAGAAAGTATTTCTGTTAAACTATATTATTAATGTATTATTTTAATGAAATATATAAATCTTAATGTAAAATAATTTTTGTGTTACTGAGGATTTGTTATATTATTATACTATGTTTTCAGGTACAACAGTGTATAAATATTTAAATATCAATTTAAACAATTTAAGTACTAATACTTAATATTATTAGATTATTAGATGGAAAGTATTGAGATTCTTAGCATGATACAAAATATACTGAAATTTAGCCAACATTAAGAAGTCATAACATAAAATCATAATAAAAAGATAGTCTGTGTCAGTGTATCACATTAAAAAAATGTAATGAATTAAAAATTATTACAAAAACTATTATAAAAACTAGGAATACAATTCAAAATTAGAAATTAATAATTAACTCGAGGGATAAATTTTCAGGCATGCAATTTATAATAACAATAAATGGATTATCGTGCTTTTGACGCCACATGAATTTAACCAAATCACTGTCTAGATTTTGACGAGCCGGACCTCTGTTTCTTTTTGCACCATTTAGAGGATCCCCATAAACTTTAGAATTTAGATAACCGAATTGATTATTTTTTACTGAACAGTAATGGTAGTTGTGATAAGCAATAAGTACCATTTATTGTTATTGTATTAAAACAAATAATATAATATGTGTATATTACAGATTATAGTTTGAATATCATCTACTAGTTAATGGGTTCCGCAGGAACTGGAGTGCCCTGAAAATTGCATTCTCAGGGATCCTCCTGAAAATAGCATTCTCAGGGATCCTCCTGAAAATTGCATTATCAGGGAACCCCCGGAACCGGGGTCCCCTGATAATTAGACTCTTAGCTCTTCTGAGAGTTGGGTCACTGCACCGTTCAAATGGTTTTTTAAGAGGGAGGTTGGACCATGAATTTCGGCGACGCTTAGTGTAGGTATTTTTTTTAAATTTTTTTGTAAGAGAATTACCCCGGGGGCATCCATTTACAAGGGCGTATTTAAGGCATTTTGTATGATTGAACACCTTAGCATTGATGAAAGTTTCACTGTTCCACGGGCACCCTGCTATATGGGCATACACCAGACATTCAAAGTGTCCACCGACCGCTGCAGCACTACACGTACCTGTGGTCCACAAGCACCCTTTTTCATGAGCATAGATCAGGCAGCTCAAGTTACCGCGTGCCGCAGCATTCCTGCACGTCCACTCGTCCGAAGGGCAACCATTTTCCAGCGCATACACCAAACAGTCCATGTGACCGTTCAACGCTGCCCTGCTGCACGTCCACTTGTCCCAAGGGCACCTATTTTTTCGTGCGTAGACTAGGCATTGCAAGTGACCGTTAAAAGCAGCATTGGTACACGTCCACTCGTCCCAAGGACATCTGTTTACATGTGCGTAAGTCAAGCACTCTATGTGACCATTGAATGCAGCGCTGCTACACGTGTGTACGTCCCACGGGCACCTGTTTTCCCGAGCGTATACTAGGATGTCCATGTGACCGTTCAATGCAGCGAGGCGGCATGTCCCTTGGTCCCACGGGCACCCATTCGCCCGGGCATATAACAAACAATCGAAATGTCCACCCGACGCGGCATTACTACACGTTGACTCGTCCCACGGGCAACCGTTATCCCGTGCGTAGACCAGGCAGTCGATGCGACCGATCAACGCGGCGTTGCTACACGTCGACTCGTCCCATGGTACACCGATATCGTGAGCGAATTTCAGGCAATCCATATGTCCGTGCAACGCTGCCTCCTCGCATATTACGTTTTTAATCGTCTTGCCATTGTTGACGGACTGCGACTGGCTGAACATGGTGTGCCTATCGTTGCCAATCGTTCCCTCGATTTTTAATACTTCGAATAGCAACTCGCAACAATATTGCATATCGACGTCCGGTGTTTCCATCAAGTCATACTTGTTACGCTCAATCTCGTTGCAAGCGTAGTACGCCGTTTTCACTAAACTTGGTATTTTGAACATTTTCTCGTTGTCCGCCCGTCCCAAACGTACAGTTGAATGCTTTCTATGCGTAAGTGATCGAAAACTCAAAATAGTCACTCAGAACATTTAAAAATGATCAACGATAAAACGATGAATCGTCCACGTTTACTATAACAAGTGAGAAAATATTACTGGCAATCGATGTGTGATCATAAACACGTAATATGACGCACGAAAATTTAAAAAAAAAATTTAGATTGTACAATAAAGTGTGAAAGATTAAAATCTAAAAACATTTCAAACAAGTAACAAGTAACAATTAGGTAACAAACTACAAACGCCAAAATGTATAATACTCTGTAATCACTATTCACTAATCACTAATCTGTAATCTGTATAGTAATTAGTAAACGATGAGTCGTAGAGAAGATTTTCTCTAGAGTCTAAAGTCTATAGATCCGATATCGTGATTCGTGAAAACACCATATTATTATTGTTTATCGTCATTGGCGATAGGCCGGCTTCTCGTTAATATCATGGAATATAACGTAAGGACTAAAATGTTAATTTTATTCCATGATATTATGACGAAAGTTTGTTGGGTAGTTGGGTGACGCCGTGACGGCCACGGACTCATATTATGCTTCTTATTATATTTTCATTTTCAAAGCGAGTCATGAGACATGAGTATTTTTAAATTGAAGGCCGAAGGGTGGAAATGCAAAAGGTGGTATTGCCAAAAATCAAAATGTTCACAAATCAAGGAAAACTGTAACACATTTCCTGACGACTATAAACACTCAGAATAAGTTTATTTATATGTAAAAAAATAAAAATAAAACGATTGACAGTGTCAAAATAAATCTACCTAAATTGTAAACATATTTGTTTTTAATGCTTTAAAAATGTCGGGTCAGACCAAAACGTGGTATTGCAGGTTTTGGAAATGTAATGGCAATAGCACGTTAAACGTTTTAAAGTTGTTCCTTTGCTCTGTTGAGTGTTGAAGCAAAACGCATTATTGAAGAAAAATGTAATATTGTCAATAACACGTTTTGCAATGATATCAAGTATGCCCCAATACAAATAATACGGGCAATAATATGTTTTGACTTGAACATGATAATAACAAGTTTTGCTTTGACATTAAATGTGGCAATATCACGTCATGTATTGAACATCAGTTTTCAATCGATTTTACTCTTAGAAATAATCGATGTTGTTTAATTTTGACCTCAAATTCGATATTACCGCATTTTTTAAATTCAGTATTGATGTCTAACTCAATTTTCGAATTTTTGCAATACCACCTTTCAATTTAAAATTGTGTGTACACCTTAAAGGCTTAAAATACTTATAACTCGATTTAAAATTAAAAAATAACAAAAAGTCTATGAGATGCCCTAGCCCCTAGATAATAATCATATACCTTTAAATTTTATAAGAGGACAATTCACTCTAATTGTTTAACTAACGGAGCTAAACGTGATTTGCTGAGCGTAAAATTTGCTATGTTACGCACTTAAACAGGGGGGTGGGGTTTAACTGAAAATTAATGGTTGTGTAATTTTTTTATATTTATAAATTATGAACCCCCTCTTAATTATTGATATGTATTGATGTTACCTACTCGGCTTTCAAAGTTAAATTTGTAAATATTTATTGTTTCTACGATTAATAGTTAGTACAAAGGAAATCTGTAGGGAATACGGATGTATAGCGTGAAAGTGTTTTATTACTTATAATTTATTACACAAAATGGGTGTGTAGTTTAAACAGTTGTAGGTACCTCGTACCTACTACTTACTAGTAGTTAGTTGTCTATAGTATAATTTAATAACTAATCGAATAATTATTATAATATTGGTATAAATAGAAATGTTATATTTTTTCAAATAGCATAATATTTAAATTGAATTTGCTAAAATAAAATAAAATAATGTTTTAAGTATAACAATGATTGTTAATTATTTATTTATAATATTAATGATGCACTTATGAGACTATGAGAGAGTTAAAAGGTTAAATGAAAATCTGATTTTACTCAATGCATTAAGAGGTATTATGAGCATCAGTTTTGGTGCTATACACTATACTATATTATATAGGTAGTAGGTACTTAATCAAAGATTACTTTTTGAATTCATAACATAGGTCATAGATAAATATATAATGTAGCCATATTACAGAAATTAGAAACAAATAAGATGTTACATTTAAGTAACAAGTATTGACATTAATTTTAAAATTACTTTTATGTAACATATTATTATGTTAGTTGTTACGGATTAACTAGGTAAAATTAGGCGGATCAAATATTGAAATATGTGGGCAATTAATTTTCTATATTTTCTATTATTTTAATATTTTCATAATATTCATACCAATAAATTATAAAAAGAAGTTTAGTAAGTCACATTACCATTTTATAAGTCTTCGAAATTTTGATGACATTTGATATGTATAACCTCTTTTTTTTCTTGTTTTTCTTATTTTTGTCTAGTTGATCCTAACTGGATAATACGTTGTTATGACAGTATAATATAGTGTTATTTGAACCATAATTATTTATATCATAAAAGTTTCCGTGTAAGAATTTAATATTGTATATATTACTGTTAAATAACGAATACAATTCGAATAAAGAATTGATTGTATTGAATTTATTTCAACGTTATATAAGACATGTCAAATATTGCTGAAGTAAAGAGTAATATGTCGGAAACCGAGACTTGCTCAACGTCCGCAGAGCAACTGTTAATGCATAAAGTTTTCGCTGACTTGAGAAACTGGTCTGTAGACTTTGCAAAGTTGGAGTGTCACGGTGATGGTGATTTTGCCGGGCTGAAGATTAGGAGACAATGGACATCAATGCCAAACATATTGTCGGCATGTCGAGTTGATGTCGTATCGGTACAGGCCAGCCATGATAAATCGACGCAAACCGAGACGGTCTTGAGTGACGCAGAAGTAATTCAAAATACGGTTCCACAACATCAACCTATAAAAGCAATAGAGGAATTGGCCCCCCAATCAGCGAACAAACGTAATCGCCTATCTAAGTGGAAACGGACAAAACGTTTCTTCGTCCGCTTGTTCACTCTCTAACTTCAACTTCAGATAAACAAGCGTACGAATAAACGCTTCGTCCGTTTTCACATAGATTTACGATTGTGTTTATTCGCTGATTTGTGAGCTCTGCATTCCCTCATGGCTGTTCTAGTATGATATTGTTGCACCGTATTATGCATTTTTTCTATATAACTATTATTATCACATTTCGGTAGACGAGCGTAGCTATCTAGGAGGAGACCTCATATTTATGAATATTAAATTATTAAGAGGCCGTTCTGGTACGAAAATTCGGCCGTAAAAACATGGTTTCGTACTTCCCATTTTTCTCAGCTCTCGTTAATCGTAGAAACATGATTTTTTCACCAAACTAAACGTGAGAAGTTTATCTAGGTTTTGCCTTTCCAGATTTTTGATTTTTTTTGTCTATTTTATATGATTTTATTTTTATATGAACATTTTGAAAATTTCAAATGCAAATATGATCGGTTTGAAAAAAAAAAAAATCAAAAATCTGGAACGACAAAACCTACATAAACTTCTCCCGTTTATTTTGGTGAAAAAATCATGTTTCTACGATTAACGGAGCTGTGGAAAATGGGAAGTACGAAACCATGTTTTTAAGGTCGAATTTTCGTACCAGAACTTAAGCCTCTTAATAATTTAATATTCATAAATATGAGGTCTCCTCCTAGATAACTATGCTCGTCTACCGAAATGTGATTATAATAGTTATATAGAAAAAATGCATAATACGGTGCACCAATATCATACTAGAACAGCCATTAGGGAATGCAGAGCTCACAAATCAGCGAATATAGAAAAAAAATCATAATATTATATATTTATATGTACCTATTTGTTTTGTATTATTAATATTTTGCACTTTGTATTTATTATAACTATAATAATAACTACTATGTATTTGTTTTGTATACATATAATAAATTATTAATTACATGAAACATTTTGTGTTCATTGCCCATTGGTTTATTTTTCAATTATACAATTACTAGCTGAATAAAAAATAAAAAAATAAAAAAAAATTGTGACTAATGAACTCCTTTTTGGTGTAATTCACTCTGCATAGGTATGGAAGCAAAATTATATTATATTAGAATACTTTAATTTTTAGCCATCCCGCGTAGCGTTGGACTAGTGCCGCAACTAGAGATAAAAGGGTCCAGGTGCAAGTCATATTTTGAGGCACCCTATTTTAAACTTTTGTCTTTCAAAATTGCATAGCATCTAAAGCGCAATTAGGGGTGGGGGGAAATATTATTATTATTAAGCTTATTCATTAAAATATATAGCGTGATCCGTCTAAGTTCCACACAGAAAATTTCGAAAATTATAGTTTTTTGGAAATTTTTTTACAGAATGTCATGTCTTTTCTAAATAACCTCTAAGAAAAATAATTACAGGTCCTTATTATAATTTATCGCCACTATTTTTTGAGTTTTTATAGTTTTGAAAGACATCTGTACCTCAGTTTCACTTAACATATTATTATCTACGTAGGTATAAGTTATAAACAATAACCAACGAATGATATGTTAATGTTATAATTATTGTTTGAAAAAATAGGTATTATAGATATTTATTTGTATAGCTATGGCCTATGGTTCATTAACACAAAGTAGTGGAGAATTCTACGCATTTTTAATGAGTATAATGAATAATAATGTACATATAGGCTATATAATAATATAATCATACTAAATAGAAATAATTCATATTTTAGCCACATTATTTAATGAGTCATTAAATAATGTGGCTAAAAAATTATATTATTAAATAATGACATTTTTAAATGGTTATGGACAACTTTTCATGAAAAAATTGATTTCCCGAAGTGGCCACTCTTTATTTTATTCATACCTACTAATTACGTTATATTATATTACATACGTATTAACATTATTTAGATGCAGTTAGGTATTAAATTATTTATTACGATTAATTATATTGCTATTTATGTTAAATATTAAAATTGAATAGTTCCACTATTAAAATGTCAGTGATCCACTGATTCCCGGATATCTTGAATCTGGTTCCTCGTCTTAAAAACTGTCGAAGAATCCACATATATATGATAGGTACCTGTTCAGAGCTACTACCTAATACAGAGTGTAAGTGTATTTTTTCAATAATACTATATAGTAATACTCATTTGAACATACATTTAACTGAAGAGCAAAATAGTAAAAAAAAAAAGGTCATGTAGAGGGATCCATCCCCCATTACCCCCCGCCCACCCCGGAAATACGCCACTGATCAACACTAACATTATACTTATAGAATTATGGTATAATTTATTTATAATCTTAAAAATAAATTGGATATAAAAAAACGATATAACAAAAAACTGAATTTATAATTTAGGTTGAGGGACCTCACTAAAAAATTAGCCTCGGACCCCAAAATTCCTAAGTAGGGCTCTATAATATCTGAATCTGATCCTTATTTAATATTATAGCAAACTATATCGTGGAGATACGGTTAGTATAATATGTTATTATATAATAATAAAAATTGTATATTCTATTCCAACACACTGAGAAGGTTTCATAAAAAAAAGAGTTACAAGCCCGAAAGCCATCACAATCGATAAATTACACAATAATTTATTTATTAAATTGACACCTTATAGGCTCAAGTATACAGAAGGTAATACATTAGAGTATAATAAGCTAATATTAGAATTTTAATACAAGATAGGTAATGAAAATTAAAATAATAGGCAAGAAGACTATATACTACAGATTAAAATAATGTCTTTTTAGGTCTGGTAGACAATCAAAGAAGAAATCAATGTTTTTCTTAGTGTAAGGAGTCTATCAAATGGACTATTTTATCAATAGTTTTTAGGGTGGGTTTTTCCATGAAATTTAGTTTGTAGGATATATAAGCGGGAGTGTTATACCTATCGAGGTACGTGCGGAAAGTAATGCTATCAAGAATAGAGGGACAAGATATGAAACCATTAACTAATTTATATAAAAAGATATACCAAATGTTTTACTATTTTAAAATCGTTTTTTTTATTAATAAATTCATTTTATTTTTATATCTTGATCAACTGCTTGAATGCATTAATTAATAGGTAGGTACTAGGTAGATAATCTCTTATACTGCAGTTGCTTAACGGTTATTTATCATCTTCTATCGGTTCAATATAGCTGAAACAAAATTATTTGATTTATATACTATTATAAAAGGTATATCCTCGAAGGTACAATAATATACATAACTCATAACTTATAACTTATATACATTTCATTCGATTATAAATTACGAGCGTTCATGCAGTCTCACCAGTTTACAAGGACACGGAGGACACTTTTTGTATGTTTTGTCGATGATTCCACTGAGAGTACCATAGTTTGAGTCACGCCGGTGGGCTACAGGTACTTGTAACTGATATCCAAAATTTTGTAGTGTTTGTTTACATGGACTCGGTGGATCTTCGGCAACATACGGATAAGACAATCTGTATTGTAGAAATAATAATCGATTCATGAGACATCAGGTAATAAGTATATAGTATTAAGTATATCGTATATTTTCTTCGATAACGTGTAATTTATAATTAAAACAATTCACTATAATATGTAGGTATACTTTGCCGGTGATGGATGAACATTTGGTGGAACTTGGATGTCGTACGGAAATCTGCCACACTCACTAGAAGAACCAGTTATGTGACCAGTCGGTAGCCCTGATGCCGACGGACACCTTATATCGGTATTTTGAGTATTACAATAGGAATATGGGGTATTAATTGTAGGACAAACAGAATTCTGAAAAACGGTAAAATATGTTATTAGAAGTATGGAAAATAATGATAAAAACTATCATTATTTTACATTAGATATAAATCAATTGAATTAGAATTCATTATAGATATGATGCGTTATAGATACCTGATAATTTTTATAGTTCAAACATGAACAGGTTGGACTCAAGGAATCGTAAGGGTTATATTTTGGAAAACCACACATCGGACAATAATACTAGAAAAAAAAAATTCATCGCGGACACGTTTCAGTTTATTTTTATTTATTTTTTATTGAAGAAAAAATATGATAGGGTAATTTGGTAATTGCTATTATGTAAATATGTACAAACATCTTCACGTATATGTCAGATACCTATAGTATTTTGCTGTGCAATAATATAATACAATATAAGCATAATATTATATTATATACTTATAATATAGTCCTTGAGATCGTTTTTAGTTAAAAATAATACACACCGTGAAACACGTATTTTTAAATTCAAAGCAGATACAATTATGAGGCATTCACGGACGAATAAACTTATAATATAATAATATTATGTATATACAACCAAGTTTTTTTCCATTTACTTTTTTTCATAATTTGAGATATTGACCTATGAAGTAATTATATTTTATATAAATATAACATATTCAATCTATTATAATCATTTTTTTTTTATAAAGTCTTATTTGGTTACGGCATATAATATAATATTCTAAATTTCACTACTTATGCCAAAGTAATAAGTTTGTAACTGTACCTAATGATTGTTTATATTGTAATATAGGTATATAATATGATACATAGGTTTCTAATTTCTACATAATAAATATTATTATATTGAAACTTACCAATCCCGAAGATGATGCATCCACAATCTATAATAACAGTAATTTATTTATTTTAGAAGCAAAGCCATTATACAATATTTATGAAAATAAATATTGATTTATAATAAATTATGAAAGATAATAAATATCCATTATTACCTGAACAATTAAAAATGCCACAACAGATATTTCTATAATGCTGTTAACACGAACCATTTTCACACAATAATACAATTGTAAAAATAATTTAAACAGACTGATTATTCTAGTATAATTATTAATTACCTACATATAATATATTATATATAAGGCTATTGTGGCCAAGGATTTCTGAAATATCGTTTGTTATTGTTTGTTATCATATTATTATTGCTTAGTGTTTAGTGTTTATACTAACGTAAATCCCAATAAACCTCAATTTTGTTTTAATTCAAAATAATTCAGAGATTTTTATAAAAAATATATCACGTATTTAAACGATTTTCCTTGAATAATATTTTTTTTCATATTCCCAACCATTGATTAAATATATATATATTATGTATATTTAATCAATGAGCCAACTTATTTTCTGGTATTCAACGTGAAATATATAACACAACTTACTTACATGTATGCTTCCAAATATAATTTCAAAAAATATCTGTATCAGTATCACAATTAATGACATACAAAAATAATAACATGCAATCTTTGTGTCTTTTAATCCTGGTTTTAGTCTCCATCTGGTTGAGTACTGGGCATGGTGCTGCAATTGGTCAAGAACTTTGTAACTGCCAACCTACATTGGTAAGTACTAAGTATAATTTTTTTAAAGTTAAAAACAAGTAAGTAAAATACCTAATCTAACATAAAGATATTACATATACTTGGTCTTTAGATCAGAACACCAAAAATTTCAATTCCTAAACCCGGTCAGCGAGTCATCTGTACTAAAATACCTGGCGCCCAAGAATATACACCAATAAAAAATGCTTGCACTTGTGAAAGCACACGGGTAAGTGTGCAGTACATTGTATAAATATTATAATGTTTATACGAATAAAGTAAAACATTTATATTTTATAATGTTTATATATAGGTAGTATAATATACAGATAATTCAACTTTGGGATTTACAAAAAAAATTAAATGAATACATTTCAAGGCTTAATTATTGCTATAACTTCTTTTACTATTACCTACTTTTACTATAACCCTTTTTTTATCTAATGAAATTAAAATTTGGATAAATTGTTACACTCAACTATTCTTATTCAGACTTTAAATGTTAGTTAAAATATAATTATTTTTTGATATGAAGAAGTAAGAATAGATTATGAAGTTATGAAGTTATGGAACAGACGTATAAACGTCTTTATCGGATAAAATAGGAACATGTTCAGTCGAGCCCGTTATCTTCTTGAAGAATAAAAAAAAAAGTCGAGCGTGTAAGAAGTACGCGGGGATGAAGTGAAACTTCTTTCAGTCATACAACTGATATGAGGTTTTGTAATAATAATAATAATAATAATCTTATGTTAATTAATGGTATATATATATTTATGGTATTAATAATGATATATCAAGTAGGTACCTTCTACAAAGTATACATGTAGGTTACTTATATATAATATAAATAATTGTACTTGTACCATTTTCTATCCAAGTATAAAGGAAACATATTGGAACATTGGTAATGGTAAATATGTAGATGAAATCAAGTATTAATTAAATATTTATTATTATTATTTATTAAATAGTTTAATTAGTATAGTATAGTTTAGTCATACCATTATGCAATTTACCTGCCAGAATTTAATTAAATACATTAAGTTATATTTTGTTTTCTCACCTAAAAACCGTAATACATTAAGTAATACCTACTACCTACCTTTATAATATTATGTGTAGGTACTTAATTTATACTTTTAGACCAATGGACCAAAATATTTACTAATATCAGTATTAATTCATGTCCATAAAATACATTAGTCATATTATGTAGGTACATAATATATATATATCAATTTGTTATTCATAAATTATTACATTTGATATTAAATAAATAAATATACTTGATAGACCATAGACATATATATTGAGTAATATCAAATTATGTCATATCATTATACAATTGAACCATCAGAGTATTATATACTATTTGAAAAATATAGGTGCGTTGGTCATTGTAAATGTGTCAAATATTAACTAAATATTAATTATTATTATTATTATTATTTATTAAATACTTATAGTATAGTCATATAATATGATGAAATTCATCGAGTTATATTTTGAATATACATAATTTGACTCACCTAAAAATAGTATATTATATTATATTATATTATATTATCGCGCACTCTGGAATATTTATTATATATGCGTTTTCGCTTTTATCAACTTGACTACGGAATATTGTTTATACCATGATAAAATAACATGGTATGCTGGCAACTTTATGATACGCATACCCCTTACCCCGCCGACCATCATACAGAGCTGTATCCAGTTCGCCGCTTTTCATTGGTTTTCATGATCAATATATATACATAGTGCATTATGAGGAGAACTGGATACAATGAAATGCGCAAACTCCGACGATATTCAGTTCGTTGCCATCATACCATGTTATTTTATCATGGTTTATACGTTTATACTGGTTTGTTTATAATATCATATGATATGTTTCCAAAAAGATTACAAAATATTGAAACGGAAAATATCAAAAACTTTATAAACAAAACATCGTACCGTTTTCGTGACGCCCGAGCGTCCGTGACGCCCGAGCGTCCGTGACGCCCGAGCGTCACTCTCTTTTTTTTCAATACCCCTCACATAAGAAGTTTAACTTCAAAAATGAAATGTTAGACAGAAATAATTCTTCACGCTAGAGATACGCAAAATATCTTTATCTTCGAGCTTTCCAGCATCGACGATTTTGAGTTTACTAATTCTTAGGAATGTAAACGAACGAATTCAAACAATTTATTTGCTGTTACTATTGACTAATAGCTCAACACCTTGAATGCCTAAAAAGTAATAATTCCGTGTCCACAGGTGATGCCGGCCTCGGTGGCTAGAGTAGAATGCAACTTGATGGCCACTACACCGGTCCGGATGGAGAGCTGCCATAGCGATGGCGTGGACGCGCCGCCGCCACTATTCGGTGAACCGGGCGGCGCGTTTTTCCCGGAAACCGCGTGTGGAGGTGTCTCTCCACTCGCAGGAAGTCCGGTGTTCCAAGACCCACCCGGCCCGAACGGTATAGACGAACCGGCGGTGGATCCGACAGGAAACGGGTGCTGTGGAAACAATCCACTCGCAGCCGTCGCGGTGGATCCAGTGTCTCTGATGCTCGCACAGGCCGAGGCCAACCGATGCCGGGCCGACGTGCGTGAGGGCCGCCTGGCGTTCGGGCAATTCGCTGTGCCGAGAGACGCGCTGCCGTTGCCACGGGCCGTGCCGGACATCAACGAGGAGGGCCTCTACTCGCTGGACAAGGCCATCGTCGAGCTGAAGACTTGTAAGTCACGGTTCGCAGACGACACGGCAGCTCTGGCAACGGAAGATGACGCGCTTCTGGCCCTCGAGGATGACGCCTTGCGACCTGTGGACGACGCCGGACCGATAGTGACGCTGCCCAGCTACGCGGACATCGGCTACCAGACCGAAACGCCATCCTGCTCGCCACTTGTGGTCGGCCCGCTTCCGCAGCCCGACGGCCGCACATCTTGTTCCGTGTACGAGAACACCGTGCCGGTGCCACCTGCACTAACAAACTCCAATGTAGGATACTCGTCGTCGCGATGCCGTTGCACTAGCGATAAGTCGTCTTCGTGCTCGTGCGGAAAATGCTCACGTGGCATGTGCTCGTGCGGCAAGGGCTCGTGTGGCAAATGCTCGTACTAACCTGCTACAACTGAACCAGCATGGCATTTTAAAATAGTACAATAATTATTTTGTATACACTTTATGATAAATGAAAAATACACCCAGGTACAATATAATCAGATGCATGAGCTCTGTATTTATCACTGCAGTCCACGGCAATATATTATTATTAACTTATTTATAGTTTATTGAATTCAATAAAAAAAATTATGAAAAACAGTGCATAAATTATTTGTTGATAATTATTAAGACTTAAGAGTAATAATTACTCTTAAGTCTTAATTGTTCTTATCGTTACGTTCGTTTAGATCGAGATCCTATGTACATTGTTACCTATATATTAATATTATAATAAATAGTCTTTAAATAAAATCCTCGTGTTTTTCACAAATATTCTTATGTCTATATTAATATTATATTATATTTAAAATTAACAACAGCCTGCTTGTCTATGTAAGAGGTACCCATGGAATCGTGCAATCGCATTGCGCATGATGCACTTATAATAACGATCTCGAGCGATGTTGTATAGGTATAATAATTGTAAGACAAAAATATAAATATTGTTCGATCTATGCGACGACGGGCTATAAGTGCAATGAAACGATCTGCTGGGTTCATAATAATAATAATAATACTAAACATAATATGGTGATTTCGTAGCTATATTGTCTTAACGATAACAATATGGATAACACGTGAACACGATCTGAAGTTTTCGTGATTCGTGACGTTAAATAAGATGTGTTTATAGGTATCTAGGTACCTCCGCTATGTTTAAACCACATGGGATATAATATGTTTGGCACAGAAAATATCCTTATCCCATAATAATCTTATAATTATTTCACCATGTAGGTTAGGTCAGTATCTTCTTTTCTAATTGCATCGAACTACGCTGTTAATTAATTTTGATTTTAATAACACTTGTTTATGTTTACATTTATATATTTTATGTTTATATACTTATATGGTTATAATTGTACGTACAAAAATCGATAAATGTGGTTGTTTAACAAGAATATAATAATTAATTTTAATTATACATATACGTATTTTATGCCTTGCCTGGTATAAGTATATACAAATAATAATTAATATATACGATTTCCCCCCCCCACCAAATTGTTACATATTATAATTTTACTAACATCGGAAAACCCTCTAGAAAATACTATGAATACTTACAGTGTATATAAATAATAAATATAATATAATGTATATGATCATACATTTATCCTGGGTTATCTATACAAATAATAATATACCATGTTAAGCACAGTGTATTTATTACATTTAATAGAAACATAATAATATACCTAATATAACGTTATATACGTTAGTAAGTTCCCAGCCCCCCCCCCCCTCACAGAATCAATAATAGCATTGATTTTATAATATATTATATTATTAGTATATTATAAAATCAATGATAATAGTAATAATCATTTGTAAAATGCTACCAACACGTTAGAGTACCTATATTGCCTATACTTTGCGCCCCATAACACGTTATGTTCGACAACTTACTCTTTGCACATTATTCGAAAAAAAAATTTGCATTTTCTTGTTTTTACATTTTTACTGAAAGACTATTTTTACATACCATCTAATGATATCACTACAACTTATTATTTGTTTGGCATGATTTAGTCATGTGGGCAACCTCTCCCGTTTATCATTATAGATCACAAACTTTATTATTTTTACCGCAAGTATAGGTACCTTTCATAATATTATTTTGAACGTATTATTCCGATATCCACTATAATTATAGCGCTCTTATACAGGTACCTATATATACTACCGATTATAATAGTGTGTTATAATTTAGCGTTGAGTATTATAGTAAAAATATATACGTAAACACGTATTTTATCGTTTTTCACGCACTGACACGACTGACACATACGAAAGATAATAAATCGATCGTGAGGCATTATTGCAGTATATAATATTGTGCCGTCTTCTTTTTTGCAGTAAAGTATAATATAATATTATACATTATAATATTATGTATCTATAGAACCTATTACGATATTTGGTACAATTTTTTCACGCACGCGTCGATTTGTATGTAATATATGACGTATAGTTCGCGTTTTTATGCTCGAGTTATTGTGGACGATTTATCGAGACAAAAAATTGATTGTCGTTAAACACAACGTGTATTATCATATCATGTATTCATAAAAAAAAATATTTAAAAAAATGTAATCCTACAAACAAACTCAATAATAATAATAATATACATCATGCTCAGTGGTGATGAACCCCGGGAGAACTATGTTGGGAGGGGGGGTACACGTGGAACCTCGCGGGTGGTCGTGATGCACGTAAAACGTTATATACAATATACGATGACGGGTCGAAAGACTAGAACGCGCGAGACGCACCACACTATATTTGACGGGTTTGACTGCCCGCGAGACGAAAGATTTCGACTGAGGATTGCGCGCCGCACGACGACGTCGACCTTGATCGATCGATGACAATGGACGCGATTCTATTATAATAATATTGTTACCGGCGAAGACGACGATCCGCACATTGTGCGCACATATTGCGTTATACCGCGCACGTCAAACGCCTGACGTCTATATATAATACGCCACATATATTTGTGCGGCGCACTTTGTTGTATTGCTCGTGAGAGCACCGACAGACGCGATGTTTGCGCGCGCTTGGTCCGTCGCGGCTGCAGTAGCGATGATGTTGACGATGGCTGTGAATGCGATGACGGTGGTGACCACGGCGATGGCACTGATGACGACGACGACCGCGGTATTCGGTGCGGTGACGCTGGACAGTGTGGCCGTCCGACTGGGCCTGCCCGAGGGCCGGGGACTGTCCGGAGTGTGCCTGTACAGAAACGGGCCGGACAAACGGCGGCACGTCATGTTCAAATCTGTGGCGTCGGCGCGCAAGAAATACGGGGGCGGCGGCGATTACATGGTAGCCGGCGACCTGGCTGCCGACCGGGTGTACGAGGGCACGTTCGCCCGGCTAGTCGACGGCGACCAGGTGGCACGGTTCGGGTGCGACGGCGGCCGTCGGTTCGAGGTGGCCACGCCATTCGTGGTCCCGGAATCGGATCTGGACACTATTCTGGCAGTCAAAGAGTCGATGGAACAGCGGTTCGGCGCTCAGCCATCCCGACGGGATCCGCACCGGTCGGTCACCGCGGAACACATGTCCGTGACGCTGCGTGGTCTGCGCCCGTCGTTCGCAGAAACCGGGATCGACGCCGCCGCCGCAATCACTGTAGACGTGTTTCAGCTGTACAAGAAACCACCGCCGGCCGCTAGTGACACGTGGGACACGGCTGCAAAGCAGGTCGGGGGCGTTCGGTATTCGGCGTACCCGTATGCCAGGTACGCGCTCCGGTATCCGGTCAGCGACCTAGTGTTAGCTGACCTGCCGCCCGACCAAATGTTGGCCGTCAAGTTCCGACGTTCGGCCACCACCTCCGCCGTTCCCATGCAGCAGCATCAGGCCGACCTGCACGCGAACCGAACCGATAACGCCATTTTCATATACACCGGCGGCCTCTATCCTCGCGGTACCGCCAACCTGACCGACATGTTGGACGAACGCAGTGCCGGCAGTGGTGGCAAGTATACCGACGAGGCTGACGTGGACACTGCGGCCACCTCGTACCAAATGGACGCCAAGCAAGCTCACAGCGACTCGTATGGTAAGATCCTCAGGTCTCAGGCGGGGTTGTCAGTGGATGAAAGAGTTGGGGTATGCAAGGGGATCTCCGGTTACGGATACGAAATTTAAAGTTAATGTATGACGGTTATATACTTATATACTTTGCAGTTTGACTTTAAAATTGTAGGATTTCAATTATTAAAACCTGCAAAGGAGTCGATATGCTGTATCGTAGAAATTAGGTAGGTTCTGAGCGTATCTTGTATTCTTGTCACTGCAGTCCAATGATTTGATTATATGAAGTTTAGTCTTTGAATCCAATGATAAGCCATTACTCATTACCATAGACCTTAGTATAAAGCCAATAAAGGTTTATATGCTCATTACACACCGATGTCCAATACGTTTCGGTTTCAAAGAGGAAATGACCCGACCAGCTATATATTTCTAAAGATACTCTGATACTGTATATACAGTACACTAATTAGGGTTTAATTTTTGCTAAAAACATCTCATATAGGTATTATAAATTAATACAGATTAAAAATGGAGTATATTAATTCGTAGACCCATAGCATAATAATAACTTTAAATTAGTTAAAATATTTTGAACATGTCATTGAGTAGTGGAGCAAATGTTATTATACGTTTGAATATTCAAATATTCAATAGTGCAAAAATGAAAGACCTAACCTAATCAACATTTTAAGCTCCTGACGTTCATGGGACATTTGGGTGATTTTACTTAATGAGTGATCAGTTGTGCGTATGATATAGCGGGTGTCACCGGTTTCCGCCAAAAATTACCTTTCCGTTTTCCGCCAATACCTTTTTCCGCCAAATCAGAAAAAACGTCATTCCTTTTTCCGCCAACTATAAATTATTGAATTTTAAAGTTTAGGAACCCTTACGTAAAGATTTAATAATTGCACACTATAGAGTTAAAAAATAATAATATTTTTTCCAGTTATTACTTATTATATATTAGTAATGATATTAGTGTACCGACAAAATAAGTCAAAAAATATAATTTTATCATAACACTTATTAGGTAGGTATAATAGATATAAGTAATAAAAAAAATGATATTTATTAATTCTTCAATTCGTTTACGTTTATCAGTCATATTTTTTCTTGGTGTTTTACATTCATTAATACTCTTTAAAGTAACATAAATATTAGTTTGAATATTTTCTATAAGATATCTATTATACCTATTATTATATTTTGACTTATTTTGTTGGTACACTAATATCATTACTAATATATAATAAGTAATAACTGGAAAAAATATTATTATTTATTAACTCTATAGTGTGCAATTATTAAATCTTTACGTAAGGGTTCCTAAACTTTAAAATTCAATAATTTGTAATTGGCGGAAAAAGGTAATGGCGGAAAACGGAAAGGTAATTTTTGGCGGAAACCGGTGACACCCGATATAGCAATAGGTTATAATTTTTTTTTTAAATTAGTATTTTACCCCGCACTAATAAAGTAATAGTTTATTAGTATCCTAATGTTTGTGGTATAAAATAATCTTAATTGAATATTTTAATTCATATCAATGATTCGGTATACAATATTCTATTCTGTAACAATAATAACACCTACATTAATAATTAATTACATTTTTTTCTTTTATAACAAGCTATGATATTATGTATAGGTACCTACATATATTTTAGATTGTAGAACTATCTATTATAGTATTATGTATAAAACACATTACACAGGTATATGTATATAGGAGTCATTATCATTTAAAATTAAAAATTGGTATGTAATAATTAATACAGTATAGTTCGTTATTTTCACCTTTACCTACTGGTGAATTTTTTAATTGGACAAAATAAATAATAATATATGTTCCTATACATATACTATATATATATATATATATATATATATATATATATTTTGTAATAGGTTGTATGAGAAAACCGATTTTAGCATACCTATATAAGTTATTATGCTATATTGCTATAGGTATCTAAATTATAATAATATAGTATATTAATATTTTATATCACAGTGAGTGTCAGTGACACGGTGGTTAATAACAGTATTAATTTATCATCATTCATCAATCATCAGTAATAATAGCGTTGTTAATGAACTCTATAAATTATAATGATAATCTAATACGTGTATCAAGATTTAAGACCAATCTTGAAAAACATGACTAAACCATTTCATCAATGTAGTCGTATAGACAACATCTGTATAATAATAGGATAAGCTATTATATATAATAGTAAACAACAAAGTTATCTTCTTTAAATTCACAATTTAAACAAGTTTCTACCTAGGTATTCTGGGTAGGTACCTATTATTAAAAAAAAAAAGACATTGTATAGTTCGATGATCTCTCAAGGCATCGACGAACCGGAAATTGACGGTACTTATTCTTTGATAAAGAAATGGATTTTTATAAATATAAATATCAACGAAAATCTGTTTCCGTTACGGAAAATGTAAACTTGGTCGGGTAATATGTAATAACGTGAAATAAAAACGTGAATTGTAAATACTATCGATAATTTTCTCAGTAATATGCATAGAACTTAATACCTTATACTATAAGGTCCATGGTAATATGACACAAACGTATATTTAACACATAAACACGGCCAAACTGTATCAGCTACAGCCTACAGCCTGGCTGGTAACAAATGATCTATCTTATAGTGCAGGTACCAACAAAAAATAGTAAATTTCAATAAATAACACTTAATAAATACGAAAATATTAAAATTCCTATTGATAAATACATAAAACATATTATAACATATAGCATAACACAGAAACATATTCAACTTAGATAAAACACAAACAAGAAAAACAAACATAAGTAATTATATGAACTGAGCTGATTACCCCTCTCTTTAAGCATGCTTGTGATATTAGTTATACAACTAATATTATAACATTAAATTATGATTTTCTATAAATAATTTAATAATTTAATAAAAAGTAAATTAAAAATTAAAAATAGTAAAAACAATAGATATCTAAGCTTTTTAGTAGATATGAGTAATGACTTATGAGAATCGCCCTTTCTTCAGATCATGCACACTATATCTATGTTATATAACTATATTATACAATATACTTCCATACAGCCATATTAATATAGGTATAGGTATAGGTAGGTACTGTAAATAATACAATTTATGAGTGATTAAAACTATATATACCTACTGTTTACAATGTATTAGATACATGTAAATTACATAAAGAGATGAAATAAATTATTTTTGGTACCTACTAAGCCTGATCTTCATTAAATTCTGTTATGGTAATAATGTTTCGTGCAGTAGGTTAAGAGTTGAAATTTCAAGGTGTCGGTTCTAGGGCATTCTTTGAAAATATATTGTATAGGTAGTTAGAGGTTCAAAACTTCAACAGATACCAACTGTAGAATTTTGAAAGTGGTTTACTCATAAGAAAAGAGTACCTATCTTAGGAAAGTCCGAAAGTGTGTCCAATCTTGTTTTGATGATGGATATATATATTGTCTTGAAATCGGCTGACATCCGGAGGTGAATAGTGTTATAGTACTAAACCTACTTGGGTATCAGGTACCAGGTAACATTGTAGGTACCTAATATCAATATTTGTATAAATTCAAATTTATTACATTTTTTTTTCACAGATATAATCAAAAACACAGTGAAATGTTTCACAGACGGTATGGTTTACAACGGATATCCTTGTCGGAATTCTGATGTCTGTATACCTTTGGGCTGGTTATGTGATAGTCAAAAAGACTGTATTGGTAAATCATGATATATACCTATTTAATTGAATAGCATAGCATAATATTATAGTTAATAGTGATTAGTGTTAATACTGTACGATACCCAAATAAATTAAATAGCTGGGTATATTAAATGTTTTTATTATTCTTTACCATTGTAGAAGGCGATGATGAATACAACTGTTACAATACAGTAGATACAAATGCCGGAGAAAGTACTAACAGTTTGTACAACAATAATGACAATTGGTATTATAGCCGTGGTACTTGCAAGAAGTTTGAATTTCGGTGTCGTTCTCGAAGAATGTCCGTCTGTTTACCCAATTCTTGGTTATGTGATGGACGAGTAGATTGTGATGACGGGCAAGTAAAAACACTTAATTACTTATGAAATAAAAAATCTCGTGTAAATATATACATTTAAAGAGCACAAAATTTGTAAAAATAAAAATATATAATACCAAATAACAGATGGGATGAAAATGAATTCAATTGTGGCCGAACATATGGTGGACTAAGACCAGGACTTGGTGACTTCAACGCTCGAGAAGACCAAACGTGTATAAACAAAAATAATTTTAAATGTTGGCAAGGAACAGGATGCGTAGGTCTCCGTGCAGTCTGTGATGGGATCAAAGACTGTGCCGATGGATCTGATGAACGTGTATGCGACAACTGGAGTTCACAGTGTAATCAATTTACAGAATTTAGGGTAAAAATAAAAATATATTATATATATCTACCAGGGGCAGCTCCAGAGACATAGTTGGGGAGGGGCCAACTGGCTAAGTTATAATTATTTTTCAGAAAACTTTTGATATTTTAATTTTGTTTTTAACAATTTCCATTTTTTTAGAAATACGGCTTAGGAGGGGGCCGTGACCTCTAGCCCCCCTAAATTACATACCTATTACACTTGAGCACATATTAATAAATGTTGTATAATTTATTTTATTTTTTTCAGTGCTTGAATAAATTTAATACATATAATGCACGAAGTTGCATACCACGGCAATGGGTATGCGATCTACAAGACGATTGCCCCCATGGGGAAGATGAAACAGTTACCAGTTGCTTAGGAATGGATCACCCAACATTTAATGGTTTGGAAACTGATATTGAGGATTTTTAAACGGAAAACATTTCAATAAGATCCAATAAACTTATAATCATTAAATACTGTTCTTGTATTATAATATTATATACTGTGTTAAATTTAACGTTATTATCATCTGGTATAGGTAGGTATTTAGAGAAAAATATGTTCACGACCATTAAATAAACGTTGGTCTTTACGTACCAATTGGCACAATGTATACGATGTAGGTACCTACCATTGAAAATGTTTCCTATAATTTATAAATAACAAAATCTATAGGCAGGTAAAAGATACCTAAAACCTTTATGTTTTGTTTTAAATTTAAATTTATAGAAATACCTAACACTGAATGTAAATTGTACAGACGTACAGTATATTACAATTTACATTAGGTACCTAATAACCGGTATATCGGTTTATAATACTCCAGCTCTTTGCTCTTACTATGTTTACAATTACAAATTACTCGTGTAGTTATGTATATGTTAGTAAATACTTAATAGTAGCACCAGTGGCGTCCGCAGGATTTTTCAATGGGGGGGGGGGGCTTGAAAATTAGTTACAAATTTATTTTTATTTTGTCCAGTCTAATAATTTCAGACGTTTATTTGAGGTATTTTAAAATGTTTGTAACTTTTCAACTTTTGTTGTAGAAAATATGCTCTTATCATAAGCCTCGATGCCCAGTGTATGTTTTTGGAAGCAAATTGGATCTAGTTGGTACTTTAGCTTAGGAGGTCGAAATTGAATCTGCTCCGTGCTTTTAAAAGTACCTAATTGGAACTTATTTAAATTGTTTGGTAACAGTAGCTTGGTTACAGTGACGTATTTATGGGGGGGATATGGGGATAGATCCCCTCCCTTACCCATTTTTTTCCATGTATAAAGTACAAACTGCTGCAGTACTGTTGTTATTTATAATTTTGTTATTCTGTGGGCATGTGAGTGACATTACACAACATTTATTATTATTATATACCTTACATGGAGTAACTAACAAAAAGTTGCAACAGCACTAAACAAATTTTGATATCCCCCTCCTCAAGAAAATCCTAGATACGCCCCTGCTTGGTTATATGTACCGTCCTCACTTGGATTGTATTTGATTAATTAAAATTTTTTTTTATAAATGTCAATAAAAAGTTATTTATCCGGTCAAAAAGCTTAGAAATGTAATACGTAAGTTTTTTTATTATAGCTAAAATATTAACGATACATATGCATTTAAAGTTCAAAACAATTTAACCACAGTTAATTTGTAGTTCAAAACTTATAAAATATAAAATATGTACAGCTAAGGCTAGACAATTTAATACAAGGTCTTTCGTACAAGTAGTTCATTCTTTTACCGAAAAATTACATATAATTTATGAAAATTGGTATGCAAATACAATGTTTTTTCAAAAATGAATTCATTCTGGTAAGTCATATATGAAATTTACGTCTTGCTTACTATAGTTGACAGTTTAAACTTGATTATATTTTTAATATTTTTAAAGTAGATAATACGGGCATGGGGGGGGGGCTTCAGCCCGTTAGCCCCCCCCCAATGTACCGACGCCACTGAGGGACCAAAGTAAATAGTAATGAGCTATACCAGATTATCTACATACCGTACATATTTTTGAACATTTTTTATTATTGACAATAAATCAAGTTTTAAAACAGGTGGTTGAAACACGTTTTTTGGGTGTGGTGGCAGTTGCAGTATTCAAGTTGGGGCACACGTCTAGGTTTCTGTATGCCTGGGTGGGGAGCGGTGGTGGCACTCTCGCCGACCCTGTGACTAGCGCTGCACCCGAGACCAAAATAACTAAAGTAACTTAAATCACATATCGAGAGATCCATTTTAAATGTCGTTACAACAGCTGATTATTCGTAGGTAAACGTCGACTTCAATCTAGTAATAATTAGAAAACACTATATTTATAAAAATGTAATACCGATCTAAATCCTTAGAAAAAATTGTCGTTCATATAATTTATACTATTTAATACGACTAGAAGGGTAAAAAGTAAATATTGCTTATGCGTGAAGGTACCGGAAGAATTAAAAATTTAAATTTTTTCCGAAATGTGTATTTTGTTACCTAACTTTTCGACAAACACATTTTCCAGATGTAATATTTAGTGGTATATACCTCTTAGAGTGAACACTATGACATAGTATACTATTAATTATTATATACATTGTATACTAATTCCTAATATAATATCTATTCTGATTTCTGTTATTGTAATTTGTAGATTTGGTAATTTTTTTGATTTATTATCCTTTATTTTTAGATGTTTCTATAATATATTAAGTGTAATTAAATTTTTGAGAGTTTGAATTAAAATCATGATTAACAAAGTATTTAACCAAGATGTATACCAAAAAAAAAATAGGCAATTAGCAATTATCTTTTATGGTTAATAAAGGTCTTAAAAGCAAAAAAATCTTTATTCTGTTCTCGTATAGAACACTGGTAAAGTTTGTTGGTAAGCAGTAAGCACCCATACAATGTTCTAAACAATATATAGGTAGGTACATTTAAAGTTTAAAAAAAATGATAATGGTCCACATATGGATATCAACTGGTGCATCGAAAAAACCAAAAACACTGCGATTTTAAGAGAAGAACGATGTGTACTAAAACTCACCGTGGATTTGGATTTCTCCAATTTGATTAGTAAATTAATATTTTTCTCTAGAGCTTTCTATTTTAGAATACCTATATGGTTTTGCCATTTAGAATCCTCGTCAATCTTGCTCATTCAGATTGTATTGTTATCAGTATTATGTATATTCTATAATAATATTAGCTAACAACTAACAAGTAACAAGTATACGCTGTATATAGAATAATTATTCTAAGACCGTGCTGTATATTATAGATATATTATGTTATCGCAGAGAGCCCACTGTAAGCATAGATAATATAAGATTATATTATCTATGACTGTAAGGCGTAATATATTATCAACACAAATAAAATATTTGTAACTGGCTCAATACGAGTACGCACTTGATATTATGTAAATGTTATACAATGTGACAATAAAATTAGACGTTAAAAATTAATTTTAACGTAAGACACTAATTATTTCGTAAACTGAACGTTTTTACACAATTTTATATATTAAAACCTATTTACGTGGAACCTTGTTTTAAATTTCAATCCTTAGATATAAAAGTTGAACATTTTATAAATTTTCAATCCTTACATATAAAAGTTGAACATTTTATAAATTTTTAACATTTTACGGTTAAAATTTAAATAATTAAAATTAAAAAAAATTATTAAATGTTGTAAAAATTCGTACTTTAAATGCTTATAAAAAAAAATGGTGACTATGGATTTTTAATATTTTTAATCTGTTTTTGAAAAAATAAATTAGGAGCCTTCTATTAAATTTTCAAGTTTTTACACAACAAAATGGAAACTGAATATGTCCGTAAGCAGCTCAAAATAAGTCTAATTTTTTTTCAAAATTTTATGGTGTATAGAAAATGAAAAAATAAACATTCAGTCAAAGTGTCACGTATCTATGCTACGTAATTTGTTTCAGAGTTACACCAAAAACGATTTTGAGTAAAAATTCCCGTTATTTCCTTAATTTTTCTTTTGTATTTCAAGGCGCTTGTGATAAATTCTTACTTTTGAGTTTTGACCCCCTAAAGTACCAACTAGATTCACATTCCTATTAGAAAAGATATTGTTGAAGAAAATTTAAGCACTTTTACTGTTCTATAAGGTCACACATCATTATTGTAAAATCAATACATCCATTGCTCCTCTCAGAATCTAAAAAAAATGTCTTGGGGCTTGAGCCTCCTCTAAACATTTTTCCTATTTGCGCCACTGACCTGTATTTTATATTTGGCCAAAACAATCCAAATAATTGTTAAAATCTGTGCAGTTTACACTTGAAAGAGTTTAAAACAGGTATTTAATTTGTCACAGCCTACAGGCAACACCGTCCTAGATCAGTTAATTGTAAATAAAAGTATTTTTAGTAACATAAATATTACCTAATCGTCATAACCTATCTAAAATAATCACATTGTTTAGTTGCTTTGTGTTAACTGTTATGATAATAATTTTTATTGTTATAATAAAATATAAAATATTTAATAGTTTAAAATTAGATTAATATTCAATAAATATAGTCTTAATTACCCATTTACAAAAAATAAACATAGATATATTTGATTTCAACAATTAAATTAGTTAACAGACTTTTTCTTATATTTTAAATACAAAAATACCCATTATAAGCCTAATATATTTTTAAATAACATAATAAATTGAAATGCGATTTATCTTTGGTTCTGAAACAGAACAAAGAGGAACTATAAAAACATCAGTTTAATGGAAACTTTGAAAATTGGAAAATATCTTCAATCTTCTTTAGAGTCATATTTTTTAATATGAAGTATAGACATTGTTTCAAATAAACAATAACATCCACAATTTACAGCGCATAAAGATTCTTTACTAAACCATTGAATCAAATGATTAGCATGACCACCATGACCACATTTTAGACAAACATGAGCTGCACCTCTTACAGTAGAATTACATAATGTACACTTCAGACTAAACTGTTGACACTGAAGACAGTATCCATCTTTAACCGAGTCATTACATTTTAAACATTCAATTATGAATTTGAAAAAAAATGCACTACTCTTTTGAGTTTGTTGTTTCAAAAATTTTTTAACACTGGTTTGCTGATCTAGTAAACCCAAATTATCTAATACGTCCATGTATATTTTTTTGTATACATCATAATGCACATTTTTCTGGGCATCAGAATCCTCTAACAGTAATCCTTGATCAGAAATTTCATAACATTCGGTTGATTCCTCTTGTCCCCTAGAAAAGGTGAAACCTTCTGACAGACTATTTGAGCGCGTATACACGGGTGTAGGTGTCCTATCCTGTTCAATATTTTTCAGAGCCGGATTTGGATTAAACACACAACATAATAAAGCAGCGGTTTGATAATCAGAATGACCAGCATAATGTGAGATTAATGAATCAATCATATCAATGGTGAATGGATGATTTCTCCAATTATTAATTTGGTCAATGGACGATGTAACTTTTTTTTTTACATTACATTTTGTATTGCAGGCATATGCAGCCAGTGTCCAAGTTTGAACTAAATCTTTTCTTTTAAAGCCATTTGTAATCCAAGCATTTTTCAAACAAGTACTGAAAACATTAGATACATCTAGTTCATATTTTGATGCTAAATCCTTATTTATTGAAAACAAGCTTGACACATCATAAATTGAAACTATTGGTTTATCTAACTTGTCTTTTCTATAACTTTTTGAGCTTCGACTACTTCCGTCAGTTGGAGAATTTTTATTACTAAACCAGTAAGGTTGAAGCTTTTGTAGTGGAGTGTGATTTGCACTATCAATTTTTTGTAGAGAAATAGATGGGAAAATATCGGATTTCCTTTTTGGCGGACTATTAAACCACAGTAATGCACCATTGTTACAAAATTTTAAACCCATTGTTTTATGCTGTAGAATATTACAAGTGTCTTGGCTAGATATGTAAGTACTTGTACGATCATAATGTGATGGCGATTGTGAATACATTGAGTATGTTTTCTTATCGTCTTCAGAAAATTGAGATTCCGAAAATGATATCCGGGACTTTCTTAAAGACACAACAAGTTCACGAAGACAAAACTGCACACAAGTCAAGTTTTTAGACACTTGCTTTATAGCTGAATCATATAATACTTTATGAATTTTATTTTTCATGCTTGCATCATACGTACTTTTGGTAATTTGAAACTGAGGTTCGACGTTTACAGGATAATCCAATGGAAAAGTCATATGTATAGTTATTGAATTATTATTGACTTTTACCAAAGCTATTAATATACGTCGATCTGGATCTTTTTGTTCAATGAAAATTTCTGAACCAACATTCAAAGAAAGAAACTCTTTGTGTAAATTTACAATAGGTTCCTCACCAACTTCGGTACTATAAGAATCATCACTAGTAGACATAGAAAAACTTCCATCTCGACCTTCACTTTCAAAGTTTACATTATCAATGTCATTAAGTGCATCATTGGACACATTACTTGTGTCGGAGGTTGGTGCGTTTTGATCATTATCCAAATTATCGTCACACGATTTTTCGATATAATCCATAGGCATTTCCTGAAGAAATGACACAACGTGCCATAATCTCATGGTCTGATCTTTAGACCACGTTATAAATTCATATTCAGATGTTTTATCTTCATTATTTTTCATCCATTGAAACTCTAATATTGTATCTGAATGACCAACAAATGTATGAACAGGTGAATTAATTGAACTCAAATTCCACAATATTAGGTTATTGTCCACTCTTTTCTCTGGAGGAACCAAAACAATTAATATACCATCGCCAAAAGGTGTATATTTAGCACTCCAAACAGGAGTGACAGTATTTAAAACATTTTCTGTCTTTTTAAGATTATTTATTTCGAAAAACTTTACAGTACAATCTTGACTACAAGTGACTAATTGATTTTCATTTGTATAACTCCAATCCAAACAATGTATATTACTGAGGTGGGCTGTAATATAATGAAGTGGATTTGCAGCTTTTCTCTGATCCCATATTTTGACTTCCCCACCATGAGCAGTAGCTACCAGGTGTTTAGTTAAATGATTCCACCGCACTCGTAAGGCAGGAATAATAGCTGAAAGAGATAAAGCTGGTCTAGTGTTGTCTCTAATGTCCCAAATGTTTACAAATGAATCCATAGACGACGAAGCTAGAATATTTGGATCAGAGGCATGCCAGTTTATGTCTAATATAGCTCGTGTATGGGTATTTAATCTTGTCGAAGAAGCTAGATTAACATTGTTTTTCAAACTAAGTAACTGCAATTGGGTGCTCTGTGCCAATGCACAAATATGTTGGTTGTGATATGTCGGATTCCACTCAAGAGCTTTAATTTCATATTTACAAGTTCTAGGAAATAGAATATTTGATGATTTATAAATTTCAACAATACCATATTTTTTACGGCCAGCTAACAATACTATAGAACCAGTATAGTCTATAGCCATTCTATGAGCATCAAAATCTCTAATTTCAATAGCATTATAGTCACTACTCCACCTTGTAGCCATTTTGGACTTTCGTATAATCTAGAAATAAATAAAGTTAAAAATGTGCACATGTATAGACATGTTAATTTCTTAAATTACTTAATTTGTTTTATTTTTCTTACTATAAATTCAAATCTTTTGATTTCAAAATCACAAACAACATAATCAATGCTCACCTTTGCTAAATAATTAGCATTTTCACTTTACGAAAACAATCTCTTTTTTTTCAAATTGGTATTATCTGAAAACATATTTTAAAAGATATTATAATTTTATTCAACATAAGTAAGAATTTCAATATATATTTTTATTTATTGGAAAAGACAATAGCACCTCCAAAAATTGCCATATTTTCCAAATACAAATGTTTAATATCTAATAAGTAGTACAATTGATTTACAGTGGATAATTATACATTTATATGTTATAAAACTAATGGTAAATGACAATGCCTATATTTTATACAATTTATTTTACTGCTCACAAAAATTAATATTAAAATAACTCTGTAGGCTAAATCCCTTAACCTAAGACTCTCTTTACTTATATATATTTAATTGTAAACTTAAGGTTAATCATTTTTGTTACTACTTTTAGCATAAATAATGTAAATAATAAAATTTAAAAATTATTTATTTATGTGTAAAATACTAAAATGTCAGTTAAAATACCTACATGACAACTAAAAATAATATTTAATAATAACACACTTTACTCATCTAATATCAATATAAAAATACAGTTAATATTTTGAAAATTTAGAGAATGTCGTAACCGCATCTGTTATCTCTGTCTTATTAACGCATAATACATCAAAATGTATGTCCAGCAGTTAAAATTTGGTTTATTTTACTTGTTTGCTTAAATATTAATGAAAGGTAAATTCATTAATATGTAAGCTAACAAGTAACAACACAAAATTGGAACTGCTGGACATACATCTTGATATATGCATAAATAAGACAAAGACAACACATGCCGGTAAAATGGCCAACATTAAATGTTTATAATTTAATTATTCTCGTTAAATCATCTATAACAAATAGTAACCTAGTTTGAGTATATATCCATTTTGAGAAGATGGAGATTTCAGTGACATTTATGTTTATTTTTAATGTATTATGTAACATAATTTATTATAGCTACATATTTTTTTAATTATAGAAGTAAAATCCATTTTTAACTATGGAGAATAATTAAAAAAATTACAGTAGTGTTATTTTTCATTAAAAGTACAAATGTTTCCATATCATAGAAATGGATTTTACTCTAGATGTAGACTTACGTAAAAGTAGGTATTCTTTAGATTAACAACAATATTTAAAACACTGATATGTGTTTGTACAATTTAAAATACTCAAACCTTTTTTATAAATAGGTAACCAAGTACTTATAAGTAAAATTTGGTCACAGAGAAAGATAGGTTAGAGGTTAGTAAATTATAAAAACAGATACACAAAGAATATATAAAATATGATGATTATTGTATTCGTATGTTGTTATAAATTTGAATCATGGATTTATCTATACACAACCAACTATGAAGTCATGAAGTTACGACTAAATACAAATACAAAATAATTATTTCTTAGTAATTAACTATTAACTAACAACAATATTTTAATTAAATCATTAATTTTAATGAGTATGAGTAGGAAACTTTCAATTTGTAACTTGTAAAAATATAGGTACCTATAAGATAAACAACATTTTTTTTTACCTTCACATCCAGAGATAATTTTAAATTGGTATGTACATAAGGATAAGAATAATTTTAAATGTAAAAATGTTTAATGTGCTTTCTGTACTCACTATTATGTGCTGTCTCTACATAGTACAATTTAGTACTTTTGTAGTATCCATTTCTTTATCATGGTAGTATGTACCATGGACATTATAATATAATAATATGTACCTAAGTATGTATCTAAATAATATAATCCTACCACAACCACAGGATATATGAAAATATGAAATCAATATTCATGAACTATTAATATTACTTCACGTATGAAACACCACAAAATAAAATAGAATTAATACTACAATACTATTACTATCTGTAAATTCTTATCACTTATCTCTTCGACTCGTCAGTGGTTATCACAATTATAATGGATAACAATTTGTGATAAGGCCTGGTTTTTTGGCGGTCTCGTTTTAATTTAAAAGCGGGAATGTTTAAAAGTCGAGTTTCAGTGTCAATATAGAAATCACTCATGGCCCATGAAAATCGGCAAATTGAATGATATGATCCCTCTGCGTATGTTTGGTGCTTTTTCGTATGTATAAAAAAGTGTTAAGTTGAAAACCGTGCTGGAGTGTCTAGCAAGTCAGTCGTCTCAAGTCAAAATCAATTAATTTTCAAGTAAGCCACCTAGGTAGCTGGTAGCAGTAGCGTATCCAGAATTTTTTTTCGGGAGGGGTTATAATTTATTTTTGTGGAATTTTATCTTAAAATGATTTATTAATGATAACGTTGTTATAATTTAACAATTTTCGGGGGGGGGGGGGGGGGGGGGTTACAACCCCCTAACCCCCCCTCTGGATACGCCACTGGCTGGTAGGCAATCGGACTTCGTCGGATCGCAGACAAATACAATGTACTGCAGCAAATCAGGTAGTCAATCTGTGGTAGCAAACCCGATGTCGAGCGGCTATAAGAGGAAAAAACATTGTATTTTCCAAAAATTACAAACTTTATACCTGCATACAAACAAATACAATATGTAATTATTGTATGATATATAACAATGACAATTGACAATATTGATAAATGTGCAATTAGAATTACTAATAATTTAAATAACATATAGGTACATAATTGATAATATATTATAATATACAGCTATATTATAATGTAATATTAACCAATACATATAAACATGTAATAGCGTTTATATTATTTCTATAAAAAATAACAGGAAAAAAATTCAAAAAACTCGAAAGACGAGCGGCGTCCTTAATGGCGAAACTAGGGGGAGCAAAAGGAATTGCGGAATAAAAATCCCCAGGTTACAATATTACTCACAACCACACTCAAATGGCTGAAAAAATTCGTCTTGCTGGATTATTCAATATTAACAAATTATCAATCGATTAAATTTGGCAATGTTGAAAAATAAATAAAATATCAAGCGTTATCAATCGTGTAACCAAAAATGCCATTCTCAATCATATTTCACCGTGCCTAACAACCCACGTTAACTGATGTAAAAACTGAAGTACGGAATCATAGCTAAATACTTCTTCTTCTTTTCTTGGTTTCGGCCTTTAAGACCATACCGCTAAATACAAATCTTGCCATCTGTCCATAGCTATAAATTCAACCATATTTTCGAAATTACAATCGAACTTCTGGAAGTATGCTTAATTTACTACCGCTTTTAGTAGGTAGTTTTTATGGTCATGCAAACAAGAATATATTTCATTTTTCGAGATATATTGACATGTGCGTGCGCGTGCAAGAGTTGCTGCAACTCAGCATATTTTAAGGAGTACCTACTATTTAAGTAATTCATGTGATGTATAAATTAATACTGTATCTATGCGTGAGTAGTAAATAAACATTAGTGTGCGTAATCTCCTAATTCTCTCCGAGAATCGCTGTCACGTCGGGCAACCTCGCCGGAAGCAACTCTCACACGCGTACGCACATGTCAATAGATCTAGAAAAATGAAATATATTCTTGTTTGCATGACTATAAATATAAAAACTACTAAAAGCGGTAGTAAATTAATCATACTACCCGAAGTTCGATTGCAATTTCGAAAAAATGGTTGAATTTACAAACTTCTTGACTATGCTCATTAGGGATCACTTTTTTTTATTTAAAATCAGATGTGCCCAAAATCAATACAAATGTAATGCAATTATTTCATGGGATTTCTAAAAAAAAAAAATGGTTATTTTAAGGTAATTTAAAATTTAAAATTGAAAAACGAATTTCCTAAGAAGCCTAGATATTTTATCAATGAATTCAAACATGTTCAAAATTTTAATTCGGACATTCTGAAGTATGTGTAATTTACCACCGCTTATTGGTCTAAATTCTAAAACGTATGAAAAATACGTGCGTTGCAGCCCCTTTAAGTGAAATCCAGCCCTCGACGCTACAAAAGTCAATAAGGAGTATGATAATTATAATCCTTATTAAAATTTCAGTCAAAATCGAAAATTTGAAATATGTTTAGATTGAGATGGATAATTATTATAACTGATTATTAGTATTATTCATAGACATATTAATGTCTATGGTATTATTATAGTAATGAGTTGTGAAATTGTATTTTAATTTAGGGAAGTCATAAAAACATGGTTTTGAAATAAAATCGTTTGAGCCCTTTGGCCACATTTCTAAAATTTGAAATAAAACATCAAATATTAGTTATTACCGCTCTAATAATGGTAAAAACCGTGTTGTTTTAGTAAAATATTGAACGCATATATTTTATAATTTATCTTATTAAATATAAAATAAGTGGATATCTAAATATTCTAGATTTTTAAGTACAAATAGAAAATAGACTAATGATAATGTAGAATATTTATTGTTTTATAATTTTATTAAGATAAAGGTTTTAAATTTTAAAATCTTAAAACTATTATAGGTACTATAGAAAAAATTATTTACAAATATGTAATTTAATATTAATTGACTTGACCTGGCCTCATGATAAAATAAATGGAATTTGTCTATTTATGGAATTAAGTTAACTATAGTCAGGTGTAATATAAACTTGTAACACAATTTTCAATACAAATTAAAAGATTGAAGAAAAATATATTTTAAGTTACACAACTAAAATATGTGGTTGAAAAAACATAATTATCATCATGAAACAAAATCAAAATTAATAATAGTACTTATTTATGTAAGTAAAACAGAAAATGATTAAGTATAAATTGTTCAATTAGTTATAAAAAATAATAAAGTTACTCTTGAACACAGTTTTTATTGGAAAATAACTACAAAATTTAAAATAACTCTTAATATGATATGCTTATAAGCAAATATAAGCTCATTTCAAATATAAAATATGTTAAAATGACAAAATTATACTAGGATCTTACTTAATATTGTCTTTTTTAATGCAACCAATGGAAAACAACATTGGATGTGCGTGAAATGTAACTAAACGTATTGATCTTAAGTACTTATATTTTGATGAAATAATAGTTTTCTAAATAACAAAAATCACAAAATAGAAATAATAAAAATAATAATAAATGAAACTATTTGAATGTATGATTTAATATTAATATTGAGAAATAAAAAAAAATAATAGTAACTATTTACAATCTTAAATATAGCTCTTTTAACATACTGGTTTTTCATTAATTATCATAACTATAAATCAATTATACTCGTCATTTTCAAGTAAATTAAACTGGGCTATCTTTTAATATTGAACCAATTTTCTTATGAGCATATTCCAAGCATTTCCCTAATTCAGGGCTACAGCCATGTTCAGCAATTGTATTAAAACGGTATGTACGGAATACATTATTTTCAATGAAGGTTACAGCATTCATTAATGGACACAATATTACTTTAGTATGATCTGTGAAATTGATCTAAAGAAACATAAAAAGAACAAAATGTATAGATTTATATAATATATATGTACAAAATGTTAAATTTGTTACATACTTGTAAAGTGCCATTAGTAAGTTGCATGATAACTGATGAAGTAGATCTATACCACTGGTACATATATGGTGTGCGACTCAATTGGTCTGCGTCTTTAGCTAATATATCAGCACCAGCCTTAATGAGATGATCATTCATATACCGTCTGAAGTACATTAATAACTTCATTTTTTTTTCCAACGCAGGTGGGGTATGATCAGTTGTATGGTATTGTTCAGAACCACTTCTTTCTATGTAATGGACATCTCTAAAAAAAATTGTCAGAAATTATTTCAATGATAAATTTAAATATTATTATTAAACATTACTTTAGATTGGCTAAAAGTACTATTCTGGTAAAATCATTGAACATAACACCAACACAATCATCAGACAACTCATATCCAAATCCATATTTATCGGAATAGTCCACCCATTTACTAACCCAAATAAGAGGCTGAGCAGCAGGATCAGTGTTTTCCTCTAGAATTTAAAAAGTATATTAAGTACACTGCTAATAATACAGTATACAAATTTTGATAAATTCATACCCATATTTTTCATTCCTTTCATGGATGGTTTAGATTTTAATAAATTTCCTAATTCTTTTTCAAGAGACATCATATATTCTTTACAATCATTAGATGATACTCCATTTCCAGTAGTAGGTTTGTTTGGAATATTAAACATTGGTAATTTATTAACCGGATCTTGAGGTTTTGTAGCAACTTTGATGATAGCGGCTTTCGGGCTATTGAGTTCTAAAATTAATTGTTTACATAAAATGATGACATCAAACTTTGTAACAACTAAGCTTTACAGATTAAATAATTACCATTGAGTGGTCTTCGATTAGAAATTGATTCTCTGTAATTGATTGAATCAAAACGAGGAGCCATTGTAAGACATGACGCGGGCAATTTTTTAGGCATATAACCAGTAGTAAAGAAATCAGCTTTCATTATGTCATTAACACAAGGACGTTTTTTAGGATCATATTGAAGCATTTTATTAATTAATGAGCTGGCATTCTTATTTAAATGGGGAGGTAAACTATAATCACATCGTGCAATTCTAGCATATGTTTCTTTCAGAGAGTTTGTCTCAAATGGTGGTTTGCCAACCAATAGTGTATACCTTGAATACAATACAATATTAATAAATTTAACATTTTTAAACATTTTTTTTTTTTTTTTTATAATACTTACATTATACAACCTATGGACCACACATCAACTTCAAAACTATGACCAGTCTTGCTAAGAATTTCTGGAGCGATATAGTTAGGAGTGCCACATAATGTTCTACACATGGTTAAAAGTTGTATTAAATTTGATTAACTTGACAAATAAAAAAAAAATTACTTTTTACGCTGTCCATCATATTCAATTCTAGCAGCTAGGCCCAAATCTCCTATTTTCACTTCCATTTCATCATTTAAAAATAGATTTCCTAACTTCAGATCACGGTGAATAATGCCCTGGTTATGTAAATATAATGTGCCTTCAAGAATTTGAAATACATAGTAACGTGTTTCAGGTTCTGTAAGAGTTTTCCTTCTCCTAAAGCAAAAAAAAAAATTAATAGTATAATTAATTAATAGTCTACTAATAAATTCAATAATCTACCTAACACTGTCTACATAATTCAGACATTTTACTAATTAAAATTAAAATTATTTTTTAAGTATCTATACTCTATTTACGTTAATAACCTATCAAATATGATAGCTATTTTATATTGTTTTAGGCAATTAAGGTAGGGGATAATTATCAATTTATAATAAAATTTATAATTTAATTTTGTAAATAATATAATGTAGTTTTTATTGAACTTCAGCAACAGTGACAATTATTAGTCATAATATTTTCACTATTATTATGTTTTGTTTATTTGTTTACTAATATTAAAATGTGCATTATCAGAAATATATCAATTTAGTATTATTTAATAATAACAAAATGCATCTAATAGCTTTCTATTAAGTTAAATGTTACTAATCAAATTTGCTAGGGATAAAGTAAACTTGATTAAATTAATATTATAGTTTAGAATTTAAAAAAAATATATAGATAAATATCAATAAAAATTATAGAAAAAAAAGTATTCAAATTACAATGTTACATTGTAAATATTAGATGGTGTTGTAAAAATAAATTATTATTAGAGGTAAAATATACTATATGGTTCTATATTGTAATATAATTATTTATAAAGTTCCAATTCAAAACAACTTTGTCAACAAAATTCTAGGAAAAATCAATATTGTGTTAAACTCAGAAACCTGATACTGAATGACACACTAGGCTTTACAGATTGCATGACAATAACTCCTTAGCATATTTGACCTAAATCAGAAAATTACATAGATAAATTAACTTTACTTAATAATCATCGTGAAATATTTTAATAGATGTTGAAACAAAATTGAATTGTTCTTTTTAAATTTATTATAAAGATATAATATTATATTGTTATATAAATAAATGCCTCATTACGACAACATAAATCAACTATATTTATACTAATTATTATTAGTACTAAATGTATCTATAATTTAACATTTTTTTTCTATAACTTATTGCTTGATTTTTTAAACACACTAAAATTTTAAGTTCTTAAAAATGAAAAGTATTAAAAGAGAAATATTTTTTTGGATCCAAATGTCCATTAAAGTTCAAACGGTAATTTAAATTGTATTTTATTAGCAACAATTTATAGGACACTATGATGTAGTCTCCGTTTCACAATTCTACATCATAGCAAATTAGTGCATAGAAGTTCCACGTTGGGTCATTAATTTTAATATTAGAGTGACCTTTAAACAAACTTAAAGATGAAGTTATTATCGGTTTTTGAAGTAAATTTTCTTCAATATTTTATTTTAAAGCAAAATATGAGTACCTATGTGAAATAACACTATTTAAAAATGCTCATCTTGCTTTAAAATAAAAATATTAATAATAAAAAAATAACTAGATAATGTTCTCAGGTTTATGTTTAATAGGTCAATTCACCCTAATATTAAAATTAACAACTACTGAATGCAAATATTAAGTGAAACAACACTATATTTCTGACAGATAAAATGGATGGAGATAAAATTATCCCTGAAAATATATTGCATTACTTATTAATAAATTTCAATACAACAAGAATTATTTTAAATACATATGTTATTCATTATTTTATTGTTATGTCCAAATAATTAATGTATTATAAGTAGAATCCAGATTAGTATGCATTTTGATATTCTTTTTTAGTGTATTTATGGAAGTAAGAAATTTGTATATTTAAGTATATTTTGTAGATAAGTTATTTTTATATTTTTAGTAGATTTTTTTTTTATATACATATTTAGAATAAAAACTTCTATTTTAAATATGAGCTTACTTCAGGTCGAAAATCTTATGATTGCATATTTTATAAAAAAATTATAAGTTAAGTACATTAGATACATATTTCAATTTTTTTTTTATTCATAAATGGATTATAATATGAGTATATTATGATAAAAGTATTTTATAGTGCATTCAAAAAATCTGGAATTTAATTATAATTAATAAATATAAGGCAGTATATAGGTAATCGAACATAATAAATTATTATTTGAATAATATTAGTGTAATTTTAATTTAGTCATGTGAAAAAACATACATTTCTATTGACGTTTTTTTATTTAAAATTAAAATATGCAGGTATGTAAGGTATATTTACTTATTAAGAATTCAGCTTATTGTTATAAAAATACTTACTTATGCAGTTCCATCATGGACCTTTTACGGCAAAGTTCCAAAACTATATAAACAAAGTCATTATCCTCAAAGAAACTATGAAAAGTAACTATGTTTATATGTTTCAACATCTTGTGAATATGTATTTCTTGTGTCATTTTATCTTTTTGATTGTGTTTCAAGAGATATTTTTTAGAAACTATTTTCCCAGCAAAGATTTCTTTGGTTTTCATATCAACAATTTCGTAACATTTTGCAAAACCTCCCTGTAATAATATTTGTAAATAGTTTTTAAAGATAATATTTAACGTGTACGTATAGATACAAGGTGTGCAACAACTGCCTCTGGCCGGAAGGGCAAAACAAGACAGATAGGCCCTATGGATTTAGAAGTTAACAATCGTTATTAGAAATGTGTGACAACATGACATTTCAAAAAATCAACTATTAACAAGGAACAAAATTTTATTTTATGATTCAACAACCCTTCATTTACAAAATAGTGCAACATTTTTTACCTATTATTAGGCACATCATTTGAAATTACATTGGACTGATGAATTAGTAAATTAACGTCATGGTATATATTATACAAGGACTAGGTACACATAGCTATAGTATAGAACCAATTAAATAAATCTAAGATTAATCCAATATATCTCAATAATGTAATATTTATTATCTAGGTATTAACTTGTCTGTGGACGGTGGACACATATGATTACAGTTAATAAGTAAAAAATATTACTTAAAAATATTAGTGATAGGTACCTACCTAAGTAATGAATAAAAATATTTTACATATAAAGAGATGGCCAATTTTGTATTAAAAATTTGAATAAAATTCTCTATCAATATAAAAAATATCAGATTAAACTTGGATCATACCTTAGCTATATGGGAAGCTAAGGTTAAAATTCTGGAGAGGGGCTACATCCCACCTAACAAAACTATTTATTTAAAATAACACATAAGGGGCTTACATACAAATCAGTAAGGGATATATATTTTTTTTTTGGGGGGGGGGCTAAATGTTAGTCGGGGGGGGGGGGGCTAATTTTCCCCCATAGTTGTGCCAATACCTTTGGCTAGTAATAAAAGTTAATGTGAAAATTCATATTAGGTTTTAAATTGTTTTCTTTCAGAAGGACTCTGTCACTAGCTAACTATTGCGAAATCTGAAACAAAGGACTAAGGACGACAATCTAAAAAGATCAACAGGTACGCGCGCAAGTATATGCATATTTTGAGATGAAACGGTCTTTATTAAATTCGAAATGGATAATAAATGAATCGAGTACTAACGACAAGTGTTACAACGACCCAAGTTGGAAGTCGATGGTTATGAATCACAGTATTCACTAACGGACAACATTTATTTAATTATCGGTTTCTTCCCGAATGACGAAAACATATCTGAACGTATCTTGAGACTATCGTTATTACAGCTTACTCACCACTTACCAGATGAAAATAAAAACGGGTAAATCGCTATACGTTCTCAACGGACAACGATTCGACTCCCCCTAACAAAAAACTTTAAAAAAACATCGTGCGCACGTTCTGTACCCAAACACCACACAATTAAAAATCCACGTTACCTTTCCGAGAAAACTGCCCTTTTGATACTTCTTGTTGGTCTTGTTGTCGAAAATCACGTCCGGGATTCGCACCTCTTCTTCTTTTGGTCTGGACGACATGTTGGCTTTTGTTGATCAAATACCGTTTCTCGTCCGAAGTGACTGGCAAGCACTTTACGATCACCGCCAACACTTATGTACCGACTACTGGGTAAGCGGCGGCTGGAGACGTTAACACACGAAGATTCAGAAACGCCACAGGTTAATAAAATAAGATTTATGTAGCCGTTGCGACGATTGGAGCAACACGATGTTGATAATAATAATAATAATAACAACAATACGGTTTTGACTTTTGTTTGATTAGGCGGCGGGAACCAGTAAAAACGGCAGTCCCCGGGGGTGGAGGTGCATAGGTTATGTGGCTGTGTGCGTGTGTGTTGGAGCGCACGTCGAACGACAAAAATCGGCGGACAGAATTACTGTCTGGTGATGGGCCTGCGGCGGCAAACGGTCTTAACTCGTGTAGACGGGTTTATCGGACGACGGACAACGGGCACCGGTCGCGGAACGAGACGTTATGAAAATAACCGTTAAATTGAAATATACGTTTGCAAACATGCAGCACACCGCCCACTGCACCGTCAGTAACCACCAAGCGCTGTGCGACAACGATCACTGCGCGAGCGCGAAGCGAGTACGCGATCACCGTATAGCAAGGGGTGACGGGGCAGCGGGGTGTAGACGAACGACCGTTGGCCGTGGAAGAATAAATCGCCCGGCTACGATGTAGAAAATGAAAAAATCTCAATTGTTCGAGCAATTTGTTCCCACCGGACTAAATACTAATTACTAATTAGTGCAGACAGTGCAGTGGTTGTTACCACAGAATGTTAACGTATTATTAATATCTAATGCCTTTCATCTATAAATATATATATCTGTGTTTGTGATAGAATATAATAAAAACTAGTATTTATAACCAATGATAATATATCCATAGGCGCAATTTGGACAACTGATTTGGGGGGCTAAATTTATAAAAACAATACAGACCCTTATAATTTTTTTATTAGGTGGGTTTAAGAATGAATATATTTAAAAACTTAGGGGGGCTTAAATAAATTTAGGGGGGGGGGGGGGGTTAATACCTATGTCTATACCTATAGGTCTGATACTATGATTGGTATGCAAATATAAATTCATTTTGGTAAGACGTAAATTAATTTACGTCATTCTTACTAAAGTTGAAACTTGATCAATATTTTTAAAAAAGTAATAATTATACGGTTAATGAGGAGAGGCTTCAAGCCTTCAACCCGTTAGTCCCCCCTCCCCCACCCCCTTGCGTACACCATTGATTCTGAGCGGAGGCTGTCAGTCAGCCTATGATAATATTACTAAGAGTATATTTGATAATGTTATGGTGAATAAAGGAATTTATATATTTTAACCACGGACTAAGATATTATATCTTAGTCCGTGATTTTAACTAGTGATGGGCATAATCGAATTATTTCTATAATCGAGTTATTACTTATTAGTAATCGATATATTGTTATAATCGAGTTATTACTCGAAATAATCACTCGAAATTTTCACTCGAATAGTAGGTGATTGATATACATATTTTCATAATCGAGTCATCAATCGAAATAATTACGCAAAATATTCAATAAATATGACAACTTGGAATATTATTAGTTTTTTATTAGTAGGTATAGTAGGTATAGAAATAAAAATGTGCATAAATCATAATCTCATTTTTTATTAATTTTTTTTTATTTAAATATTTTAAACGTCAACCTGGCAAATTATTTTAGACATAAATAATAATAGTTACTAATAAATTTAACAATTGTAATTACTTAAACAAATTTAAATTACTATTTAAAAAAATTATATAATCTAGATTTTTAGAAGTTAATCTGCTCCTCCGTCGAGTGACGAGTACCTACTGAAGTAGTCGAGTTACTATAGTTCGAGTGAAAAATCACTCGGTTACATAATCGATTATTATTTTAATAATCGAGATATCTCGATTATTATCAACAATCGAGTAACTCGATTATTATCAACAATCGAGTAACTCGATTATTTTCACTCGATTATGCCCATCACTAATTTTAACCTATTTACGTTTTTACATTTTTAATCATTTGCTATAAAAGTTGAACATTTTATACATTTTTAACTACTAAATCATTTTTAAATATTAAATTTGATAAAATGTTGTCAAAACTTAAACTTTCAATCATTATAAAAAAAAAAACGTAGGTACAAATGTATTTTTAATATTTTTCATCTGCTATTGTAACATCAAATGATGCCTTGTATTACATTTTTACACTTTTTGGCCCAACAGATAAAACTTTATTGATATGATATTCATAGAAAAAAAATAATAAAAAATTTAAATATGAGATTGTCCGTCAAGACCTCAAAAAAAGTCAAAATATTTTGAAAATGTTATCAAGTATAAGAATTGATAAATAAACATTCAGTGAAATTTTCATGTATCAACAGTTATTCGTTTTTGAACTACAACAAAATAAGAAAATCGCTACATGAGAAATCGAGTGAATATCGAATATTGTTAAAATATGAATTTCAAACGCTCATAAAAATTTAATTTGATTTGCTTAAAGACATTTATTTTTTGATAAAGATAGGCAAACTCATGAATAATCTTATATTACATTTTCAAATCTTAGATTTGAAAGGAAAAATTTGTATGCATTTCTAACTCAAAATAATTTGCAAATTTTCGTAATTTTTACGTATTTTGTCAATATTTGAACTTAAAATGCATATATAAAAAAACTGAGACTGGATTTTTAATTTTTTTCATCTGCCTTTGAAACAATATACTATTCTATTAAATTTTCAAGCTTTTTTAACCAACAAATAAAATTTTATTGATATTTATAGAAAAAAAACTAAAAAAAATGTAAACTGAAAATGTCCGTAAAGAACTCGAAATATTTGGAAAATGTTAGTGTATAGAAAATGATAATATAAACATTCAAACAAAATTTCATGTACCTACGGTAATTTGTTTAAAAGTTGCACCAAAAACCAATATCGATTTTTTCGAAAACAGATTTTGTTTTTCATGGCGCTTTTGAAAACTACTGGAAAAATTTACTTTTGACCCACCAAAGAACCAACTAGATTCATTTTCCTATCAGAAAAGATACTGTTGAAGAAAACCCAAGCACTTTTACTGTCCTAAAAGGTGATGACAGACATGACAGACAGGGACGTAATTAGGGGGTTGAATAGGGGCATAGATCCCCCCCCCCAAAACTTTTTTTTTACTGCTAACATTTTGATCAAAATATTGATAATGACCGTTCATGCTAAAAACGTATATCCACCCCCAAACCAAATTCATAATTATGCCACTGCAAACATACGTACCTACTTAATTACGAAAAATCTGGTGTCGTGTAAACGTAGATGTGGAACAAATGAACGATAGGTACACATAAATACATAATAATATATATAAATATATAATAATTCTGTAGGGTTATGCAGGGTGTACCTTATGTCATTGTACGCCGTTTTTTTTAATGATTATGGATCGATGATATAGAATATGAAAATCGAAGCATTATTTCGACTATTTATCGTGTACACAGACATATCGTTCCACTCAGAATCTAAAAGTCGAGGGTAATTAATCCACAATTAATTTTTTATGAGCGTCTATTCAGAACACGACTACACCAGGCGGTCACAGTAAAAACCAGTTTTATGTAAATCTGGTGTGCTCTCATTCTAAATAGACTATAGTTAGAATTTTGATAAAATTCATAAAAATGTTTCTTTTTATATCCAAGATTTTAAAATTGAATTCATTAATGTAACAAGCTGTCTTTCTTTATCAAAAATAAAAAATGTATACCAGAAAGTAAAATTAAATTTTTATGAGCGTTTGAAGTTCAAATATTTACAACATTATATACTTGATTCTCATGGAGTGGTTTTCTTATTTTGTTGAAATTCAAAAACGAATAACCGTAGATACTTAAAATTTACACAATATGTTTATTTTTATAATTTTCTATACTAGATAAAATTTTCAAAATATTTTGAATCGTTTTGAGCTGTTTACGGATATTATCATTTTTTAACCTTTTTTTGTTTTTCATTACCATTTAAAGTTCAAATTTCACAAGATTGAATCATATTGAAAACTTCCAAATTGTTTAGCAATTAAGAGGACGCTACTCATACATTGGTTCAATTTGGCTGTCCCCGTCTTACACACACACGACATAGCAAATTGTAGTTCAATAGTTTCACTAGTGTGCTGTTAGTTTTGATACTAGAGTGAATTGACATATTATAAAACTTTTAGGTAAGAATGTAATCTGTGCTTAAGCGTTGCCGATTTTTCGAAATTTTTATTTTCAAGCAAGATATGGGTATATGAAATAACAAAAAATAAAAATGCTCATATCTCGATTGAAAATTAAAGTATCGAACAAAAGCCAACGCTTAAGCACGGATAATGTTATTACCTAAAAAATGTATTATTGGTCAAATCACTGTAATATTAAAACTAACAGCACACTATTGAAACTAGTGAACGAAAATTTGGTATGTCATACGTGTGTAAGACGAAGATAACAAATGCATGGGTAGCATCCTCTTAACAATTTATTAAATGTTCAATTTTGAAAGTTAAGAATTAAGAATTTTATGCATGGTTCCACATAAGTAGGCAGTTCATACTGTAACCAAAAAATTTAAAAAATATTTTAACAGTTTTATTTATAGTTATTTGAAGTTAATGTTTGGTTGAAATTATATATTTAAATTTTATATTTTTTTTTTTATTGATCCTTAAGCCTGGCATCTATGGGCCATTAGCTGTTAGTAGGTTGTAAGGTGGTGATGGTAGGGTTTTTTGTTGGTGGGGGTTTACACGTGTTTGCGTTTTGGCAGAATTTCGAATGGGGCACCCGTAGGTTTCTGCCCCGGAGTGGGGGATGGCGGCACTTGTTCTCCGGACACCGTGACTTGCCCGGAGAAAAATGCCGCTCAGTAGTCGAGGATCGAACCCGAACCGGCAGCGCTAACCGCTCGGCCACCTCGTCCCCCCAAGAAGTTTAATATCTATGTTACCCATTCATTGATTATATCATAGAATAAATTTTAGTTTATGTTTGGCGAAAATAATTTATATATTTTCACATACATTAGTTAAGTATATAACATGTTTTCATCACATCTTGTTATGACATATGATTATGTAATTTATAAGAATGCTGTGTTCCTGGCACATTTTGTGTTATATAGGATATAATTGAATGCAATTGAAATCCTAATTTAATAATAACTGAATCAAAATTTAAAACCTCAAGAGGATATCAGCATACTATTTTTAACTTTTCACTTTCTAACTCAAGCACAACAAAGATCATTTTAAAACTTTTATATTTTAGAGTTATTAAAACACACTTTAAAATTGAAATTTCAATAAAAGCGTATGAAGTGCCTTAGACAGTATTCTTAACTTAAAGTTCAAATTAGTTTAGGTAATTTCTTCACTCGAATATTGCAGCAAATATCAAAAAATTGTATCTGCTGTGCAACAATTTGCTACGTGTTATACAATAAATAAATATTGCTCCAACAATAAAGCATTAAGCAGTTGCTGCCAAGTTCATTTAGAATTAATGTATTGTACAAGTACAAGGGAGCCAATATGAACCATTAAAATAGTAGATACTGTGTACAAATTCTTCATACTCTACACTTTACAGGATTAATGTTGAATTTTGAGTCATTAAACTATTGTTAAATAATAGAATAATATTCTTCAACAATCAAGAATAATCAAGTAAATATCATGATTGTATAATTGGTTTATTTGGAATAAAACATCAAAAGAATTTGGATTTGTTTAAATTATAATAAATATAGTTGAAATAAATAACACAGACTTGAAATATTAATAAATAATATTTAATTGGAAATTTTAAATATTTCATATTTTATAGAATAAAAATGTATTCTATATCAATTTCATTCAATAGAAAAGTTGAACAGATATAAGGTTTATGATTTTATACTTATAATAACTGTATGAATATTCATGAAAAGGAAAATAATAACTATTTGTTTAAATCTGTTAATAATTATTACGGTTGTCTCGTCGTTGTCTGTTCCAATCTTGTCCACCATGTCCTCCATGCCCACCATGTCCTCCATGTCCTCCATGGCCGCCGTGTCCACCATGGCCTCCGTGCCCACCATGTCCACCATGGCCTCCGTGCCCACCATGTCCGCCATGTCCACCACCACCTTGTCGCCCAAAGTTCTGTCTGTAATTTCCTTGATTTTGATTACCTCCTCTTGGGAAAAAGTTTCCTAAAAGAAAAATTAATTATAAATGTAATGACTTCATACTTTCATAAAATAAATAGGTTTTTGTTAATGTTTTAATTTACCTTGCTTCATTTCAAAAATTCTTTCATTGGAATCTACAAAGTTATTAACTTTATCGGCCAGTTGCAGAGCAAGTGATTGTAACCTACTAGGTTCACTACGATGCATTACAACTGTTTGGGTAGGATCATCAAGAGAAGCCATTAACTCTTCATTAATAATCATTTTGGATATGATAGAATGAGTGGTGCTTTTTGGGAGTTCAAACATCTCAGACAATGTTTTCATTGAAATAGAGTTATAAACATGAGAATAAGTAAACAGGTATGTGCGTAAAGATTCTTCTTTTATCAAACGTTCTAACATATCTCTGACTCTATCACTTTCATAGAACAATTCCCATACCTGTTAACACAATACTTAATTTAATAAATAATAAAAATAAAATGTATACCTTATAAACTTATACCTTAGCATTCATTTTCTCGTTGATTATAAAATTGCGAGAGGCAGACCAATTTCCATTCCTCATTGCTTTACTAGCAGCAACTACATGTTCTCTCATTGATTCTGGAGGACCAACTAAAGACTGACGCTCACTGGAACGTAGTTGTTGGTAAAATGTTTTAGAAATCATACGCCGACGAGCATCAAATTCATGAGCTAGATTGTAATTTATTATTTTAATATGCAATCAGGAAATATTTTTACATAATATTATTTTACAAGTTTATTCAATAATATTAATTGATAATTCAATTTACCAGCCATGTATGGAATTTCGATAAGCATTGCTGATACCAGGTACACGCATTCTAAGAGTTCTAAATTAATATGCATATGGAAAGGCATTTGTCTTTGTTTTTCCACTTTTTCTTGTTCTTTGCTACGTTCGTGTTGTCTCTTTACATAAATAATATTTTAACATTACAATCAAAGAATCTACTATTATTATTAAAAAAAAACTATAGTATTTACTTGTGGTAGTAATCCCTGGGCTAATAACTCTTTCACTTTACCAGTCATCATTAGATCAACCAGACAATTGTGAGCATCTTTAATGTTTCCTTGACGGAATGCACACAAGCCAATATGAGCCATGGTACGATTGTAAAGAATCTGTATTTAATTTATGTAATATAATTTAATAACCTCATAAATAATATATATAAAGATATTAGAGTTGGGATGGTAATTGACTTGATAAAATTCTCAAATTATACTCAAAGAAACAAGTACTTGACTTAAATTGATTTAAAATTAACACTAAAATTGACTTGACTGTTTTAAGGGAAAAAATAAATATCTTTAGAATTTAAAGACAATATTCAATTGTTTTCCATACCAACAAAATTCTTAACACATTCAATGCCAGCAACGCATTTACATGTTATGGCAATATTATACCAGAGCCACATGGCCAACTAATATTTATACTACACATACCTGAGTGGCAGGATCAGAGTGTTGAATGGTTTCTTGTAAATGAGACATAAGTACCAAATCTCTTGCTTGGAACCAGTTATCGTGTAAGGCATGATGATATACATGACATAAAATTGCCCTAGTTCTCAAACGATCTGTAGCATCTTTGTCATAAATGTATTTGCATAAGTTTTCCATTATTTGAACATTTGTTTTATGTGATGCAAGAATTTCACCCTAAAATTAAACATTTATTATAAAAAATGTTTAAATGACCAATCAATATGTCTATATTTGTACCTTCTTTTGCTTTAATACAAGTGGATCAAATTTGTAGTAGAGATGGTCGATTTTACGCATATAAATACGACAGACTTCAGACTCAATATTTTGGTGTTCCAGAAACAGTTGAACTTTATCAATGATGTCACAGACACGTTTTTCATCCTTCAATCTATATATTTTTAATTAAATTTATTAAATCATAAAAGCTAAAATGAATTTTTATAAAAATACAAAACACTGACCTTTGAACATAATCATTGCTGTGAGGATCACATTCTTTCAAAAGTTTTGTGAATTCTTCATCTAATCGTTCAACAATTGTAAGCACACATCCACGTACCCTAAAAGTCGCCTTGTCTAATGTCTCAGCATCTTCCGCTACTGATTCTCCGATAAAGATTGTGTCTTTAACTGGGAGAATCAAGTCCAAAAGTTCAACAATACAATCCAATAATCTAAAATAAATTAATGATATTTTAATATTCAGCAATAAATAAATTAGTTATTTAATTAATAACATACTTGCTCCAAATTTCTGGCTTCATAGCATCAGAAACTTTCGGATTGTAATCAAAAATAGAAGAAATAATTGACATCTTTATTTTTACTCTTAATCCTAGTCCTAAACTATGAGCTTCTGATATCAATAACAATTCATGTAACAGTTCAATTTGTTCTCTTCGATCTGTACGCTTCTTTCCACGAGCGGCAACTACTTCTATTAATTTACGTAAAACAGCCTCAGGAGTAATTTCTACATCTTTTGCAAACATTTTTGGTTTTTCCTAGAGTTGAAACAAAAATAAAAATGAAGCAAAAACAAATTATGAAAAGCAGAACTCAGAACTTTTTCGGAACATGTATTTATATATATTAATAAATATTTATTTTTTAGCTAGGTAGAAATTTAGGTATAATTTTTTATTTTTGGTTAAGTTAAAACATTTTTCGATTATTTATTCCTAAAGATAAAAATTTAAATGTACCAAATAGGTACAGCAATTAATATTAAATCATGTAATTATATATTTACCTGAATTATACATTTTATGATTAGATTGTTTTTACGGGCTGATTAACTGCAATCAATTATCGGTATAGTATAATTCAAAATATAGATGATGCGACAATGTGTGGTGGCTCTTTATTTTTAAATTTTATAAATCAATCATTTACTAACATAATATGCATTAATATTTTTAAAATCTTTAAATTTGCAAAATTATGTAAACTTAGTCAAATATGCAAAAATATGCAATATAAATTTTTGTATTTAGATTGTATGTACTATGAAACATATTGGTATCAAATCAGATTTTAATATGCAGCCTCCTAAGAAATATGCAATTGCATAAAGTTCCGAGCCCCGATTATAAGTAATAAAATTTACAATTAATATTCACTTACATATAGGCTATTTGGCCCTTTGTTTACTGTCTGCCATTCAGAACCACTTCCATCATCTTCTTCTCGCTTCAGTTTTTTAGGTTTTTCCTTTCGCTCCTTTTTCTTTTCTTTCTTTTCGTCATCATCTTTGTCTGTAGATCTAGTAATAAAATATTTAAGGTATAAAAATGGGAATAGTTGTGAGTATTTTAGGCTAATCAAAACAAACTTACTTTTTTAAAAACCGTTCTCTTATACTTTGATATTGACCTTCATCTTCACTACTTGAAGAAGAGCTCTCAGAGTCACTACCCCAATCAATAGAATCTTCACTGTCAGAATCACCACCAGTTTTTGGTACCTAAATTAGAATTAAGAATATAACAAAAATTAGTATCATTAATTGTAAAATAAGTAAATTAAAATTAAATAAGAAAATCCTAACCTTGGGTATTTTTTCTTCTGTTTTCTTAGAAGATGCAGCTGGAGCTTCATCTTCACTTTCACTTTCATCAGAATCTACATCTTCATCTTCTTTTTGATCTTCATCTTGGTCTGGGAGATCAGGATTTTCTCTGAATTTAGCTAAATCACTCTCAAAATCTTTAACATACTTCCTAAATTTTTGTCTAAGGGAAGCCAAACTTTTAGAGTTATTTTTTGATAAATTTTTACGCCCTACTCGATCATCCCAGACATCATTTATAAAATCTTCCATTTCAACTAAGCAACGAACAAAAAACCGTGGAGCTATTCCATTTTCTTCTTTCAATATAACTGCATTGAATGCTTTTGTGTATGCACGGGTGAGTTCCTCAAAGCCTATAAACAGATTAATGGTACACTAAGGTTCTTAGTTTTAAGATTTAGGTATATTAACTTACTGGTCAGCAAGCTACTCATATCTTTGATTTTTTTATGATTTCTGATCTGTTTAATTGTCATAGTCAACTCTTCATATCGCTTTTCTTTGAGTGACCGTACAATACGTTTTGTGTCTTCTTCGTCATCACTGAACTACAATGAAAGAACAATAGTTGGTAAATTACTAAAAGCTTTTACACACAATTCATTTTTACTTAAGTTATTTTCAGGGTTCAAAAAACCCCGACCCGGTTGGGTTAAATGGGTTTTAATAATTTTCAAATGAATGTCGATTTCTGACACTTTTTTATTAGGGCAGTTCCCAAAATGTTTAAGCTAAAAACATATACCTACTGCTTATTTAAAATTAAATATAACTTATTACCTATAAGTTATAACTATTACATTTAAGAAACTTATAAAGAAATATAAAAAGTTTTGGTGTGCCTACCTATATAAAATTATACAGTTAATTTGTTTTATTATTATTACTTAATTTGTATTGTTTATCGTTATGAGTTTAAAACTTTAAAATTATTTATAATTAATTTTTTTGTTTGTTGGGTTTTTTACTGGGTTTTATAACCTGGACCCAGTACTTTGAACCCTGAACTAATTTTGTTTAGCCATAAAGTTCTAGTAAATTTAAGTTAAAAATATGTGTAATATAATTGAAGAAAGTTGGTTATTATTTATTTGTTTATAATATAAAATACTTTAAACCTTAAAAGTTTTAAGAATTATAAAGAACACAGCCTTATACAATTTTTAATTTATATAGGTAAAGCAATAAAACAAAAAAAACATTATGTATTTAAAAAATCAACTAAACAAAGCTCATTTTTAGTTAATTTTTTTAATTAAATTGAAGTTTCAAATTTATTGAAATTATCCATAGTTACATAACAATAGCTTTTTGTAAATACATTTTTTCTAAACAAGATGATGTAATAGAAAAAGTAGTTTTAAAAATGTGATTATTCATATCAAAAACTTGGCATTAAACAAAGAAATTCATATAATGACCATTATTAAGCTCACTAAACAGATACAACTTGGAAACTAAAATGTTCCTGTAAGAAATTTCAAATTTTTGATATAATAGGTACCTACATTAAAACTAATTTAAACTTCTTAATGTTCAAAATTTAAATTTTCCTACAAAAAAAAAAAAAATCAAAAATTAAGTTAACCATACCTACTTACAAGTATGAAAATGGTAAAATATTTTATGTTTTTGGGTTTTGATAAGTAGTTGTTTGAATATCAAATTTCAACAATACCATTGTATTTTTATTCAAAGAATAATATTTTACGTAAGTAAATATGGACCTACATAAGAAAATATAATTAAGTTCCTAATGAATGCAATGGGAAAAATGTAGATAGGTACATTAAATTAATAGTATATATTAATTATTATCAACTAGGTATAGGATATAACATTTAGAAAGAAATATATTTTGTAGTTTAGTATGAGTAACCATCGGAGTAGCCACTTCAGTAGACAATTTTGAGTGATGCACCCAAAACATTTTTGCAACAATATAAGTAAATATTTATAGGTATTACGTTAATCTAGTGTACGGCATAGTATTAAATATTTATGAAAGTTACTTACTGTGAAATTCGCTGTTGGTTGGCGGATAACCTGTTCTTCCTCGGACGATGTATCGGACTCGGAATCCGAGCCGGTTGCAAAGAATCTACTCATGATTGATGACTATGGTATTCAATCTGAAAAGCAAATCACCTCTTATAAGAAATACGGCAAAAGTTTTAAATAAACACAAACAAAATGTATAATACCTAAGTGTACCAAAACGTGGAGCCGTAAAAACACGCAGGCGAAAATTGCAACTTGCAAGTACAGACGTACAGTGATTAAAATGTGCAATGGTGGGGTCGGTATTCCATGAGCGTGGATGCGGTGCGGTGATGTTGATAAACAATATCACACCACGCCACGCCGCAGTGTAGCCAAAATAAAACAGCCGTGTGTGAAGGACGGTGTCAAAATTGTTTCTAGTTTTTACCGCCATCGCGTATTTTCATAAAAAATTACAAAAATATCAACGACATACTTATTGTGAACGTTATCCTCTAATAAGTAATAATCTAATGTTTATTGGTACAATTAATGTATAACACTGAGTAGGTACTACAACAGTCAATAATACCTATAATTTCTCGAAAATAGTTTCGTAAGGATTGACTATTATAATATGTTGTATTGAATTTCCATAGACGTAACTAGAGCCATTAAATTGAGTGGGCTCGAGCCCATAGTTAAAATGTTTAAAAGAGGGAAGGGGTTGTAGGACTATATCCTTGTGGCCTTGTCCCTTACTCTTAATAAACAAGAAAATATAGTACAATTATGAATACCAACATTTTCAATAAAGAAATACAATTTTAAATATCCACCAGCAAAGTATATTTACTATAAAATAGTATTTTTTGTTATAATTGCATTTTCCTATCTTTTTCTGCAAATTGGTTAAGAATATCAACATTTTAAATTGTGTTTGATAATTCTCGCTCAATGTTAAGAATACTTAAATTTGTAAACCTGTTTTGTGCCATATTTGACCTTAAATAAGTATTAATTCTTCTCATTGAGGAGAACGATCGTTCACACGAAGCAGAACTAATAGGAATTGACAATGCAACATGCAATAATTTGTAGACATTTGGATATGTGTCAAATTTAACAACAGAATGGAGTATCTCTCTCTGAGTTAGAACTTGACAGTTAATTCCAAATTACAAAAATTCAGTTTTACTATGAAGTATGAACCGCGGACGTGATGGGTATCGATTTCATATTAGTATCTGTTGTACTAGGTATAAAAATACAAATTTATAATATTATTTGGAACCACTAGGCCCTGGGTAACTGCCACTTCCCTATTTAAAATGAAATGAAAATTAGGACTTTAATCTGACCTGCAAAAAGTTCTCATCTTTTAGATAAAAAAAAATCATTACTATCAATATTATCAGAATAATATTGAATTATTCGGATTATTAATTCGATATATAAAAATAAAGTTTTGGACAAGTATAATTTATTAAATATTACTTTATTTGAGTAATATTTAAATTTATGGAAAAAGGTTGTTTTTTAAAGACTCAAAGTTATGTACAAAATATAATTGCAAGAACTTTAAAAGTTTTTGAAATAATTATAGTATATTAAAATTAATATTTAATATCCAATTGTCATCCATCGTGTGTACTCAAGTCTCATTTTGAACCGGTTATAAAGATATTTTATTTTTATTGATAATAATATTATGCCCTATAAATGGCTATAATAGTGGGCTCAGTACAAGTTCTTACAACATAATATATTTATTAGCTAAGATAATTCTAGAATGTACCTACCCACATAATATTAATAACAATACAAGCAGAATGAACGCTACTGAGCAAGATTTACAAGAATTTAAATGAAAAAATCATGTTCTAAAATAGAACAAACTAGATAAAAATATAAATTTAATAATTATTAAGCAATTCGGAGAAATGCAAATCCACGGAGATCAATTAATATTACACATATCATTCTTTCCATGATATCGCAGTGTTTTTGGTTTTTTCACAGATATATAGGTACTATAATATTATCATTAATTATTATTATATGTATTATAGTATATATCTGTAGGTTTTAGATTCTGAGTGAAACGATGAATGTATTGATTTTACAATGATGTGTGTTTTTTTTTTTTGGTCTGTGTACACGTTAAGTACTCGAAATATAGCTTCGACTTTCAACTTCAGTATCTTGTTCGATTGGAAAGTGAATATCGTTGGTGCGTTGGGGAGGTCAAAATTTAAAATTCCCAGTAATTTTCAAAGGCGCCAAGGAAAACAAAAGAAATATTAAGGAAAATGGGAATTTTTACGCAAAATCGATTTTTCACAAAATTTAATTTGTTTTTTATTGTAACTTTAAAGCAAATGACCGTAGATACATGAAATTTTCAATGGTTTTTTATATTTACATTTTCTATACACGATAACATTTTCAAAATATTTTGATTTATTTTGAACTGTTTAGGGACATTTTAATTTTCCATTTTTCCATTTACCCACTTGATACATTGCAAATTACTGAAACCCTTCAATTGTTTGAACAAAAAGAAATATGCCAAGGAGGTCCCAGTGTCATACACTTTTCAGGTATGAGTTTTAAATGTTAAATAAAACAGCTGTATAGGTACCTACCTAAACCAATTTTTATTTAGGAATTCGGGTTAAGAATACTTATTTAGAGAATACAACCTGGCGCCATAAATCATAATGAATATTCTATTCTAACAAGTTCAAAAAAAAGATGTAAAAGGTGCAATTCATTGTTCCCTTATTTTAGAGAGTATAAAAAAAGATTATTTATAAGAACTAAAACATATGTTGGAACAACTCTCACTCCTACAAGACGCAAAATAATTAAAGGGATGATAAAAAAATCGAAAAATGTTAAGAAATCCAACAAAAGGTAAAATTAATTTAAACTAATTACCTATTTATTTATTAAAATACTTTATAATATTTTATTTTTCAAAAGTTTAAATTAAAAATTAACCAATTAAATTGTACATTGAGTGAACTACAAGATAAATCAAAGAACTTAACAAATAAATCATTAAATGATTTAGTTGAACATACAAACTTAAATAGTTCACAAAAAACAATAGTCCAAGAAATCGTAAATGCTAGTAAAGTCACCAATTTAAAAAATAGACGTTATTCAGAGAATTGGATTTTATTATGCATGTTGTTGAAAATAAGGTAAAAATATTCACTTAGACAAAGAGTGGTCAGAAATATTAATTATTAATTTTTTTCAGATCACCTTCCACTTATGGATTTTTAAGGGAACAAGGGAACAAGTATATCTTAGTCCGTGGTTTTGGGGTAGAAAAAAAACTGTAATGGAATGTAATACCCAATGGTTTTGAACTCTTCGCCATTCTCTCAAGCCGACTGATGACTGAACTCCGAAAGTTGAAATACAACAGTTTTTAGTGTGCATAAATCATTGTTTGATCATCAGTTTGCAGTATAATTAAATATATATTTTTTTAAATTTTTTTTCCAACGTAAAAGGTTTTATCAATTATTTTATTATTAACTTTGAATTGTTGTATTGCAATTGCTTGTATTGAAGTGTAATATTTGATATTAGGAATGCGTAAATAAAATTGTTTGCAACAATATTATACAAATTAAAATTTACAGCGTAATATGTGTAACGGCATAGGTATTTCAGTATAATATGTAACATTATTTAATCTCGTTTTTAATGAAAATATTCTCTTTTCCTTTTGATAACGTAAAATATCTTAATCAGATTATTGTAAAAAAATAATTAATTTCACCATAAACGATTTTATTATTTAAAATGTATAGATACTTATATTATAATATAATTAATTGCTTTAAAACATGTTTAATTGATACACAGTTGTTAAAATCGACTTTTATAATAATTATCTGAAATCACATATTTTTAATGAATGTCTTTTTTAGAATTTGGTATAGCAGGTATATGTAATCTCGTATTGAATAAATAAAATATAAATGCTAACAAGTAAATTGTAATATATGTATTTATACATAGTATTTTTTTATCGGGGTATATTATGGGTTATAGTGTAAACATCATATTATTTAAATATTATCGAGACAAAAATTTAAAAATACCTACTCGAAGTTATATCGTGATGATTATTTTAATTTAATTTAATTTTTTTATCATATTTAATTTATATGATTGAGTGTATAGTCGTTTGGATTTAATACCTATTTAAAGTTCATAATACCTACTTAATATGGTTTACACGTTTTTATTTTTTCTATAAAGTATAACATAATATTAAAGTTTAAACACTGTTTTTGGCATTGTATGTTTAACTAAAAGTTATTTTAAAATTCAAGGACGTGTTATAATCAATATTGATATGAACAATAACTAATATTGATTTATATTCTATATTCGGATCTAACTTTAAAATATATATTTGCTACCTTTGTAGTATGTATAATGATGTACCTATTTCAGTGCAAAATCTAATGTGTGGTTATGCCTATTGCCTATAGTACAATAATATCAAAACTCACATACCGTCAAAAAGTGATTTCCTAGTACAAAAGATAGGTATCAAGTTTTGTTCAAATTAGGATATTACAACTCAAGTCAATAATTATGTAGAAAATATGGTATCGGTACATGCACGTATACATGGGGGTTTAATGGTTCAAACCTAAACCGAAATGTTTTCAAACAATATTATTTTTCGACATTCAGCTATTATATTATTATTTTACCTATGTAAAATAGAATTTTGAATTTTTTTAAATATTATTTTGTATCAACTTTTCGATTATATTAACGTTCACATTTTCTATGCAATACCTACATATTATTATTTACATTTCTTGCTTGGTTTATATAACTGTCCATGAAGTATCCGCCGGTAGGTATTTTATGATTTATTCCGCAGTCATTCGTCGAATTTAGTGTTTGATGGCTTAAATATTTCTTGCCTTCTTGGAACATATTATAATATCCGTGTAGCGTTTATACTGCAGGTCTAAGGCCATTATACTCTGTATAATCGACCAACGAGTTTTTTTTATTTAAAATACATATCTTAACGATTTTTTAGTCGTTAAATCTGTAACAATTGATTATACACTCTACAAAACGAAAAAATGAAACAATATTTTTTTGTTCACATCAAAAATGTTTATTATAACATAAGGGCCGCAAATAAGAAAAAAAAATCGAAATTTATATGTGTGAACAATTTAACAATTTTGAATTTTGAATAACTTAAATTTAAAAAAAAAAATACGACGGACAGGATAGACACAATAAACAAGGGGGGGAGGATGCGAGATGGCGATTGGTGCAGAAATGCAGTGTTGCTGGCCACTGGTCACCTCTGCACGTTCTCCAACCTGTCCCGTGGGTTGACGAGTGTCGCTGGCGCGTTTGCTCGGACGCTTGACGACCTTGCCCAGCCGGCGAGGCCAGACCGAGACGGCCACGGGAGCGACCACGGTTGACGGCGACTAGTGCGCGATGTGGTGCGCGTCGACGGTCGACGGCGTGACGACTCGTGACGACGGACGGCGAAGACCAAGACGTGGAGCCAGCGAAATGAGATTCTGTGCTGCGGATCCGGTGGGGACGATCGAAGCGGCCGATTTGGGATTACCGCTGGGCGAAAAGGCGAGAGCCAGCGGACCACAGCGCGATCCTTGACTTTCGGTAATTTTCGCCCTGGCGTTGTCCCTTCGGCCGCCGCGCGCCTCCAGACCCTGAAACGGTTAAGTTTCTGCGAGTCCGGCGCCGCTGACGTCCCCGTGTTCCTAGCACTCGAATCTCCGTACCACTCACCCCGTGCCGAGGTCTCCGCCGGTGCCGTCGTACCGAGTCGCCGCCGCCGTCGTACCGAGTCGGTGTACCGTCGGGTCGGAATCGTTGCCCTCGTCGGTACGTCTACTAGCCGCCGTCCACCGTCGCCGTCCACCGCCGCCATCGCATCACGTGACCGTAACTGCGGTCCGGCGCTCGCCGAGCCGCCAGAGGGTCTCGCGCGTCATCGACGACCGAGCGCGCGACGCCAGCGAACCCGTCGCGCCGCGGGTGCAGGTCGGAGAACGTGCGCGGGTGACTTACCGCCGCGCACCGTCCGTGCTCTTTCCCGCATCCCCCCTCCATTCCGTCGCCGTCATCTCCTGTCCGTCGTCTTCGCCCAGGGGGGTCTTCTCCTGTGGCGGTCTCGATTTTTTCATCGTCTTCTGGACACAAAACATCCTCCACTTCTGCTTCAGAAACCTTCGAATTTCCGTCTTCTCTTGCTGTGTCGTCGTCGTCGCCGAGCGGTGCTGTCTCTGGGATCGGACCGAGCTCCGACTCTGCAGCAGACGACAGCGCGTCGCCGCTCGGCACTCCGCCACAGTGCGGGGAGACGGTCTCCTCGACGTCTTCAGCCAATTCCTCTCCGTCTGCGCCTCCGAGAGTCGAGCCTTCGGGCTCCGACTCCAGGGTCTGAACGTCGCTGTAGTGGCGACCGTAACAATGGCAGACAGAAGTGGAGTGACTACAAGAACGACAACGAGATATTCGTCGGTTTCATCGATCAAAGCGAGTTCCATCTTGTTGACCAAAATTTCTTCCACCATTTCCAGTAATATTATGTTTTTGCGGCTCGGTCGATGTTGTTAAAGTTTGTTGCCATAATTTATTTTTCGAAAGAAGATAATATTTGCGTTTGGATTTAATCGAGAATGAGCTAAATACAAATCGTTCAACACATAGACCGATCTCCGAGAAAATTTCCCAGACGACGGCGTGTGTTACTAGCCAGCTAGTATTTTTATCTCGTTCTCGTCGGCCCGCAGCATTAGAATTTCAAGCGCGTTAATAATAACAATTTTATTTTATTTGCAAACAATTCCCAACATATTGTAGATTATAAATACAGTAGTAAGTCTGCTCACCTCCTATAAGCAAAAGCTTGGGTGAGAGGCTCTTAAATTAGACATTCAATTTAAATACAAATAATAACAATAAAGTACAATTAAGTACAATATGAGATTTACTTAGTACAAAATAGAGCGTTAATTTTTCTAAAGACTATTATTATTTATATCCACCGACACGGTCGTGGCGCGAGCTAAGTAAAAAAAAAAATAATAACTGCACGAAGGTGTGTGTATAGTATATCGAAGCAGGAGTTGCCTATTTAAACTGTGTAAAATACAGGTAAATTTGTTATACGACATAACTATTTTCTTATGCATCAATTAACTCCTAGTAAACTCCAAAACATCAGAAATATTGTATATAACGTGCTTTTGTAAAAATCATCAAAATCTTAAATAGTACGTTTAGAAATGAAGTTATAAATGAAAAAGTGCGAACTTTTTAATGGAAATTTATATTAAATTCAGAATCACGGTAGCCGTCGTCGTCGTCGCATCAGCGTTGCCATTGTTACCAACAATATTACCGTTCTTAATATAGATTATTGTGTAAATACTCAATATTTAATAATGATAAATATTAGTGATATCACAACAAAAACCCTTCTTAAACTACATGCAAAAATGGCTAAGTAAAAAAAATATAAGATCTTTAAGCATATTGAATTTAAGTAAACTTATTTTGTTTCAATAATTTATTTAGGTACTTGGCGAGGAATTATTTAGAATAGTATATAAATATTAATAATAATATTTTTTAAATAATAATAAGTTATATTTTAATAGTCCTTCGCCATTTAATTATTTTGTTCATCACACTTTGTTTCTTTTAAGAAATAATTCCTCTTCAAGTAAATAAATTATTGAAAAAATAAGTTTACTTAAATTCAATATACTTAGCATTTATTCATGACATCACATCTTTCTAGTGCTTAAAGATCTAATATTTTTTTTTACTTAGCCATTTTTACATGTAGTTTACGAAGGGTTTTTGTTGTGGTATATTATATAAAGGGCCGTTAGTATACTTCAGGCCGAGGCCTCTACAATTATGATCTTCCCGGGCTGTTTTTTTCTCCCAGTCCGCCACTGCAATTCTGAGAGAAGATCGTCTATCAGCCTATAATGTCTTGAAATCAAATGTATCTTAAGTAGGTATTCTAAATTCAAAAAGATATGCTAAATTATTTAATCAGTTTTGCTTATGAAGCAAGTTACACAAAACTGAATAGAAAGTATGGAGTACACAAATGCAATGACTAAATCCTGTGTAAGTAACAATCAAATCCCAAAAATATACATATGTGTTAGTCTAGAACTCTTTATTATAAGAAAACATATCACAATTTGATATATTATCATTATATCATAATACAAATGTATTTAAATAACAAGGTATAAAATCACTAAAAAATATTTATAAATTAGCAATTCTTAAAAAGACAATGGGTGTAATTAATAACAAGTTTAATTGATGATAAATTGTGTTAAATTATTGCAAAAATAAGTTATTAAAAATAATTTTATTCATCAGAAATAAAAAAACATTGGTTATTCTCCTTCATCTTCAACATTACGTCATTACCAAATTCCAACAATTTTTGTTTATTTCTGTAATTTTATAATAACATATTAGTGAACAAAACTACTATAATTTTTTTAAAGATAAATAGTAGTTAATTTAACTAGAAATAATTAAATAGGGGTTTATAAGATAAGATTCATTTATACTCCTATCAATAATATATTTGAAACATTCAGTTCAGGGATGGCCAAAGAAGATTAATCCAGTAGAAACAAATTATAAATCTTAGTACAAATGTCTATAACCCTCGTCCAAGTTGTTTAATATATCTTTTCTAGAAGTAAAATAAATATTAATGGTATAAATATAGTATAAATAGTACCTATTAAATACTATATAATGAACATTTTTATTATAATATTATAACCTGTAATAATGTGTAATTTAGTATAAATTTTTTTGAAAACCTTTGCAAACATTTCAAAAAATAAAAATAGTAAAAAATAATGATATATTATATTATTTAAAACCATTGCTAACATAACTTTAAAATAAAATTATTAATATGTCTTGTCCACGGACTAAGATATACAAAAGTTTGCAAAATTAGTTCACACATAGGTAACAGTTATATCTTTGTTTCAAAATATGTATATATTTTTTAATGTAAAATGCCTACCTATGTTGAAAAGAAATAAAGAATAATATTATGTTATAATAATTATAATAAAAATTGTTTTGGTATTCATATTATTTTAGTTCAATGCTAAATCCACTAAATAGATGGCGCTGGGTGTCCGTGATGTACCATATGAAAACATTTGGGTTCCACTGATAATACTCCGTGTCCACGTTCTTATTTATTATCTACGCTTATATACCGTGGTTCTATCCATTCTTATAATGTCCATGAAAATCATATAGTGTGGCTTCTGAATAGATAATAAAGATAAACTTTATTATCTATGGGCCACCCGACTCACGAGTCCCGGCTCCACATGCATAATTCCCGCCACCGGAATTTGAGGCATTAGTGCATTCGTGCATAGTGCATTAGTTGGCAGTTGGCACGTAAGTTGGACACTATTTTAGTTTTCATTTTTTTCGTAGGTTTTACGCACAATATAAGATAGTAGAAGTATATTATTTAAGTACTATCTTAAATTGTGGTTTCATGCCATGCCTTTCTGAATATCTATAGAAATCAAAACTTATTTAATAAACCATAATAATACATTAATAAATTGTCTTTCGTTAGTCGTCATTCGGCAATCGGCGATGGATCTGTTGAGCAGACAAGGATTGAGGACCGACGGTCGGAGGTCCGGTGAGTTGCGCAGGATACGGTGCAAGATGGGTGTATTCAATCAGCCGGACGGCAGCGCGTACTTGGAACAGGGCAACACAAAAGTTGTAGCGGCCATTTACGGACCACACGAGGTACATATCTTGATTGGTAACAAGTACTTACAATTGTTTGTAGTTCTGCACTAGTTCTTTAGCATTCGAATAACGTTTTTAGTCCACACTGACATGCCTTATATCCAAATGTTTTGAATACAAAATACTGACATTACGTTGTTTTGATGAGAATTTTTATGGAATATGACCTAGTAATTTATGTTTAGATTCGTACCAATCGGGCTAAAGCACCAAATGACAGTGCGGTGATCAACTGTCAGTATAGTATGGCCACGTTCAGTAGGAGTGAACGGAAGCGTCGACCGAGAGACAACAAATCAGCTGAGCTTACGTTGCATCTCAAACAAGCTATGGCCACTGCAATCAAAACCGATCTTTATCCTAAATCTCAGATTGATATTTTTGTCCAGGTAATTGTTAAGAACTTGCTCAGATTAATATCTAAGTATAAATTAAGTTAGGTTAATGTTTTGCACTATGCCACCAATAAATACTATTACTACCTATAATAATGATTTATTAAAAAACCTTTAGGGCTGAATTTGTGTGTAAGCATAATATTGACAAACATTAATAAGTGATGAATACATGTCACTATTATAGATGCTCATTGATATTATGTACTAATCTTCATTTTACATATTTCTCTATTTATTCCATATACTTAAATAATAGTAAAATATAATTTTTGATTTAAATAGTAACAATGTTAGTACCTATATTCTTTTTTAAATAAGAATGAACCGTTCGGCCGATGAAAACTCGTTTTGTTTGCGCATCCCTGACAATGATCGATGACGGCCGGCAATGACTGTCAACCAATCACAGAACGCATAGCCGTCGTCTGGGGGGTCAGGCACTGTTCGGCGGCTCAGTCTGTATGCACGAAAGCGGTTCATTCTTATGTGAAAAAGAGTATACCTTATTACATTTATTAAATTTTTAGATTTATTGTCATAACTTTCATGTGTCTTTTCTTTGTTAATTAATAATTTAATTTTTGTAAAGCAATAATTGTTTATGTAGAATTAATTTACCCTTATATTAATTGTATATTAAATTTAAGGTGGCCTGTAGGTTGCGTTACAAGTGTTAAATTATTAATTTGAATGCATACTAAATACTAATATACTATGAATTGTGTTTGAGAATTGTCATGTACATCATAGATATTTTATTCATTTTAGGTTTTACAATCAGATGGTGGAAATTATAGTGTATGTGTTAATGCAGCTACATTAGCCCTGATAGATGCTGGAATTGCCATGGAAGAATTTGTGATCTCGTGTACATCAAGTTTAGCTAATGGAGAAACACCACTAGTGGACATTAGTCATCTCGAAGAGACCATGGGTGGACCCAGTCTGACTGTAGCAATATTGCCAATTTCTGGAAAGGTATACACATTTGTTTTATTAGCAACAATATTATTGGTTTGTTATTGAACATGTTTTATGAATTTAAACTCTAGATTGCTATGTTAGAAACGTCACAAAGAATTCACATCAATCATTTAGAACCTGTATTAACAGAAGCTGTTCGAGGATGTCGCTACATATACGAGAATTTGAATAAAATCATAAAGAAACATTATGAAGAGATAGGCGGTGCTTTAAATTGGGGAACTGAGGAGTACAATATTTAACTTAAAAATTCTTGATGTAAAAATAGCATTTAAATACTTGACGTATTGTTATATATTTTTGTATAATTTATATTGCATGTAAAAATATGTGTATAATATATTTTTTGTTTATGACAATAATTATATTTTTTTCAAAAAATTAAATATTTCTAAGCAAAATGTGTTGGGCATTTTTTTTGTTCGGTTAAACTTTCAAAATATTTAAAAATAAGATAGGTTCCCCAATGACCTTTTTTTAGTTTCTAAGCAAAGCTATGGATGCATTGATTTTACAGTGATGTGTTTTTCTTACATTTTTTTTATTTGTCAGTATGTATACGATAAGTAGTCAAATTAATGCTTTGATTTTCAATTTCATATCTTGTTTGATGAGAAAATGAATCTAGTTGGTGCATTGGGGAGGTAAAAATTCACTGTAGTTTTCAAAAGCACTAGGAAAAACAAAAAAACAATCAAGAAAAACTGGAATTTTTATGCAAAATCGTAAATCGTGTAATTCAAAAATAAATAATGTAAATTAATATTAAATTGTAATTTTTTTTAGTTACGCATTTATTATAATTAGTGATTATATTATCATATAATTTTTTTCTCATTTTTTATTGAAATAAATCTACAATCTATACATTTTTTTGTACAATAAGTAGGTTTGGTAAGTGAATAATGAAAGGTTAACATGAATCATGCGATTAGTTAGGATACCCAGTGGTAATACCCTATAATATTATACCTAACAGATATAATAATCGTATAATATGGGGGACGGAGTGGCCGAGTGGTCTATTTTTTTTTTGATATTTATTTTAAAAAAAACTTTTTAAAAAATTGTTGTGTTTAATTAGGTTTTTTCGTTAGTTAAATTTGTTCTATTCGTTGAACTCAACAATTATAATTTAATTGATTTCAATATGATATAAATGTGTTTCATAAAGTACCTCAATTGTATAATATAAAATAATACACACAGTGGTGCTCACGGGGTAGTCATGGTAGGCACTTGACTACTCTGTGAACTTTCCCCCCTCAATATTCATTATTATTATCATGATAATTGATAGTCAATCATAAACTACTTTTTTACTATCGTAAATGTTATCTGTTGGGCCAAAAAGTGTAAAAATTTAATACAAGGTTTCTGATATTTGTTACAATATCAATTGAAAAATATTAAAAATACATGGGAACAATTTTTTTTTATAAGCATTTAAAGATCGAATTTTGACGAAATGTATGAAATTTAAAATTGAATTATTATTTTGTAGTTAAATATCTTTAAAATATTCAACTTTTATATCTAAGGATTGAAAATTTAAAACAAGATTCCACGTAAGTTTTTAATTCTGTAACCAAAAAATCTAAAAAATACATAGACACAGTTTATTTTTATAGTAATTTTAAGTTCAAATTTGGACGAAATTACATAATGAAAAACCTAGAATAACTATTTTAGTTATTTTGTTGTGATTGTATAATATTATTCATGGGTAATTGAAACTCCAAAAGTACACTATTATATATTTATATATCTACTATCCCTCATAGTATCAGTCTTTGTTGTTGATGTATTACGCATTATAAGTACCTAATGGATATTGTGATATGATTAATTTGGAATTTATTATAGGTCAATTTTTTTTTTAATACCTAAAATAGATAAGTATATAATTTGTCTTATACCTAGACTGACATCCGTCTCCGCTCAGAATCGTTTTTCTTGTACAATGATATTTTATCATTGAATTCAAATTTAATACCATCCATTATACAGTGACCCCCTTGTAACCTACTGTACAGCAGAGCACCTTTTTTTTATTTGTATATATTTTAAGATCAAATTTGGAAGAAATTAGATATTCAAACAAAGAATAACGATTATAGTTATTATTTTTGTAATTTCAAAATATTATTCATGAAGCAAGACTGCTTGCAATTTTTAAAATACCTATATTATTATATTATAACCTATAGGTATACTCGCAATGACGTTTTCAAATGCATCTTTTTGCCAAAAATGAATTAAACCTTCTGTAGTATTAATGCCTATAATAGTAAAATAAATTACTATTATTACAATAATATCATAAAATATATACTTAGTATGTTATTAGCTTACAGAATCGCACAATCATTGAATTCAAATTGAACACATTCGTTAACAGCGACCTCTCTAGACACCTACTGTACAGCAGATCCGGTACCAGCTTGCCCATTTTTTGTTATATACCATATAAATATATAATATGATAGTACATTAGTACACTACTCTGCGGTTTATCTTAGAAATAATGAATACCTATACTCTATAGCAGTGGTTCTTAACGGGGGCGCTACCGCCCCCCTTGGGGGCATTTCGGTCTCTATGGGGGGCGATAGTTTTGAAGGGGGCGGTGAGTTTTTTCAAACTCGGAGATTAAAAATAATACAATTTATTAATATTATATAACAACACTACAAATAATTGAACGTGAAATCAGAATAGTTGTAATTTCGTACGATACAACGACATACGGAATGTTATCTAATCGCATTTTACGTAGGTATCTGGAACGTCTTGTTTATAAAATTTATTTTTACATTTTCAACCATAACTGGACTATTGTATACTGTACCTTACAAGTTGAAAAAGGATTCAGCGTTGTTGTTCAGCTTTTGACGAAACAAAGAAATCGGTTGTACATTTGTAACAAAGGTGATATACGTTTAGCTTTGACCAATATCGAACCAGACATCGCCAAGTTAGCAGCTACTCATCAGGCTCAGGGTAGTCATTGATAGGTATAATTTTTATATTTTATAATTTTTTTTTTCATAGTTAAGTAATTCTTTTTGTATAGTAAAGTAAAATGTTTTTGTTAAGTGGTGAAAAATATAACCTTTATTATCTAAAAATAAGAGTTTTTACTTTAATTAATAATGATGTTATACTGTAATATACTGATGAATAAAGAAATATATATATATCTTTATTAGAAGAAATTTTGATTTTGAGGGGGGGCGTTAGCAGTAAGTTATTACGATAAAGGGGGCTCTGAACTAAAAAAGGTTAAGAACCACCGCTCTATAGTATAACCCCCTCTTCAATGAAAATTCCTGTCTAACTTGGTGAAATTAAGGTTGAAAAAATAAAAATATTAGTAGGTAGGTACTAGGTTTACACCAGCAGTTCCCAAACTTTTTTGATTCACAGCGCACTTTTTGAACTAAGGTTTTTTAAGGGCATCCTTCTCAAGTCATAGCATGAATAATTATAAGGAATAGAAAAAATAAATAAAATCAGAAAAAATTGGTAATATGAAAATATGTAAATCTATATATAATTTATACATTTCTTTTAAATTGTTATTACATTTTTAATTGTTTCCATCGCCGGGTTTCAAATTTATTTTTAGACCATATAAAATTTTACGGCCCCACGGCGCGCCTGTAAAGACACCGTGAAGTACACACTTTGAGATTGGGAACCGCTGGTTTACACTTTATAGAATATATTTATACCTATTAAAATATATTATATATATTATTCTTTAATTGAAATAGGTACTTTAACTATGTTTAAATAAATAAATCTGAGAAATCCGGGTACGAGATAAGATGAGTTTTAATGCGACAGCCGTCCCCTGAAACTTACAGGTTTCCCGGAAATCATACTTCTACCGTAGAGCATAATATAATTATTATAAATTTTATACGGCGCATTGGGTATGCAATTTAAGGACATATTTTTATTTTTTTATTTTTTATTTTACTTTTTATGTAGGTACTTATAGTTATTAGTTATTAGTTATTACCATTGATTATAATCAGTATTATTAGTTATTACTGCTTAGGTAAATTACTACACTATACACTATACAGTACTTCATAAAATCATAATATTGATGTGCATTAATATATTCTAATATTTATATTACTATAATAATAATTTTAGTCACCTTTTCATAATGAAATAATATATTATATTATAAGTTTTAACTAATATTTATTCTTAGTCGCTTAAATAATTTAAATTTTCAATAATCCATTAAGTACCGTTTTATAGATTTTTCTGAAAGGAATTTTTCATAGATATTTCTTTAAAAATAAATATCTTGGTCGTTTAAGATTTTTGTGTTGAATTCGTCTAAATAAACTTTATACCTATAGTTAGTAAGATTCAATTATAGTTTATTGTACTTGCACTTAAACCGTATTTAATTATTAAAATTTTATTTTTCCGTAATAAATACATGGATATTAATTATTATAAGTACTTAATAACCATTTTACTAAACTGAACCTATAATATATTATTATACTGTTGATTTTACAGTATAGTTGTATTAGATTCATATTTATAAAATCATAGGAAAATGTAAGTCAATAATAAATTTAAACATAATATGGGCATTGTGCACAACATGTCGTATGAATGGTTTTAAAACCATAAAAATATAGTTTTGGCAAAACTGAATTAGTTTGTATGGTGAGTAAAAAGTTGAACGTATCAATTAAATATTTATGAACCAAAATTGTAGGTACAATAATATTTACTTAATATAAACGATTTCTGAATTAAAACTATACATTTAATATTGCGTTCTAATTTATAATTTGAAGACTTACCTTGGGATTTCTAAAAAGTATTTTTATTAAGTTTGTTGGTGCCTATATATTAATCGGAGAGATAAAAGACTTTCGTTGTATATAAATTTGTCACTGGCCACTGCTTTGGTCAGTAAATTTAAAATAGTCACAAAATCATAAACCAGCTGGTTGTCGAGAAACTGCTGCAAATTTAAAATATACGTTTTAATATTACAATGATCGTATTTTTGTAATGAGTTGACAAATAATTTTAATCGAAATGTATTGTTCGCCGAATGTTGGTATTGTTAGACAGTAAGATGCTGTACGCAAATAATTATTATGACAACCAACCAGATTCTCATTACCGTATATTATGGAACAATTATGATTTTTTTCGGTTTGATTCATGGTCGGAGCGACGACGTGGTTTTTTTTAATTCAAGCTATTTTGTTTGCTTGATAAAAAAAAATTACCGTGTAGATTTGATTTATTCGTAAAATTATGATATTCACTTCCACGTGATTATAAGACTGAAACAATAATAATATTGTATTACACTTTGATAAATTTAAATTTTTTATTTAGTCAATGACAACGCATCATATAATGCTGTCGGTATGCTACACGATTGGCAAATAGTTCGTAAATATACTTATCGTAGGTATACACCAGGGCTTGAAACCGATTTTCGATACCGGTTTTGAATACCGGTTTAAACCGTTAAAAACCGAAACCGAAATCGAAACCGAAACCGAAATCGGAAAAAAATAATACCGGTATCCAAAACCGAAACCGAAATCGGAAAAAATCGATACCGGTTTCCGAAACCGAAACCGAAATCGGAAAAAATAAATACCGGTATCCGAAACCGAAACCGAAATCGGAAAACATAAATACCGATATCCAAAACCGAAACCGAAATCGGAAAACATAAATACCGATATCTGAAACCGAAATCGAAATCGGAAAAAATAATACCGTTTTTTGAAACTTAAGACGAAATCTTAAGAAATAACATGATATCCGAAACGGAAGTCGACAAATTATAACATTAATATCTAACATTTAAAAAGTTCTACGCATTTAAAATAAACCTATAGACTATAATTGAATTTCTGTTTAAAAGCTATGAATAATATAATTTATAATGCATATGGTAGAAAATAATGTATAATAAAATATGGGGTAATTGTTTACTCCGTGCGCAAAACGAAGAATTAAATTAAATTAAATTTTTTTTACATGGAGTTGACATAGTATTTTTGTTGGCATATTATTAGTTTTTATAAATTATCATATAAATATTATATATTATTATTTATTTTAATAGTTTATAATATTTACATTGCCGTTTCCATGGCTCGTTTATAATAATATTATTAAAAATTATTAATTTGGTCCATTTATTAGACCTGTAGCCTAGGTCATGTGCTATGCCTTCTTTTTTTTTACTTAGTTTTACTTAGTTTTTTACTGGATTCTAAAATATTAACTCGAAAGTACCTACCTATATAGATATTTATATTATTATGTATACTTTCTGAGTTCTGCAGTAATACAATTGACATTAATAATGATTAATGGTGCCTAATATAATATAATATTATTATAATTAATATTTTATAATATAATAATATATTATTATGTAAGTAGGTCTAGCTGCACTGGTGCAGTAGTCTTCGTCTGCGGGCACCCGTATGTTTGCATAGGTAATTTCACAGGGTATATAAATATTATTAGACGCATAATATATTATTATTACACGCAATATAATAATTATTACCTATATTTATAATATATTATATATTATTTTGGTAAATGGATTAATCGTATAGTCGTATTCTAAAATAGAATACTCAGAAATACGCCATAATAAAAATTGTATAACAATAATACTATTATTATTTACTATATTATAAGCTGTCGTGTTTTTCTGCCGCCACAGACGATCAGAAGACAGAAATAACTATGTGGCATAATTTTCCTACATTAAATTAACACAATAGCCAACAATAAATTATGAAATACTGAGTCAATAATTATAGTATAGTTATAAATAATTTAAATAATTTATAATTTATTATAATACATTTTAAGGCCTTAACATAATTGTCTAGGTTTCCCTAAAAGTCGTCGACTAAAAAATGTGCTCCCTACCAACCCACCACCAACCATACTCTATTGGATTAATATACCTAATCTATATTGGTATAATATAATCAAGCTGTGATCAATTTGATTAATGTGGTGGGTGGGACACGCATGAAGTTAGCCCCTCATTGAGAAATTAGGTGTTATGAAGTGGAGAGGCTATAACTAAATACGTCATAATTACGTATTCATTCCAGTGTAAATATTATCATTGATTGCAAATCTTATAGTACTTGTCAGGCAACCAGACGCTAAATCGTAAGCCACGCAATGTTTGGCGATTGGCAAGTAGGTTCCTACGCCAGTATTTTATGTCATTATAAATTATTATAAATACAGGGATTAAAACCGATATTCGATACTGATTTTGAATACCGGTTAAAACCGTTAAAAACCGAAATCGAAACAGAAAAAATGAATACCGGTATCCGAAACCGAAACCGAAACCGAAATCGGAAAAAAATCGATACCGGTATCCGAAACCGATACCGAAATCGAAAAAAGTCAATACCGGTATCCGAAACCGAAACCGAAATCGGAAAAAATCGATACCGGTATCCAAAACCGAAACCGAAATCGGAAAAAATTGATACCGGTATCCGAAACCGAAACCGAAATCGGAAAAAATTGATACCGGTATCCGAAACCGAAACCGAAATCGGAAAAAATCAAAACCGGTATCCGAAACCGAAACCGAAACCGGAAAAATTTTTTTCGGTTTCAAGCCCTGGTATACACATATTATATTTATGCGTAAAATAAAAACCAAATATTTCTGAGATCAGATTTTATTTTATCCCAACAATCGTATACAACATCTGAACGGATATGTTACATTTAAAATATTAAAAAGCTGTAAACTGCAGCAAAAGAGAATTGATTAATATTATGATATCATCATCTCATTATATATCTTTTGTTCTTTACAATGTTTAGTAAATGGACGCTTTTTAGTAGTGAAATTTAATTTTTTTTCGTCAGGAAACCGTAATATTTTGTATACTAAACAACAAGTACCAATTAAAAATTAGGTGTAATAACTTAATACATTAAAAATTAAAAAAAAAAAAAAACAACTAAAACATACTAGTCCGATAAAACGTTTATACACAAAATAGTAATCATAATTATTAATATAATATATGTATACACATATATATATATTATTCATAATTATCAATATATATATATATGTATAAATTATATATATATACTACCTAGGTCGGTACTGTACACGATTCGTAGAGGGCAGGGATAGGGGAAATCCCAATAGGAAATGGTATAAACGCTTATTTAATTATTTAAAAAAAAAAAAAAAATATATATATATATATCAACGGGTCACGATATTTATCCATTTATAATAAATAAATAATAATAATTTACATTAACAATAATCCCTCAAACACAGCTCGAATACTCGTATTATGTATTATGAATAAAACATTTAATAACAATGTAAAATAATAAAAACGTCTCTGCCCGTGAGCGTATTGTTAAAATTTGAGCATTTGAAAATGTACACGGTTATTTTTTCGTTTCGTATTTTTAAGATATTAATATAATACTGAACGTTTAGACGTCGGTATAAACCTAAATAATCGAATGTACCTATCGTGTTATGTACAAAACGCGTGATTTGTTAAATATTATGTATTCGAGGGAAAGTATTCGTAGGTAGGTATATAATGTAATATGGACAACCGGAAAAGAGTGAACGATATTTTAGTTCAAAAAATCAACCACGACGAGGTTGTTTTAGAACGACTCGAATTGTTTTCAAAAAGTTTTTACAGGATTTAACGGATTACACACGGAAATTATCGGCGTTGTATGTGCCAGTCGGACGTGTGACCGTGATGTCTAATATAAAATAATTATATTATTATTATATTATTGTGATGGTGACATCGAACTTTTATAATATATATTAGTTTCGTATCAAACTCCTATTGTTTCCACATGTGCAGCAGATTCTTTGTAACTACATCGATTGTTTTTTATCATCGAGCATACCTATATAATATAATTAATAATAGTAATAATAATAATAATAACAAAACAAATAAACAAAAATTAAATGAAAAAAAAAAAATCAACATCCATAATAATATAATATACTCAATAGGTGTATAGTATATACATATATTTATATATATATATATATATGTGTGGGTAAATTTGGCATCGTTTAAGACTAGAACGATACGGCGTACGAATCATCGACAATCATGATCATATATTTTAATAATATTATATTATGTAATAGGTATAAAATATTAGGTACCAACAATAGTTATTTTAATAATATCATCGTATGCGGGGGGCGTAAGGCGATGACGACAAAACATTTGCAACAGAATTCGCCGGGCGCGAAAAGATGATGTGACATACAATAAATTGTAGACGGACCTTTTTCGCTCATGACGCATGTCGTCTGCGCGACTTTGCAAGTGTTTGGCGCGACGACGACGTGTAAAAATTACGCCTTCATCGGTGGTGGTGGTGGAGGGGGCACCGCGGTTACCGAGGTCCGTAGGTGTATACCGCAGTCGGAATCGGTGGCATAACGGTGGCATTATTGTACCGGCGGTGCCGCGGTGGCCGAGGACGCGATGATCGCACCACCGATGTTAGCGGCAGCTGCGGCGGCGGCGGCTGCGGCCGTGGACGGTTCGATGCCGGTCTCGGAGTCCGGACTGCCGTAGCCGCTCGACCCGTCGTCGACTCGTCCACCTCCACCTCCGCCTCCGCCACCTCCACCTCCTCCGCCACCTCCCACGACGACCGTCGATTGATGTGCAGAGAGCACCGTAGCACCGGCTGCTGTAGACAGGAACTGGTGGTGCTGTTGCATGTGTTGGTGTTGTTGCACGTGATGTTGATGCTGCTGCTGCTGCTGCTGTTGTTGTTGCTGTTGCTGTTGTTGTTGTAGATGTTGTTGCTGTTGACCCGATGCTGGTGATGCTGTTGCGCCGCTGTAACCGATGGCGGCGGTGTCGTACGGTGGTAGTGGTCGCCGTTGCTGCTGCTGTTGCTGTTGCTCGACCGAGGTGGCTCTGCACCGGTCCACCTCGTCGGTCGGTCCTACAACGTCTCCTGCTGTTGCTGCTGCTGCGTGGGCGTGTTCGTTTGCCGCTGGCTGCTTAAATGACAAAACAGAAAATCGGAGTTGAAAGGGCATGTCAGTGATCGCATTAGTATTATTCAGTATAATAAACGTATTTATAGACATATAGTTATCAATCGATCGACTGGAAAACGTCGATTACACCTCTTGATCGGAAAATCAAGATGTATCTTACGAAAAATTGTCTATCGATCGACAGGAAACCTCGCCCAGCGAATATTATACTAATATACTATGTACGCGAGGAAAATGGAGTGAAATTCCCTTTTTTACTGTTCAGTTTTTTTTTAAAGAATATTATTAGTGATTTTATTCTTGATTAGGTGTGTGTGTATGTGTGTAAATTATGAGTATGTGACTATGTCAGGATGACTTATGTAAATTTGCGAAGGTATAAAATATATCCGAAACTCACGTATATGTATTATAACTCAGGCGTTAGCTAATACTTATAAGTAAACTTTTTGACGACGTCTTTTGAACTGAAATTGAATGGTTTCTCTAGAGGCCACTATTTTAATACAATTCAGTAACAAACAATAGCTTTGATCGGAACGATATTATTATTACCTACGCAATAATAATAATATAATATGCTTCCCCAAATGGAATTTTACATGTTTAAATTTTTTTATAAAAGTATATTATAAATTTGAATATATTTATCACGAGTCAATGACATTACAGGAATTACTGGGTAAAGAAATAATTTTAATTTTGAACAATTCACTCGTTTTATCAATAGTGTTATTATATATATATATTATATATACATAAAACTAATCCCCGCATCAGTAAAAAATAATCAATCCTCATTATACCAATTTACGTATTAATCTATATTATAATGAATCGATTCACGAGTATACCTAGCTAGCTAGTTAGTGGGAATATTTTAATTATTAATTTTTTAATAACTGAAATTTAAAGTTCAATTTTATATAATTACCTAGGTACTGAATATTTTTTATGCCGTCGTTTTATTTTTTTATTTTAAGTGGCTTTTAGCAATTAAGCAGAATTTTTAATTATTATAAAACAAATAATAATTTTTCATATTTAATACACCATCGAGAACTTAATAGGAAAGCTAAGAGTACAATTTCTTATATAGCTCTTCTATGATGCATGCAGTTTTTGAATTTATTCGCCCTACGGAATACTTTAAAAACCTTTGCATTTAAACGTTTTTATGTTGATAAGTAATGTGCACATTCGGGTACATATACGTACGCCATACACACTATAATGGTAAAAAAAGTTGTTGTTTTATATGTTATACGATGCATTTTTTATGATATATCCAGAGTCAGAAAGTTCCATTTATATTGCACACGCATAAATGTGCCTGTCAGTTTTGTGAGTACTCTAGCTATCGCAATTATTAATGTAGGATCATAAAATTTTAAATTGAAACACAGTCGTCTAAATACATCGTGTAGTTTTATACTTTTATTGTGACGGAGGCGTACGATTATCATTTATTTCCACCGATACAGGCAATGTACGCGTATACATAAATTATAACGCATGTCAATAATACAAGTTTATACAGAGTGATTCGCCGTGCATGCTCAGCTCCGTTATTTCCTTTTGTAATGAACTTAATCAAATTTTTATTTTTGAAAATTTAAGTAAATTAAAGTACCATAATAATTTACATTCAAATATTAAATAATTAGATTTTTAAGAAGTGCCCTGCGTTACAAACTTTTTTAAATTAGAATCAACCTTTTTCCTTGGAGATCGTTTAGCGAAGATGACTTTTGAAAATTTAGTGTATCTATAAATAGAAGTTTTAACGAGTAATACGTTTTGAGTTACCTATTTAACTTTGCGCTCTAATAATATTAATGCAATGTAGGCGGTAGTTGCAAGGGGTAATAATATATATAAGTATGTAATATGGGGCTATGAATATTTAAAAATAAGTATAGTAGTTAATCTATTAACATTTAATAAATTGTAAAAATTGTCAGAGTATAATAAGTATATAAGTACTAGATTAAATAATAAACCTAAACCTATTTTTTCTAAAATATTTTTTAAAGACTTATAGTCTTAGTTATACATTTTAATAACTTATGGAAACTATTTTTTAGAAATTTTCATTTAGATTCTTGAACATTAAAAAAAAAACACCTGCTTAACAATTTACAGTAAAAAGTTTGGTTCTGGTTGAAAAAAATAAATTTTTATTACCATATGACTCCCATTAAACGGTATTAAAAAACTTTGTATTTGTAAATAGGTACACAGAATAGAAGTGTACCTTAAAATTTAAAAAAAATTGAATTTGGAGAAATTCGATAGGTAGGAAAAAATGGGGGTGAGCAATGAGCATGTTTGCCAAACATTATTTGGTGAAGAATCTTGCAGAATGCAGAGTAAGAATATAGACGATGCCGTATATAATATAACCGTGGTTCGTTGGTGAAAACTGTTGCGGAACGAAATTTCTCTACTGGGACGTGCTATCTTGTCGACTTCACACAAAACTTAATAAATAAATAAAGGTAACTATTACCTACTTCCTATTTACCACTGACACAGTGACATCTAATCCGCAGTGACAACACATCACAAATCAAACTGTTATGTATATACACTATACAGTATTATATAGACAAATTATCTTACGAGTCAGTGGGTGTATGTACAGTGTGTGTATAAAAGCAAAGTTGAAAATTTAATAGATTTTAACGATCTAGCGTATGGCACTACGACGATACTTTTTTGCGTATAAAATATAAAATTTATAATTTTGACTGGGGCGGCATAGAGTGGTCTTTTCGGAGATTGCGTGATTGCTAAACGCATACAAGGAATTATAGGCCAGGTAGGTACATAGGTAGACCATAATAGTAAAAACATTATACATATAATATAATATTATAGAACCTATATATTATAATGCAATGATGTGTTAACAAATTTGGCCGACCGATGGAAAAATTGTATGGTACCTACATTATATACTTATCACAAGACAATCAAGAAGGCAACGATAGTATATTTTTTTATAGCCCTTGGGCTTAAAATCTGAAATGACTAGTATTTTAGTTATATATCCACTAATTATTAAAAATTAAATAAGATGAATATAATTTGAAAATATGAATTATTATTACAAACCATAGGAACTCGCATAAAAAGCACGAAGTTGACTCGAGTGAACCACCCCCCTAATCACAGCACTGGATTTACTCGTACATAGTCGTACATATTTAGGCCTTTGGTACCCACGTCATAATTCCTGTGTGTGTGTGTGTGTGTGTGTGTGTATGTGCGTGTGTGTAGTGTTATGGTGTGGTGCGAGTATAGGGCTGCCCCATCGGATGTCCTACCTGTAATCTACTGACTTGCCTTCTTATGTGCGCCAGACTGGACGAGTTGTACGTGGCCATGTTGGCGAACACCAGCCGTTCCTCGTAGTCGTATTCGCACAGGATCTTGTTCTCGCACAGGTAGAAACGATCGCCCACGCAAAACCTGCAGACACACGACCACGTGAAAGTTTTCAATATAATAATATATATTAAGTGTGCGCGTAACTAATGTGCAAAACGTTTCGTATCGTCTCGACACGCCCGACATATACGAGCGGGCAGACGCGATACGACCGCGAGTGTCATAATGTATAATAACGCCGTCGTACAACGCAATATGTACATAGCTTATATTTTAAATCGTGTATAATATATCCGATAATATATTATATTATATTAGTATATTATTATACATTATACACAACGCGCGTACCTATATATATTTATAATTTATTATTGTTACGTGTTTTTTTTTTTTTTTTTACCTATGATTACACTGTTGACACGCGAAACACTCTAAGTGGTAGACGTTGTTTTTGGCCCTCATCACCATCTCGAACGCCGGTATTACCTTGTTGCACGCCGCGCAATTGCCGGTCGCTCCGAATAACCTGAAAATTACATTAGCCTTACATGAATATTATAATATCGTGTCGGCGATTAAGTGCGACGGCGGTGGGTTTTGTCCGTGTAAAATAAAACGCACACACTCTTGTACTCTTTGTACCTACGCGCGACCGTGTGTGTGTCCGTTACTCAAACCCCGGTGTGGCTCTGGTCGGGGGTGAGTGCGAGAAAACGGGATATATAAATTTAGGATAAAAATTTGTTCGAATAATAATGTACTATAGGTATAGGTAGGTAATAATAATTATAATATCGGCTATACTATATTATATAAACCGTTCGTTTTTCTCGGCGTCCATACTATATTATATTACGTGTAGGTACATTATAAGTTATAACACTGATAAACCGATTTAATGGATTTTTGACGTTTAATTATTAGACGCGAGCGTAATGCTTGTGTGTGTGTGTGTGTGTACAGGTACACCTTCTTTCTGGCTCGGCGCAGAATATTATAATAACAGTATAATATAATATAGTATATACACTACAATATAAAACGTATTATACTTATATGTTATTATATAGGAATAGGTACACTTTGCACAACAGATGTTCGCGTTATAATGTTATACGGGACGCCGAAACGAGATGCGTTTTTGATACACACGAGCAGACCGACCGCGTGCGTCGACGCCTCCGGCGAGTATTATCTCGTTATAATCTATACACAGATAATAAGATAATATAATATGTACAAATGTATAGTGTACGTATATATAAGTGTATAACATGTATAATATGTGTATATATTGTAATACCAGTATTATATTATTATTGCGTCGTCGTCGTCGTCATCGTTTTTGTTGTAGGGTAGTGGGTACTACTTTAGAACAAAATTTTTCAACTGAGTCGAAACGTCCGGAAATTAGATTTAGAATTTTTACTGATTTCTAATTACACCGAGCAAAATGGGTCTGGTCGTTTCGGCGTTATAAGTTACAACGCATATTAACAAATTTCAAAATTAAGCCTATTTCCGAACCGGTTCGAGAATAGGAAAACCAATCAACAGCTTCGAAAGCTATACCTACTATAAGTTATAATACAGAGCGTAAGTGATATCGGATACGAAGAAAATGTAAAAAGTAATCAATAACCTAATTTTTACGATCGCATTATTTATTTCCAAACAAAAAAAAACAAACAGAAATCGTATTTCAATATTAAAACAAAAACTAGAACAATACATAATATTATATATTACACGTATTTGCTCATTATTATGCTCGTTCGACAATAGAAAATTCCAATTTGTAATTATATGCATGTATACGGGCGCATAAATAAATAAAAATATAGATAATTTCAACGATTGTTCGCGTTTCCTGTTGACTGTTATATATGTTGATAAAAATGATAATATTTCATCGTATTAAAATTTGATTATCAAACGATAAATACAAATTATACGATGAATATCATACTGTAATATGAATGATAGAAAAATGAATCAATCTATCGTCGGTCGAAAGGTCTTATTATAATATTTTTGTCGTGAGAGACGGTCACGTGATATTTGTTCATCAAATTAATTCGGTCGTCCAAACGCGACGACGACGACGACACATTGTCCGTGTCCATTCATTAGAGAGAAGTTTGCCAAATGACGAAGTCTCGTCCACGCGCCGAGGGGTGCGTATCTGGCATCTGTGTGTGTGGGTATAGTTAAAGGGGTGGTAGTATATGTATGTATAATAATAGTAAAACAGTCGGCCTGCTCCATTTCTAAATATATATATATATGTGTATTAACTTGGCTGGATAATATGTGTGTGTGTGCTTATATATACGTGCAGATTGTGTTTTCCGTCAGCGGCAGAGAGTTGACTTTTGTGCCGGGCCAAGCAGCGGCGTTTTGGCCGACATACGGTTTTAATTAAATTCAACAGCCGCCGACGGGCTATGGAGAGAGAGACAGTGAGTGAGCGAGTGTGTGAGAGAGAAAATTCCCCCTCTCCCCCACCATCGTAAAATCCACTCTCTGCGATCACTTTCATAAACGGATTTAATTGAATCCGGAATAGGTGTCTCTCCACCCACGCACTCGGCGCCCATTCGACGCGATCCTCTAGACTTATTTTTATTTTATTTCCATTGCTGATAATTCGGCATTCGCGCTAATTAAACCCTTTCCCTCCACCAGCGTCGCCGTCGCCTCGTCCTCCTATTTCACCATTTACCCTCCCCGCCATACGTATATATATATAGAAGAACAACGACACAACAATACGACTATACGTTGCACCGTAAAGCTTTTATAGTATATATATAGTAAGTATATAATAATATACCCCTGTCCGTTTGTATAATAATGTATACATGGTGGACAGGGACAAGAAATTACATTTTTTATTTACAGTCGTTTACGGAAATACCCGATTAATCAGCCCATGAAAATAATTCACAACAATTAACTCGAAGCAACGTTTTGTAAAACGACCGAACAACAAAATATATCGAAAGGAAATACTATCAGAAAGAAAACAATTTTTGAGTTGGAAATCCGGCGGGGATTACGAGTTGAGATCGAACGTGCGATTTCTTTCAATTTCATAACTCCAGAATTCGGACGACTATACAGAGTATTATTATAGCTGTACTCCAGTAAGGGTCACGTCTTTTTAATTTCACAACCGGTACGATTGACAAATCACTGCTGCTCGGTTTCTATTTACCTGAGGTAGTCCCTTTTGCAGAGTATCAGGTTGGCTTTGGTGTACAACGTGGATCCGACTTCACCCAGCCGACAGTCGCAGCAGCCGCATTTGAGACAGTCCTCGTGCCAGAACAGGTCCAAAGCCTTGAGCAGGAACCGTTCGGTTATGCGTTTGCCGCAGTTGGCGCACTCCCTGGCTATCATGGCCGTGCTACCGTTCAGACCAGTTAACGTGGTCGCGGTCACTGTACCGCCGTTGGTCACCACGCCGCCGTTTGTTTGTTGGTGTTCTATTAAGGACAACGAGAAAATTATTATTAAAAATACGGCGTAATAGTTACACAAACAATAATACCAACCACGCGAATAATGAATATCATTAGGTACCATATCATAATATTAGTTAATTATAGTTTTTTAATTATAATATAGTTAATAAATACGTTTATATTGTATAGAATCAAATCGACTCACCGAATACGAAAAAATACGTTAAATTGTACTTGCGTAGAAAGTGAAATAATTTTAAGACGGGTAGTTGTTTTAATTAATAAATTATTGAAAGATAATTATCAGGGGAATTATTGGGGTAGACTAAGTCTGTTTGGCGAAACTTGTAAAAACTAATTATGTAAGTAGTAGTAGAAAGTGTACATCGCATTACTGTTGTTGATGATGGTTTTTATTAATTAAACTTATTCAATTTACTCACTCAATAGTATTATAATGTACGGGCCTAAGAATTTATTATATACATAAATCGATTTAATCTCCACGTGTAGTTTATGTTTCCGAAAATATGTTAACTCGATTAAAGTGTTGCGTGAAGTTTTTATAGCAAATAATAATATTTGTCAATAATTTTTTATTATTTTGTTTAATATAATTTAATAACCGTAAATTACAAAGCATAATAAATTGTATAGTGGACAATGGTAAATCAAAACATAAAAAAATTGCATTTATTTCAAATGATTAGATTACAAAAAAAAAGAGGAAAAAATAAACAATTACAATTTAAAATTTGTTTTGCAGTGATGTTGTTGTAACTAATGAAGAGGAAAAAACGACGGTATGTACTATATACGCGGCTGCAATATCAGAGTAGCGTATAGTAACATTGTTTGAAATTTGCCGAACAAAATATTGCAAATTAAAGTACACAATGTAGAGGTTTCGTCTGGGCTCTTTAATTACGTGCCGGCTAATTTTTATTTTTTAATAAAAATTAATACCATGAACTGCGCTTGTAAAACAGCGGCTCACCCGCCGCCACCTTCTCTTACACGCTGCACGCCATTACATTATGCATCATCCGTCTTTTCAAACTTAATTTTAAACTTCTCATAAACGATGCTCTAAACTTATTTCATTTAAATTTCATTTAATTTGTATAGATATATTATACACACATATATATATATATATATACCATACGATTCCCGCGCCCGACGAACATCATCCTCCAGACTTTAATGAATTTTACTCGCCACTTCCCTCCACCCATTCGACCGTCCATCAATTTAATCCCAAAATCGACTTAATGAAAGTTCCGCTTTCTTCACTACTACTACATTCTACGAGACACGACAATACTTAAAGCTGTTTTACAATGGACTTTTCCCCACATTTTCTCCCCACCCCCAATACTTGCCGACTATACATATATATATATATACTAACACTATATATAATATACGGGACGGTTTCATCGATTACAGAAAAAAAAATTCAAATTACCGGTAAATTATTTTACAATAGTGCATTTACTTACAACCGCAGTCGTTTTATGTGTGCGGGGTAATTTTAGATCCGATCAACGTGGTAATATTATTCAAGTATAATCGACGTCGAGTAGAGTAGCGTATATATACAATATACTTATTATACATTATTATATAATACTAACAAAAGTAATTGTATTACATATTGGCACAATTTATTACACATTTTTAACATCGACGAGTATAACATATACGTTATCCACACAATAATATTATAGACGTATATAGTAATAATATACGTTACCTGTAATGACTATATAATTTGCAATACGATTATCATTACAAGTACATGGAGTAATAGCACTTAAGTACGTAACAAGTAAAATAAACATGACAAATAATTATTTTTGGTTAAATAAATGTTTGATAACTTATTAGCATAATATTATTATATATTCTATACGTGCATGTTTGAGTATATTATGTAGCCGGTATACAGTTAAGTATAAGAAAATGATTTATAATACACTTGAATAATACAATAACAATAAAAGAAAAAAAAATGCCATGCGCTTTTGAATAATGTGACGCGTTTCATCTGTGTATTAGGTTATTCGACGATTGTCATAAAGCATAATAAAAAGCATACAAAATGCATTCAAACGGCGAGAAGAATGTACGACCACTTAAGTGAGTGGGTCTCTCTCGCAGGAAAGCAAAGAGTGTAAGCTGAATCGGTAAAAAAAAATTGAATTAAATAAAACGAAAAAACTTTGATCAATCGATAAGACGTCTCTAAAAGCATTTTAAAACGCAAAAAAAATAAATTATTTTATTTATTTATTCTAAAATATTACAAGGTCTTTTCGTATTATGAGCGTGTGGCATTTTGATGCCTGCAACATAATAATCCACTTACCGAGGCGAATTCCGCCAATAATAAAATCCTGCTGGCCACGAAACGCGCATATACCTGTATGCCTGTATATATATATATATATATATAGTTAATGTAATCGCTTTTTATTGCGCTTTGATCGAGATATCTCTTTCAAAATAAGTCTCGAGCGATTTTTTCTCCCCTTTCTTCGTTTAAAATAAATAAATAAAAAGAATATAATTATGTTAAAAAGAAAAAGGATTTCTGTCCCGCCCGAAATAGTGGCTTTCCATTAAGCTACCGAGGGGTTTTATACTGCCCTTAGGAGCCGGACAATCCGGGTACGAAATGGATTCCGTATATAGTCGCGTTGCCCCCACAAGCAGCAAACGAATGTCACGACGTGGACGTAATTAATCTTAGTTTTTAACTAATTACCTTTCTTTATTTCTTTTTTCATCCCCCTCACTTGTCTCTCGGGGTTGGGATTTGAAGGGGTAAAACGTGGAAAAACATTTTCTAAACCGTATTATTCTTTGTCGGTTTTTTTTTTTTTTTAATAATCCGAAAGAGCTCGCGGAGAGAAGGAAATTATATACTTTAATTATTTCTCTTTTTTTCTCTCCCACCGTCACTGCTACCGCCGATTTAATTAGTACGGTTAAAAAGAAAGGTTAACAGAAAAATAAAATGAAGCCCCTGCACACCCACTTCTCGCTGCAACCACCACCGCCGCCGCCACCACTACCATCGCCACCACCACCAGCAGCCGGTGAACATGCGAGGTATAAAGAGTAACAGGGGACGGTGGCGATGTGGAGGGGAAGAGACTAAAGCGGTTTTAATGATTTTTTTTCGCTCGGAAATTGTTAAAATTAAAATTAATTTTGTACAAAAAGAGAACGTATACAATAATAAAACGCGCTTAGAACTTTTTTCATTTCACCATCACCGGGCGCGTCGAGACACCTCTCTCCGACGTTTTGATGTGGCATCTGTGATATGGTAAAGTTTTAAAATTAAACAAACATTTTACGAACACGTCGTATATCATTTTTTTGTTACTTGTCCCTTTCTATCCTTCCTTATAAATATATATATTATATATATATATATTTAACGTGGTTATTTGTGTTTTTCTGATTCTGGTACGTTAAAAAACTATGCGGTCGTCAAATTTTTTCATCTCCGACGGTTATTATTGTTATTATTATGAAATTACGACGGAAATGATTTAATTCATCATACCCCCTAATCGTGTCGAATAATTATTTTATAAATGTTCTGCACAATATTTGTTAGTAATACTTTGAACGGAGTTCGATTAAAGTAACAAAATATAACTATACCAAATAAACCTTATATACTCGCTTTACGCGTATACAATACCTTTGCACTTCAAAGGTATATTGAAAGATAAATAATTAATGTTTAGGTAACGGAATAAACTTAATTTTAAGACACTTTTAATTTATGTGTACAAAACAAAAACAATTTAATCAATCCGTTATATTAACGAGAATGACGCGAAGTAGGAAAATAATATCACATTTACTTTTTATACTCGAATAAGCTTAAAAGTTTTAATAAAGCACATCGGTTTTAAATAAACCATATAATATACATACGTTTTAATAAGCATTTAAATTATGCAAATACAACATTATAATTTTCCATGCGCAAACATTTTAAACGTAACGACATTTTAGGAAATATAAATACATTTTTTAAACGATCATAAAAATTAAAAAGCGTAAGAAAAGTTTCAAATATATATTTACAAGTATCCAAGATGGCAAGATACATTATACATATTACATAAAAATATATACTTTACTATGATATTTTTAGGACGAAGAGGAAAACAACTTTGATGATTGCTTTTATTGATTCAAATTTCCAAAATATATAATACATTTATATTATCATATTTATAAAAACTACTACTAAGTACTAATGGACCATTGTTTAAAAGCATTTTAATTGCTGCATATTATATGACCCGCAGTTCTCTTTACAAGACTGCGATAATAATAATAAAAAATGTATTAATATAATATTCTGATTTTAATCCGTTAATGCACAAATCAAATAATCGACTGTATGAGATTTTTTTTCTGTTCACACTGTGACGATTCCAATAATTTTAATGCGTTTTTTATGCTAATCGAAAAGTTTTGGACGTAAAAAAAAATTCACCGGAAAAAGGTTTCAACTCTGTTATTTATATTTTATTTACCACTATTTTTTTTTTGGTTTAGTAGGATAATGGAGAGTGTTTTATATTTGTTTTTCCTGCGTAAACGAAGACGGACAAGTCCCAATAGACAGGATAGCCAAAATATACATATATACAATAGGTATACATATAATGTATTATATATATATAGTATATATATTTACATCAGAAGTAAAAACAAAACAAAATAAAAAATAAAAGCTCCCAACTAAATTATAATAGCAATGCTAAAAAGGTTTTACATTCGGATTCCATTTAGGTTTTGGGCCGGTCGAGAATAAATCCATCTTTTTTCCCTGCCCAATAGACAGGTTACACGTATTCGCTATTACTGCCGGACAACTGGAAAATAGACTTAACTCTGCAGCCGCAGCCGCAGCCACTTCCTCTCCATTTTCAGGAGTCTCTTGACGTTTCCAGACCAACTTACAAAACTTTGTACTCTAT